CCCAGACTTGGTTTTCGACCGTTTTTTTTTTTCAATTTTTTTTTACATAAAATTCTTATATAGGAAGCCAAATGCGTTCTGAATTGCCGTTTCTTCCGTATTTTGCACCTTATCGAGCGAATCAAGACTCTGGTTATCATCCCAAAATTTCTTCGTTACATTAACCTAAGATTTTAATAACTTTTTCTATTTACTCTTTTTCTATTTTTCATTCGATTAGTTGCGATTATTTTTTGGTCAAAAAACAATAAATTGAAAATTTTGCGGACCTTCTTTATTAAGTCGATCAATTTGATTTTCGATCACATTTTTCAAAAAAAGGCCAAAAAAGGCGTTTTTAGGCACTTTTTCGAAAATTTTGACAAAAAATACGTTTTACGCCTTGCCAATGCAATTGTTTGTATCGCAATGTCCCAGTTTTCAAGTGAAATTGTCCAAAATAGCTGAAATATGCTGTATACCGATTTGCTTGTCGTCTCATCCTAGACAATTTTAACGGAAGTTTTTAGATCTGTCAGTTATTTTGACTAAATGTCAATTTTAAGTAATATTTTATCTGTAATCTGTAGAAATAAAATTGTGGGACTAAAATTGAGACCACGTAGGTCATTATAAATCAAGCTGAGACAAGACAACTCGTAACAAGGCGAAGCCCTGAGTATTCCGACTGCCAAAGTCTATGGAGCAGAAATAACTTAGTAAATGTAATAGAGTAAAAAAAATTTTTTCTTAAATTAAACATTTTTTAGCGAAAATCATCCCCCCACACGGCATATTAAGTATAAGATTTATGGCGTATAAGTATGGCGTATAAGTATAAGTATAAAATAGATTTCGCTCCTAGTAACAAATCAATTAAGGCAAAAAAGCTTCCTTCAACCAACTTGGAACAACTTTTAAGACGGATTAAATCTCCGCTTACGCGTTAATAGCGCAAAATGCATCGCGCATTAGTTGTCCCAAATTGGCCAAAATAGCAATCTTTAAACCCCTTTACTCTACAAAAATGATAACAGGTAAAATAACTTTTCAAAACTTAGCTCAAGACAGATGATCTTTTGAATGATATTAAGAAAATTCCGTCAAAAGAAGCTAGTTAAAAAATCGAAATTTGTCTGATAGATAAAAAACCACCCGAGCACCAATATTCAGTTGCTTTCATTACGAAAGTCGAAACAAGACTGCTCGAATCGGGGCAAAGCCTTGAATGTTCCGACTGCCTTTTAAGGTATATAGCAGTATTAACATGAAAAAATTAAATGTAATAAAGTAAAATTAAAATAAAAAAAATGAGATGTTTTGTAAAAACATCCCACACACGCGATATTAAGTACAAATTGATAACTTTGCTCAATTGTTTTTGTTGACTTTAGAAAACTGATGTTTTCAATTTCTTCAAATGGACGCCGTTTTTTCGGAAAAATTTGTTAATTTTGTCTTTGCGTCTCTCTTAACCCCTCCATAATCCTTATTTTTTGTGAAACTTATCTCACATCGTTTTTTAGCCAAATGAGCTTTACTATCTTTTTTTTGTGAAAAACATGAAAGAATATCAGCTTTTTTTGGCTTCAACATAAACTGAATACCACTCCAGACAATGAGAATATCACTGCTGCATTATCACATTCGATCAACTGGCATCTAGGTTTCATTGTCAAAGATTTAAAGTTATACCACCTAGTTTGCTAAATTTTGTTTCAATCGAATAAGTATAATTTTTGGAGGAAATAATTTCAGTAAGCGTAAATATCTAAGCATTAGAATACTGCTTTTAGCTTTTAATTGAGATCTTAAATGAAACAAGACTGCTCGTATCAGTGCTAAGCCCTGAATGTTCCGACCGCCTTTTGAGGTTTATGGAGCAGAAATAACAAAAAAAAATAAATATAATAAAATAAAATGATTTTTTTAATATAAAGTTTTTTAAACAAAACTCATCCCCCTCACGCCATATAAAGTACAAAAAAATAGATTTCGCTCCTTGTAACAAATCAATTATGGCAAATAATTTTCTTTCAACCAATTTGGAACGATTTCTCTACGAAAAACGGTCATAGGTGAAATATCTTTTTAAATTTAAGCTCAAGACAACAATAGCTTTCAAATGAAAAAAAAATTGTCAAAAATCGATAGTTAAAAAGTCGAAATTTGTCTGAAGAAAAAAAAACCGACCCCGAGCACAAATATTCCGTTACTTCCGTTAAGAAAGTCGGAATAATTATTATTACCACGCAAATTATTTTCCAATATCAAAACGTGAACGTCAAAAGAATTTATTCCGTTTTTAAATTTTTGGCAAGCAATTTGTTCTTGTTTCACATTATCAGATTTAAATAATTACTACATTGTTTTTTACATAGCGTGTAAGCAGACAAAAATAAAACAGAAAAATGATTGAAACATGTAAATTTTGTTCTAATTTTTTCCTAACTTTCATCGCTATGAAAAAGCAGGAAGAACAATGGAAGAGTTCTTGAACTTTAAAACATCATGCTTTTTGAAATGAATTGAAAAAAAACAAAGTCAAACCGCAAAGAAAAGCAAATTTGAGCCGGAACAAATTTTAACTTTTCATGAAGAACAAACGAAGCAAAAATTATCGCGACCTACATAAGAGTCTGAACTACCTTCGTTGACTCTTAAATAAAATTCTAAAAAAAAACATGTCAAGCAAGCCATTTGAATTTTTTACACCAAACCGAAGCTGCTCTTCGCAAACACTATTGAGAAATTGACAAAAAAGCAGTTCAAGCAAGAGAAATAAAAAAGTAGAAAGAAGGTTTTACTCCTGTGCCCGTGTCGGATTCGCTCCTGCGCCCTAGTGGTTTTGAGTTTTAGGCACTAACCATTCAGCCACGAACGCTTAACATTTTTCTCACTAGCCTCAAACAAAGCGAAGAGCAGATACTACAAAAATTGCAAGGCTACTGAGTCTGATTACAGCAAAATGGCCACCACAAATCAGCACTTTTTGCAAATTAGTTTAATAAACAAAAAAGGTTCGTACTAACACACTATGCTCGAACGCACGATAGTAATTAAAGCTTCCTGAAACAACAATGAATTGCTTACATCGCATAAAAATCTGTGATTTGGCACCTAAGCCGACAAAATTTGAGCAGACAAAAGAAAGTCATACATTTCAATTTTTAATGAAAAAAGTTTTTTTTTCAATTTCCTACATGCTGAAGAAAACAAGACTTTGCCGGGACCTGAACCCCAGACGTTACTTCCAGGCCAAAAGAGAAAGAACCTGGAATTTTTTACGGTTCAAAATTAAAGCAGGTGGGATTTCTCGTAAAAAGTTATACTGGAGAAAAAAGTAACGCAACTAAACAAATTAAAAACAAAAAAGAGACATTGTTTTTGAAAAGACAAGATAAATTGACTACTATGTAAGTTTTTGCTCCTATATAATGATATACCTAGTTTTTATCAATTAAAGTTCAAATAAAGTCTCAAAAACTTAGACAATAACTAAAACATGCTCTTTTTTCGAAGCTCTTGTTGAAACATTTTGTTGATGTGAAGTTCAATGCCTCAAAGAAAGAAAAGAAAGTTTTCACTACTTACTGTTTTTTTTTCGGATCGAAATCTACAATTTTTCTTCGGTGTAGGGCGCTGACTGTGGCAGATTTCAGTTTTTCTGTTTCAGTTCATGGGTCAGGCAAAAATGCAGTTCGAACGTTTTGTTTTCACGCAAGGATTGAAACAATTTTATGATGACAAGGTTTTATAAGGAATTGATTCGAGTTTTAAAAATTGTTTGGTTGCGTAATTTTTTTTTGCTCGTATATTTACGGTAAAAAAAAGTCTAGTTCCAGATAACAAGACTCTTGCTCTCGCATCCAAAACTAGTTGACAAAATTAACGCAAATTTACATTTTTACTCACTAAAATGCCTTATTTTAAGAACCATTATAGACAATAATCACTTTTACCAAAAAAATTTTACATCGACCGATAGCAAATGATCTGCACTTCAATTTCCCCTCTCTGAATGTCTGAATTCTTGATTTAAAGCACTTACCAGTTTATTCCGGGTCAGAAATTACCAGTGTCTTTCCAATGCCAGTGTTTATTCGAGTGCGAAAAATTTCTAATGCTGGGCAGTGTAAGAAACAACAGCTGAGGAAAGCTATCGCACTCAACAATGCGATTATCTGGTTAAAAATATTCCATCGCATGATCAAATGTTTCTACTCCGCTTATTATAAAAAGGGTTCTTCCAAAGAAAACGTATTAAATATGGTGAAAACAGACATTTTCGGACGCGGATTACACTGAAAAGGGCTTCAAGTTAGAAATAAAGACTTTCAGAGCTAAATTTCTAGGAAAGTATTGTATTGCCTAAAATATTCCTTGAAATAAGGCACTGTAATTTTGTCCACCAAATTAACTTTGGAAAGCCTCTCTCCGCATAAGCTGCTCAGCAAAAAAAAATTTGACTTCTCTTATTAATCAGATTTTTGGGCATCGCATGCGCAGAACGGTATTAATACAAACGATAGAATTTGTAATTTGCATGCTACGAATTTCCAATACATACTGGGCGACATTGCAAACGCAGCAGCAATTTTTTAATGAGACAAAAAATGTTTTAAAGTGAATGATTTGAAATTGTGCAAAAATCATGTGCTTGCTGTGATAGATACCAAAATTTGTCAACCTGCCTGGAAAATAAGCTAGAAAAAAAATTTCTCAAAAAATTTTGGTCAAAAATAACGCAAAAAATGGAAAATGTTTTATCGAATTTATTTTTTGGAACTAAAAGTGGCACCTTGATTTAAACACAGTTCGGTAAATCGTTGACTTTTTAAGGTTAACAAAGAAAATAAAACTGAAAAATAAGCCATAAAAATACCTTCGTTAGATCAAAACTGATTTTTCCGGGTTAATTTCAGACAACATTTGCTGGCAACCTAGCAAGGAAACTCGAATTTACTTGCAAGGTAGACTGAAATGGGAAACTGTTGCTGAAATGTGATCAAATTTGCCCTTGAACGCGTTAGTCTGTAAGATTTTACAGTTTCTTCATGTTTTTCTTTCCTTTTGAGAGGAAAGACTTAGCAAAAATCTTGATGATGCCTTTTCAATGTGGCCCAGTGTAGACAAAACTAATTTACCATCAAAATAACATTCAAGCATATTGCACCATTTAATTATTGACATTTGGCCATTATTTAGCTAAATTTTATTTACAAAACAATTTCTTTCTGCACTGCTATCTATATATTGTATCGATTGACAAAAATTGCACAACTGCTTTTTTAAATAGTTAGAAATTAGACAACTTGGTAAGTAATTTGAAAAGCTTATTCTGAACTGCAGGTTACTATGACCAAACAACTGAAAAGAATTTAAAATGGACTTCTGTTTCTTTGCTATATATATTTTTTTCAGCTCCGTTTTATCTCTTGAGTTTATATTTAAACAATAGTTTTTGCTAGTGAAAACTGAATTCAGCAGTAAACTTTCGTTCCAGTTATCTGTTCCAGATTTAGTCATGGTTTTATATGGTGAGAAATGTAGTGGACACATTGGATGTCTGCAACTCCACTTGGCTGATCTTAAACTGGAGTCGGTTGAGCCACCTGGCAATCACGTGGTTGTTCTGTTTAGTGTCTCCCTGAAACAAAAGCACAATAACAACTTTCAAATAGCATTAGAACTTTTCACTGATAAAGATTTTCAAAAAATGAGATTCATAACACTTCATAACAGTCCGCAAAAAAAAATATTTAAAAAATTACATCAAAATAGAAAATTCCAAAAGAATTGGTTGTTAACTGGAAACGCAATAACCCAAAAAAAGGATTAGAATGTTTTTACGAATTCCAAAAACAAATGCCTATTTGAAATTATAGTCATATCGAGCTTCCAATAATTAAGTGATTCGTGAACCGCTTAAAATTGAAATAGAGGCGAAACTGTGCTCCGCAAACACTTGCGTGCACACAAAAAAGCAGCTATCAATTGAAATAAAAAAAAGAAATAAGCCACGAAGTAGCAAAAGCTACGTGTCGGATTCGATCTGCTCACAATTTTGAGTCTCACGCTGTAACCACTCAGCCTCGGACGCTCATTATTCTCTTAAACTGTCCTCCAATAACGCAGCTACATATGCTAATAAATTGCCAATTCGATGCAGCAAAAGTAGCATCAAATACAAAAAGACACAATTTTGCATGTAACAAATTGGAAAGCATAAATGAAAGCAAGGTTCATTTAATTCGAAAAAAAAGGTTCGTATTAATTCACTTCGCGAGCAGGCTTGCTAGTGTAAACATGCTTGTTTATGTATAGATAGTTACATGAATTTTTTTTTTAATTGGTCCAATCGAACTTTCTGCATTTATTATATAGATACCTTTTTAACACATGGTGGAGCGGCGTTCTCGCAGTTCTGCAGTCTGAGCTGGGTAGTGCTGGACATCTTGTCGGGGGAGTACATGAACAGGGTTTTCCACATAGGTAGTAGTTTGGCCAGCACTGTAGAGTTACACTCCTGCAAGGCCTCAAGGAGGGAGAGAAAATGCAACACCACTGTCTCCGAGTACTGAAATGAGTGGATAATCAAATATAGCCAACAGAAATGGAAAAGAGTCAATGAACGCAAGTAAACGCAAGAAAATATTGACCTGTTTTTTGAAAAAGTCTCAACTTTCGAATTTCAAAGAAAACAATAGATGCTCTTAAAGCTCTTTTAATTTCTTCTTTTAAAAAAATCTTCGCGACCTATGTGAGAGTCTAAAATACGCTCATCGACTCTGATGAAATTTCAGATAAAAGAAAAATTTTAAATTTGTATGTATGATTATAACATTTTTTCATAAAATTAGCCCAAATTGAGAACACTGGAACAATGATATTTTTTTATTCCGCAGGTAATTTCCGCTGGGATGGCAAAAACTCAATATTTGCGACAAACTTTTAATCATTTGTACAAATGATTAAACAAAGCATAAAAACTCAATTGAAACATTATACAAACATCAAAAAACACAGCAAACCGACAGTTGGAAAGTGACTATGAATTCTTGTTAGGTTCATTTCAAGTTCATTCACTGAAAAGAAGTCAAATTACGCTTTCCAATTGCGAAAGCGTATATGGCACAAAAAATTAATGACGTATAGTTTCAAATGTGATTGGTATATGGTAATTTCATATTTCCAGCTTATAGATTTCCAACGAATTAGAGAAAATAGCCCAGTGGTGATGCAGTGTTCTCAAATTGGCTTAGTTTCTTCATTAAAGTGTCATTCTTAAAAGATTCTCGTAGTTGAATTTATCATAGAGTCAATGAACGAAATGAAGACACCTGTATAGGTCGTGTTGATTTTTTCAGGAACAATGATTGAATTTTTATGCATTGTTTGATGCAAATAATTAAAAGTTTGCCGCAAATATTGAGTTTTTACCATACCAGTGGAAATTACCTGTGGAATAAAAAAAATCATTTTCCTGAAAAAATCAACACGACCTATACAGGTGTCTTCATTTCGTTCAATGAATCTATGATAAATTCAACTAAGAGAATCTTTTAAGTATGACACTTTAACAAAGAAACTAAGCCAATTTGAGATTACTGCATCACCACTGGGCTATTTTCTTTAATTCGTTGAAAATCGATAAGCTGGAAATATGAAATTACCATATACCAATCACATTTGAAACTATACGTCATTAACTTTTTGCGCCATATATGCTTTCGCAATTGGAGAGCGTAATTTGCCTTCCTTTCAGTGAATGAACTTGAAATGAACCTAACAAGAAATCAATTGTCAAACTTCAAAAACAAGTTAGTTTTCGGGGGGGGGGGATTTCAGCGTTTTAGAGAACATAGCCAAAAACTCAACAAACGCAAGAAAACAAAAAAATACTGACTTGCTTTTCGAAAAAATCTCAACTTTCTTATTTCCAAGAAATCCAAGATGGCATTAAAGCTTTTAGAATTTCTAAAACATTTTATGATTGACACTTTTTCTTGATGAAATTAACCCAATATGAGAAAACCGGATCAATAGGTAAGCTTTTTATTTCGCTGGGAAATCTGAAGATTAAAGTCCACGTTCCGAAACTAGAAAGTCAATCACGTTGTTCGTGACATTTACACTTTTGCTGTTCGATAGTGGAGTTTGCCTTCCTTTTAAGAAAGAAATGTAATGAACTTGAAAACAAATCATGTCAAAATGCGAACAAGTTAACTCGAGTCTGAACATATTTTACACAGAGACGAAGTTGCACTTCGCAAACACAAGCAAAATATGACCGATAACGCTACTGGGAAAAACTGAATGAGTAAAATTTTGAATCTTCAGAACTTCTTAAGTGACGCACGCCAATTTTGACGCATTAGCAGTACCAGTCAATTTGAAAAAAAAAATTACCAACTAACATGCTTCAATTTATAGAACAGTTTATGGAGCAGCAATAACATGAAAAAATTAAATGTATTGAAACGAAGAAAATAAAATAAATTTCCTCTTTTCATTTTTTCGAAAGTTATGAACGAAAAGAGCATCACTGTCAATTGGCAATGGGTCGAAAAGTTCGGTGGAATCCCTCATGCGCGAAGGACCGAATGCGCGAAAATAAAAAGCAGCCAATCAGATTTCAGCAATATGAAATTTGGAAAGAAAGTAAATATTTCCAGGGACTTGAGTATTGATATTGGCCGATTATAAAAACGGCAAAAATATGCAAAAAAAATCAAATTGTCCTTAACAGCCGCAAAATTGGGAAAAATTTTATATTTTAAGGGTTTTGTAACGAATGAAGCAAGAAATTGTTTCATTTAATTCATTTAAATTGAATATGACAATTGCTTTTTTTTAAAGTGACTTTCGTCTAATTATGTTTTCGGTTTTTCGCACACGATTTTTTTGCACATTCGGTCCTTCGAGCATGAGAATAGCCCCCGGAAAGTTCATTCGATTAGTTGCAAAAATTTTTTGGTCAGTAAACAACTAATTGTCATCATTCTCCTTTTCAATGAGCTATTTTCAGGCTTATAAGATTAAGTGTTTAGGTGCCAAGAACGTTGGAAATTGTAAGCCTTGAACAAGTGATCAGTGGCGCGCTCAGAAAAATACTAGTGGGGGCGTTTTTCGAAAAATTTTGAATTTTTTTGGGCCTTTTTTTATTAGGTCGATCAATTTGACTACCAGCGACCCAAAAATACTAGAAAAACTTTTTATACACTTTTTGGAAATTTGTGACAAAAAATTTTGTTTTACGCCTTGCCAATGCAATTGTTTGCATCTCAATGTACAAGTTTTCAATCCTTGTCGTCTCAGAAATGCTCAGAGCTCATTGTCCCGACTTCTGGAGAAAATAAGGAAATGTTTCTGGCTTGTTGCTTATCCTCTCCAGACAAATCTGAAAGTTACTCTGGACAATTTTAAACTAAATTTTAGATCTGTCAGTTATTTTGACCAAATGTCAAAAAAAGTTGTGTTTTGTCTGTCATCTGTCGAAGTAAAATTATGGGACTAAAATTGGAATTACGATGGTCATTATAATTAAAACTGAGTCAAGACAACTCGTATCAAGGCGAAGCCCTAAATATTCCAACTGCCGAGGTCTATGGAGCCGTAATAAATTTTAAAAAATTCAATTTATTAAAGCAAAATAACTTTTTTTTTAATTTGAGATTTTTTGTGATTATCATCCCCCCACGCCATATTAAGTACAAAGTGATAAATTTCGCTCCTAGTAACAAATCAATTATGGCAAATGAGCTTCATTCAACCAATTTGGAACGATTTCTATGACGGATTAAATCTCCGCTTACACGTTAATAGCGCGAAATATATCGCGCGTTAATTGTCCCAACTTAGCCAAAAAGGCAACTTTTAAACCCCCATATTTCATAACTCCACGAAAAATGATCACGGGTGAAATATCTTTCCAAGCTCAGGACAACAATACTTACTGAAAGATAATAAAAAATCCTGTCAAAAATGGCTAGTTAAAAAGTAAAAATTTGTCTGAAGAAAAAAAACCACCCCGAGCTCAAATATTCTGTTACTTTCGTTAAGAAAGTCGGAACAATAATAGTCTAACAATAATACTATAATACTATAACAATAATACTATAACACAAGCATTGCTTGTGTAGACCTTTCCTTAAAAAATCATCACGACCTATACCAGAGTCTGCACTACGACGTTTATCGCCTCTTTAAATAAAAACAGAAAAATAACCAGAATTTACTTCGTCTAAAATCGGAAGTTTCCTTCGTGCTTTAACACTAATGAAACTATTTCCGAGAATTTAACCGCATGCTGTAATTACCGATTTGGAGAGTGAGAGTAGCTGGAGGATTCCGGGCGTAACTTTTCCCCAGAACTCCAGCACAGTCGTCTCCCCAGAAGCATCTGCCCCTCCCAACTGCTCCAGGTACACTGTCCACAGCTTAAACACAAAAACAATACACCAAAAGCAAAAACACAAACAAACATAACAACGATTGTCCATTTAACGTACTTCTCATTGAATTTTAATGACCAAATCAATATACCATGGTTTTAATGTTTTTAACAAAACATTTTTGATCAGGGGGCTTTGCTGTTTTGAGCTAGTTTTAACGACAAAAAACCCTATATAATCAATGAGAAGATTCTAAAACTCAAAATTTAGGTTTACTTTTTCTTCAAAACAACTCCGTTCCTGAAAACTTTTCCAAGTCTTTACTCTAGTCTTTACTCTAGTTTAAAAAAATTGCGGCACACTTAAATTATAAAAGCTAAAACTAAAATTGCCAATCCATGAAGAAAGACGCCGAGTCGTTCAATGGATTCAAATCACAAATGATCAGAAAAAATGGAGCTTTCAGCAGGTGCCCAATAACAGCGCTCGCGTTTCCAGATGTCCATCTACCTGGCAATAGAGACTATAACTTCATTTATTTACACAGCGAAGTCTATATAAATTATTCAGCAATTATTCATTTAGATTCCTGCTATATTTCATAATGGCAAAACTAAGCAAAATGGTATTTCTTGTGTTTCACATTTACTTGATAACTTATGTCGCATCTTCTGGATTCGAGTATTATTACATGACAGATGTGGATATCAATTTGCACGCTGAGGAGCCAGTGGAGACCAACTGGATCACACTGGACTCTCAATGCCGCATACGGTCAGTGATCATCGTTCAAAAACACTTTTAAAAAAATCGACAATTTTACTTTTGAAATTAATATCGGCTCAAGGAAAGCACTTTTAAAAAAATCAGGTAAAGAACAGTGATTTGAAATCCGGAAAATCATCCAGTGCCACATAAAGTATTTCGATTTTTTTTTAGAAAACTAAATTTCCTCGAAAAATTTGCATGTTTTCTAAAATATCTAATTACCTTTAGCTGCCACTGAATGATTTTTCAGTTTTCAAATCAGTGTTTTTACCTGATTTTCTCGTAACTTCATGAGTATTTTGAAACTGCTTTTCTTGAACCGAAAAAAAATTAAACAAAAATGCTTTTTGGAAAAACCTTCATTTTATTAGATGCTACGAGACCAGCAGCACCAACTGCAATGCTGCCTTTTTCGATGAGCTCAGCGGACGATGTGGCCTGTATGAGCTCAATGGGGTCCACAACAAGATCATGAGATTGCATGACGAAGACTCACTGCGGGTTCCAAGTGACTCCAAGTGGATCTTCAAGTACGCGAGCGAGGACCCCGGGTGGGTGTTGGTGGCGAAGAGAGTGTTTGGCGACATCGACTTCTCAGGTAATTCGTTAACCATCCCAAACACTTTCAGATAACATTTGATATTTGCACATTGATCTCAGCTCAATCGACGATACTCACGTTATAAAAACTGACCAATCCACATAATAGAAAGACTGAACACAATGGAAAATTGTTGATTGGAAGTTACTCTTTTTAATTGGTTTTTAATCTCCACCACTCTGACCTTCAACTCACGAAATACACACCAGTCAACATAACTCAAACACAGTTGTTTTATGTTTTTCCAGGCGCGTCATGGAGTAATATGCGAAATGGAATCACACACAAGAACGACTACTGGGTGGGATTGGAACCCCTGCACCAGCTGACCATTAACGGAAAAGACACTCTGCGGGTCAAATTCAGCAAGGATAATGTCAAGTACCAGGTCACATACCAGGACTTCGTGCTACAAGATCAGGTATAGCAGTCAGCCTAAAATAAATTAAGCTCTGACAGCTTCAAAGCTAATAACACTGCTCCTGGAAATTAAATCATCATCGTTTGTAGAACTCTGGCTACCCTTACACTGTGGGTGCATACATTGGTGACTACTTCGACTGCCTCTCCCTCCAGCAGGGCTACAACTTCACCGCCTCCGATGACGCCACAGCCATTGCTCCATCTGAGGCATGTACAAATGGGAACAACGGGCTGCCCAATTGGTACAACTACGACAATGCTGACTGCAACCACTTCAACTGGTTCGGTATGTGAACAGAACGTGAATTGTGACTCATTTCACTTAACTGCCGCTAATCCTTAATTCGTTCTAGTTGAATCAAAAAACACTTCCTAGCTCAAAATAACACAAAAAAAAACACTCTGTTATTAAAAAACGCCAAATCAATCCCTTGGAATCCTGAATTGTTGTAATGACGAGAAATAAAAACATTACGGCGACATTTATGCTTTCTTAAATGCAAATCTCAATTTTACAACGTCTGCGGTATGAACCGTTTGACAAGCAACGCAATGATTTTAGGAGCCATGGATGAGGGCGATGGGAGTGGTATGACCTGTGACTCATCCTCTGCCAATGGAATGAAGGGATGTCTCTCTGTGTGCAGTGACGATAATACTGCATACTTGGACTATCTCATCGTTGAAGTACAATGAGCAATAGCCAACCAAATGAAAAACGCCAGAAAGCGATCAAAATAATCTCATATAAATGAATAAAACTGAAGTTACTGGATTATGATGTCGAATGTAATTAATTTTAATAATGATTCATTCTATTGTGAGAAGCAGAAGTATCAGCCCATTATGATGTTCCGACTTCGAATTGGCAAGATAGCCAATTATATATTCCGAAATAATGAACCTAACTAGCCGTTTAAAATGAGTAGCTAAGAAAAAACCGTTTCGGATTAATGTTTTGGTATCATATGCTATTCAAAAAGTTCCATAAAAACTTCATCCTCCTTTCTTCAAAAAAGGTCTCACCTGACAACAAATGAATGCGTGGAACAGTGCCGACATCGTCAGTATACTCGACTTCGCACTGTTATGCTCCATGAAGCCAGTCAGCAGCACTAAAATGTACTCTGCAATGTGTGCATTGCACTCCAGAGGGGGTAGGGACTTGAGGACTGAGGGGATGGGTCCCGCCTGTTGGGCGTTGCGGTAGTTGGCGGCCGAGGAGGGGAAGGAAGCTGTGAGTCTGAACGAGTTGAGGGATCCGAGAAGCAGCCATGAGAGCATGCGCACGTAGCCCACACACTCAATGAACTCTTTTGGTCTGAAATAAACGAGGCAATTTAGAAAACGTTCATTTTTTCTTATCTTCATAGCTTTTTTATAACGCGCTTTTCACATTTGAAAAATTAAACATAGCCAACAGACAATTGGAAAAGTCAGTGAACTAAAAAAACGGAAAAAAGTGACTTGCTTTCTGAAAAATCAACTTTCGAATTCCCACGAAAAAAATAGATGGCTTTTAAGCTCTTTGAAATTCTAGAATAATTTATAATTGACACTTTTTTTAAAAAATTAACCCAACGTGAGAATACTGGATCAATAGGTAACATTTTTGTTTCGCTGGGAAACCTGATAAATAAATTCCATTTTTGAAAGTAGAAGTCGATCACGTTTTTCGTGACCTTTGTAGTAGTTAGAACATAGTTGAAAGATGCCCGAGGGAAAAAGAGCCCAGCCTGAGGGCACGAAGTTCCCAATGGCTGCGGTTTTGCCCGAGGCCATCTTCAACTATGTTCTAACTGTTGAAGAGTATGTTTTTGCTCTTTCTGAGGGAAAGATGCCAGAAAATTGAGAAACTATGCAAATGATTTCTTTTTTTATTCATGCGTTCTAATATTTCATTTTTCATTCATGCCTTGTCGTGAAAGAACATATGTGAAAGAGCAAAAACATACTCTTCACACTTTTGCTGTTCGATAGTGGAATTTGCCTTCCTTTTAACAAAGGGAAAGAACTGAACTTACAGAGAAATCAAAAGTCAAACCGCGAAAAGGAAAAATTGAGCTTGAACAACTGACTTTTCCTTTAAAAAAATCATTTCGGAGGCAACAGTCTCAATTCATAATTTGGCAGTTAAGATCCTCACAGAACTCGCTGTTTAGGATAGACAGAGACACTGAAGCTGCTCACCCTTGTTGGGTTGTACCCGGCGGACTGAACAACCAGGGCACAAATTGTTTACAATTAGCCACTGGATCCCTGCACAACACACATGCTATTATCTGAGCCACTCCTGTTTTCAGCTCTCCGCCCAACGTATCCTCGTGTAGAGACACGTCCATACTAGAAGTTACTCCTGGTTGCGGATTACTGTGGGAGTAAGGGTAGTTGTGGTTGTTAGAGGCTCCTGGGAATGAATGAGAGTGTCCGGTGAACGCTACTGTCGGAGTCCAGGAGTGGTTGTGAGACGATGTCGTATGATTGCCACTCGCTCCGAGGAGGTTCGTTGCATTCATGGTTCGCGCATTTGCCTGAAACCAATTCCCGACTCGTAAAATTACTGCAAATAGATTATGAGCTATAGACTAAAAGACAGGCCCTGCGGTTATTTCTCTCGTAATTGGAAATTACCTCTTTATAAGATTAACGAACTTTTATTGACCATACTTGTCTCCATGACACAAGTTTCAAACAGTTTTTGTATCAAGCCAGCGTCAAATTTGACGAACACGTCCAAAACTATCTAGGCGCCAAATGCTATCTAACATTTGGAGTAGAAACATTAAACATTCAATGGTATCTAAGGGTCGGACCAACTTCACTCATTCGTACATTGTATGAGTATAGTTACGCGAAGACGAAAAAAAACACTATAAATGCATAGAGAGAGGAGCCGTTTGCTGATCAAGTAGCACAGAATACACTAAACACGGTAATTATTTTACCTAAAGTTAAAAACAGACCCAAAAATAATGCTTTTTGTTCCGACTATTGATAATGGTGAGGAATTTCGTATTCGTTTTTGCTTTCCACGCAAAAACAGGTACCACAAATAATCATCGGACTGGATTGAATGATGTATCATATTAAAGCTTTTTTTCGTGATTCGAACCACATAAAAAAATTCTTTCTAGTGTTGAGAAAAACCGATTTGAAACTTTTTGTTTTTCGTCTTATTTCGAGCAACGAAAGCCAGCAAGCAGGCTTATTTATGCTTATTTTAAGGCGTTTCAATAGCTTATTTAGAATTAATTTTAATTTTACTCGAGTAAAACTAATTTGTGGAGATTTTTAATGCCGTTTTGGAAATCAAAAACCTCAAAATTCACAATTCAATACACTTTTTTGTTTTTCTAGTTGTTTTTCTTATTGTTTGTCTATTTAACTATGATTGCCGAATATGCCAAATAATAGTTTTACGTCAGATCCTTTTATCACACCACGCATAAAAAACTACACTAATTTGAAAAAAAAAACTTTTTTTTCTTTTAAATTTTTGAAGACTATGGTCGGAAAATTCTGTGCTACTTGCACAATAACCGGTAATCCTTGTTTATCTTTTGAAATTTGATGTATTTTTATAAAAAATGTTCTGCGAAATTCTTGAGATGAAACTTTGTTAAATGCATTCTAAAACAGATTGAGAGCAAGCTATTTTAAGCAGAGTTTGGGTCCAAGATTGATTCAGTGAAAATCAGTCTGAAAAACCAAATCAGCGTTTCTCAATACTAAGATTACTTTCTTGAAATTGCTTTTTGGAATCCTAGTCAAAACTGAGAGAGTTTTTATTATGGCACCTCACTCGATACCTACAACCATTCTTTGAGGTACCTGAAATCGAGAGAAAACGCAAGCGCAATCCGCAATCCTTTACATTCTATGAGTGGTTGGAACGAAGAAACCTCTAAAATCAGCATTCATTTCAGGCATTTAAGCAGCACGGATTTTATTATCTAATCAAAACGAAGAAATTTCAATTTTTTTAACGAATTTTTCTCAAAAGTTACTAGTGGACAAAAAGTTGAGAACAATAGTTAACTAGAACGTTTTAACAGTCGATGAACGTACTTCAGACTTTTATATAGGTGATGAGTTTTTTCAGGAAAAGCCTTATGATTTGTAAAGGCTCAAATGTACTTTTTTGCGGTTTGACTTATGATTTCTTTTTAATTTCAGTTAAATTCATTTGTTAAAAGGAAGGCAAACTCCACTATCGAATAGGAAAAAGTCATGAAAAACGGGATAGACTTCTAGTTTTGAAAGTGAAATTTACTTTTCAGATTTCCCAGCTAAATAAAAAAATTAATATTTTGACCGTTTCCTCAAATTGGGTTAAATTTATCAAAAAATGCTTGTCATAAATTGTTATAGACAAGCATTTTCAAGCTATTTGAAAAAAAGTTTTAAGGCCATGTTTTTTCTTTGAAATTCGAAAATTGATACTTTTCCAAAAAAAATCAGCATTTTTTTGTTTACTTGGGTTCCTTGACTCTTTTACACATCTCTGTTAGCTATGTTTGGGTTTACTGGTCTCCTATTTTACTGGCACTTCAGTTTCCTGAACGCAACCAGAAAACACCTATTAAGGTCTAGTATTTCGTTCAGCTTAATTTTGTATTTTGGTTCCGACCATTGAAAACATTGCCCTTATCGAACAAAAAACAAGTAAAGGTCACAAAAAACGTGATCGACTTCAAGCTTCCAAAATGGAACTTAATTTTCAGATTTCCCAGTGGAATAAAAACCTACTTATTGATCCAACTTGGTCAAATTAACTTAATTTCAACAAACAAGTGCGGTCATTATCTCAACGAGCTCTAAGGTCATAAGTTTTTTTGCTTTGAAATTCGAAAATTGATTTTTTTTTTGCGTTTACTTGCGTTCATTGCATCTTTTCCAATTGTCTTTTGGCTGTTTCAAAATTGTTAATTATTGTGCGACAGTCGGTTGTTCAGACACTCGTTTCTAAAATTGTTAGGCTGTTTAAGTCATTCATTTTGAAATAATCTATTCCAAAAAACAACCCAGTTTTTTTGCACAGTTTCCACTTTCGTAATCAAAAGAAATCAGAACTCAAATTGAGCGTGAACAACTTTTTAAAGACTTATTCCTGAAAAAAAATCATCACGACTTATATAAGTGTCTTCCTTTCACACCTAGTCATTCTTTCGAATATTTAAGGACTAAGCTAATGAAGCGTTTTAGTGCAAACGATCTTCAACATGTTCTAAGTCTGCTTTTTAAACCGAACAGAATCGACTATTTTACACGCAGCGCTGAGCAATTATAATCCAAATTAAATCGTGGGATCGAGGATCTTAGCATAGTATGTTTAGGGAGATTATGTTAACTTGATCCACTTCTAAGCAACTTCTTTTCTCGTCCCTTTTAGCGTAAAAATAACCAAGTTTGAGAAAAACGCATTTTAAGTTTCAGGTTTTATTCATTTTGTCAGGATAATCTAATCTAAATCAGTACCGCAACTCGCTTTTTAAACATTGTTTGATCTGCTCTTTCTAGAATTTATATGCACTGATTTGCAAACAACCGGTGCAAAAAGCCTGCTCCTAGTTGATAATTAACAAAAAATAAAAACAATAGGAAAAGGATACTCGAGCTGTTTAGTTCGAATGCAGGTTTAAATTAAGTAACATTGAAGAACATTCAGTCAGCTATTACCTTTTGACATAGTTCCTTCAAACAGCGAAAAGACACATGACAATTGATTCCTCTAACACAGAAACATAAAATATTTCCTGATTCCCATAGCAAATTAGACTAGCCTTCCATTCGTCCACTAGAATTAAACATTTTAACTATTCAAGTCTTCAACTCATTGATTTTCATTTAAATTTAAACATTTTGTGTACTAGTAAAAACCAACACACGAGCTTCTCAGCTCTTTACGGAGAACCGCTGCTGCACCGTCCTTGGCTAAGAATTAAATACGAGTATTTTTTTGGATTTTTTTCTGGGCTAGGTAATGTCAGCCTCAAGCAACGTTTTCTCTTTTCAAGCTTCTAGCACCATACTATAGACACATTGCCTTTCATGCTGCTTGAAAGAGCCAACCTGCTATGTTAAAATAGTGAAACACTAAACAACTCCATTCATAGGTGAAATAATAATGACATTTGAATGCTCGATTTATCACAGATATTGACAAAAAAACTATTCAATTTGACAAGAAACGTTTACTTGTTCTAGAATAATCTGCAAACATTTATTTTGCTCTAGAGTGATCTGAAAACATGGATTTCTTCTAGAATATTCTCTGATTACTCACTCTGACTTTATTGATGGTGTGTATGTCACCGAGGAATTCGAACAGGTCATAAAACATGGAGTGGTAGTAGGTGCCACTTCTTAGTACTTCCAGAAGCACAGATGGGTGTGGGTGGGGACTGCCCTCGTGCACTTCTGGGCCCCCAAAGCGCAGGTCCAGAATCGCAAACTGAACAGAAACACGAACATAATTGCCAATTAAGACAATTTATCCACGGGGGAAAGGACCAACACAAGAGCTGTACAGCTCATCACGTCGAACCGCTGTTGTGCCCCTGTTTTAAGAACTACATGCAATTTTTTTTGTTATTTTTCTGGGCTGGGTATGCTTCACCCTCAAACAACGAGCACGGATCATTGTGGGCCTCGAACATCCGACCTTTCGGTTGAGAGGCGGCGGAGACGTAACCACTTCACCACCGCTCCCCTCAAACCATCCTTCAAGCCATGAAATCTGTAAGTTATTATCGCGAACAGGTTCACTCTCCTATGTCAACTGGACTTGTTAGCAATTATTTTCAAATCATATCGCTATTTTTTTGAATGACCATTGCTTTCAGGATGACACATGCACGAAACATGCTGGATCTTTTTCATCCCTCTATGGTAGGTAAATACTAATCTTCACCTCTATAGCGACTAATTGCGCTACTAGGCGACAAACACGAATAAGGACCTCAGCAACGAGTCTCCGCTTTTTGGCCGAGTCGTGGGGGTGATCATTATTCGTTCTTTGTTTGAACTACAAAAACTAGCTCAGCAATCCTTCTCAGAGACCTGTCAAATATCGGCAATGTTCTGTGTTTGCTCAGTTTTTTTTATAAAATATTCATTTACCTGCACAAGACGCACTAGGTTCTCCACTGGCAGATTGACCTTGAACTTGAGTCCATTCACCAACTCCTGGCAGATGATGCGAGCAAAGAAAGTCTGCCACGCATTGTTGCTTTTCTCATTCTTGTCATTCTAAATTGTAGTGTTTATGAAAATTATCAACTTTTTTTAAATCCCATCTTGCTACTACAATGAATGAATCAGCTAGATTTAAGGGTTTCAGCACTACACTAGCTACTTTCTATTGCAATAATTTATAGATGTCTTAGCAAAATCAAGCTTATCATTGAGCTGTAACCAGTCTATTGTTGCAAGCTCAGAGCTCCAGAAGACAGTTATGTTAACGTTATCGAAAAAGTTACTATTACACAAACATTAGACTTGCCTTCAAATGGAAAACGTAAGATGGCGATCTCACAGACTCCATCAAGTCAAACAACTGATTCACAGTGAACACAGACGCCTGAAGGATATAACTCAACAGAGCTCCAAAAGAGTGCAGCAACACTTGCGTCTTCCCAAGAACTGTCAAGGATCCTGGAATTTTTTCCAACTTGAATATCAGCGATGCTATTTTAAACAGCGGGGTTACATCTAACACTAGCGGCATGCAGGGCGAAAGTTTCTTGAAGAACGCGTCAAAATGTGAAATCAAGTTGGGGGTAAATCCGATTCCCTCGAAATGGATATTGGACATGTATACTGCCATGTTGTTTAGCAAGGTCATCAAGTTTTCAGTCGGAAGAGTCTTCCGCATGTTAAGATTACACAACAGAAGGTCAATCGAATCGACCAATGAGAGTTCGTTGAAATCTACCAGACATTGTGCAATGTACGTAAACACATTATTCGGCACACACTGAGTTATGAACAGCTGGTTGAAGAGTCCATACGGTGCAAGTTGATGTAAAGTGCACCGCATGAACTGTTTTGCGACGTTCAGGCAAGTGTCTCGAACCCATAGTTTACTGTCGGATTGCCACGAGTAGAACGGAGATTGGGCCAGTCGGGCGATGGCGACGAATATGTCGAGAAGGAAGGGGGCACTGCCCACTGGGTCTCGGTAGACGAAGGTCCTCAACACTGTGATGCTGAGACTCAGAGTTTTCTCATCAAAATCTTCAATCGCCGCCTTGCAATCCAAACACCTAATTGCAAAATCCTCTTTCATACAGATTACATACAGAAACTAGTCAAAACTATTAAATAGCACAACAGAATTATACTCAAAAAGAATGCCTAATGACTTAAACCTTAACCTTATCTTAAATGGGGGGAAAATCTAAACCTTTTAGAAACTCCAAACTATAAGAAGAAGAATTTATTTCTCCAAATAATAATATAGCAGAACATCGTTTAATAGCTATTTCTTTTACAATTTAAACAAATAAATAATTTAAACAAATAAATAAACAATGGCTTTCACATTATAAGGAGAGGACAGGCAAAGGGAATAATAAATTCCCACTGAGCACCTACCCTATTCAAGCATCATTTCAAACTGCAAATAGTACGAATATTTTTATATATCTAATTGTCTGCAAGAAAATAGAACAATTATTGCATTAATCTGATAGAAGTCGTATAAGCTGGTTCAAAGTTCCTTTACCCACTGAGAGTGAACCCGAGGTCATCAAACCTTGCATCAACTCAGTAGACGCAGTAAGTATTCTTTTGACTAAAATCTCCGCAATACAAAGGATCGAACTCGAACACCGCACCTCATAATTTCAGGCTTCTTATGTTTCTGACTACGCGAAAAGAGCGTGTGAAAAATCTTAAGCGTTAGTGTAGCAAGCTACTCCAAAAACAAGTGCTTGCCTAAATACTCAAAACACTCGTCTCACCTTCTGAGGACCATGGCTCCTTCGTCTTCATTAAATCTTGCATTGATTGAAAAAGAACTGTTTCGTCTGTTGATTTGGAGAGTGTTAGATGATGCAGCTTTCTCAATGGGTGTATTGGGGGACAGGGAGTGAAGGTCTTTCCAACTGGACACCAGATTGGTCGTTTTGCTGCCATATTCCTTCCTACCAGTCAAAAACAATTTTTATAAGCAAGTATCATGCATGTACATACATTTTATTTTCATATTGAATTTTCTATTAAGCCCAGAATATAGACCAGCAAACTCTCCAGAATTCAATCACGCCTCATATTAAATGTAAAAAAGGAGTAATTTATTTCATTGGTTACCCACAGAAATATTTACAAGTGTCGGACTTACTTGACGTATTTCTTTGGAGACTTGAAAAAAGTCGTCGCACCTTCAGAGCCTCTTCCTGAAAACACTCAGTTCATTGACCACAAATCAGAAAACTCTCTATCATCCATCTTGAATTTTTTTACCTCTCACTTCCGTTTTCACACCATCATGTGACCCATTGACCAATTTATTTTTCTGAATGCCCACTGCACTGGATACGAAATCCACACTAGCTGACGTAGAAGTCCCAACTCGAAAGTCAGGACTGGATTGATGGCGCAATCTGGACCCAGAAGATACGTTAGTTTTGGCCGCCACTTTTTTGCTCGTATCTGCCTTGGAAGCTGTTTCTTCTGGTTTGGCTTGTTGCTCTTCTTCCTCGCTTACGAACTCGTATATCTCTCCAGTATCAGATAGGTTACCATCATCTACAACCTTAATCAAACAGGCATTTTTGATTCCAAATAATACCCACATAAATCCTAACAATGAAAAATCTCCCGTCAGAAATTAATCAGCAAACTATCCCAGGAAAATATACGATGGATAACAGAAAAGCAAACTTTCGCCGCTTTTTCCGCGAGGAGCGGTCGGAGTTTAAAATACACGACTGGCATTGTTTTCTAGTGAAAAATCAAAAATCCCTCCCTTAAATCCAATAGTGATCCAAATAAAGGATTACTTATATGCGAGAAAAGAGAAATAGCCACGAAATAAACCGCAACTAGAGCAGCAAATTGCACTGTAAGTTTTACTGAATGTGCGATCCTGTACTTGGTCGTGCAAAAACCCATGAGCATTGGTATATCATGTGTACGATACAAAAATAATCGTGTAGCACAGAGGCGAAGCTGCTCTTTTCAAACATAAGCGAGGAAGAAGCAAAAAAAGGAGCTCAAACGGGCAAACAAGGTGAAATAAGGAAAAGATTGAAAATACGCCTTGAAAATTTTTTATTGAGATTAGGAGTATCACCTTCTCACATCTGCTCCACGACCGCTTGTAATATTGTTAACACTAGCCTCCAATAAAGCAGCTACAGTTTCAATCAAATTGTCAAGGTTAGGCAGCAAAAATTCGACCAAAAAATAAAACTTTTTAAAAGTTCCGGATTTGATTATCCGACCAGTTGATTAGGAGTCTGACGTCCTTACATCTGCGCCACGGTCGCTTGGAAAAAAACTGTGGCCCAGCTAATGCTGGATCTACCTGTTATAATAATCTTAATCATATATTGTACCGATAAGGAAATACGAAATTCTCAAAATTTCAAAAAAACTGACTTCACGCTAAACCCTAGTGTTTCTCTGCTTAAAAAGAGGATTAATCTCTGATTTAAAAAAAGAACTACTCGCTCTTTCATTGAAGTCTTTATCTCAGATTTGGATGGGTAGTTTTCGAATAAAAGTGAAAAAGATTCCAAAAAACAATTAAAAAAAATTGACATTTCATATATGCAAAAACTTTTCTCTACTAAAGAATGGGAGTAGCCTTTGCTTTACACATCCTGGTTTTTAAATTGAAGATTTCTGCACTTTGTTTTTTAGATTGAACCCTTAATATCAGATTTAGCTAGTAGTTTTCGTGAAGAGACGAAACTTCTCAAAAAAACGGTAAAAATTTCAGAAGGAATTATTCCGAAGTCCATTTTAGTTTTTCTACAAAAATCAGGGTAAACAGATTTCGCAGGGAACATCTTAGCACCATGTTAGTTTTTCAGATTATTTTTTAAAAAAAAAGAGTAACTTTCCGAAAAACGGGCAAAAATTCAAAAATTGGCCTTTTTAGGCCATATTTTTTTCTTGCGCAGGTACCCTTTAACTCAAATTAGGCAGGGAAGTTTTTGAGAAAAATTAACCGAAATGTCAAAAAAGGGGCTTTTATGGGGCAATAACTTATTACCGAAATTAAGGAATCGCCACTTGAGAAGAGGAGATCCCCAAAACTTGTGCTTTTGATGGAAACCTTCATCTCAGATTTGAGCATGTAATATTTAAGAAAATGAAAACAATTCAAAACAAATAGGTCAAAAATCCCCTACAGAACTTTAGAAGGCCGTAGAACGTAAAATGAGGTAAAATGAAAAGAGACCAGCGAAATATGCAGGCACATCGAGACTAGCGAAAGCGCAGCCGGCTTTTCCATTGGTACCATCCTTTCAACAATAGGAAAGCACTGAACTTAAAAAAATCACAGATTAAACCGCGAAAAATCAAAGTTGAGCGTGAACAAATTTTAAGACTTTTTCCTGAAAAAAAAACAAACAAATCAGGAAGACCTATATATAAGTACTCACTATGTTGTTTATATGAGTACTCACTAAAAATGTTTATGATTAAGTAAGCTTAAATATGATTAATTGAAATATAACAAAAGGGCCACCAAATGAGCACATTTATTTGCGACTTGGGTTCAAAAAAAAATCTTCGTAATAACACAATACGCTTCTCTTGTGTAAATATAGGTATATATCGAAAATAACACAGCGTTTCGAATTTTGAGTCTAATACGCGAAACTTTTTTTAAAGAAATTTATGAAGTTTCACAGATCTCAGGCCAGACGAGCTACTCGGTCTTTCTACTAAACGAAAGGAGCTGATTCTGTCAAAGTTCTACGTACCAGTAGAAAAAAACCAGCAATTGACACAACTCAAAAATACTGAAACTAAGCTGCGTTGTGTATTTAACTTAACAAATATCCTATTAAATCGATCACTCCCTGAAAACCATGCAGCCAAAACTTAACAGGTAAAAATTAGAAAAATACAGTTGGAAAAAAATCAACGAACACAAAGAAAAAGTTTTTTCAAGAACTTCATTTTTGAAATATCTTGAGTGATTCGACCACAGCAATCCAAATCACGGCTCAAAGGGCTTTATTATGAACACAACAGAGAGGTAGGTACAATAAGTATGTACACCTTAAAAATTATTAGAAACAGCTTTATTAGGCTTAGTTATGCTCATCGTCATTCGATGTTTGCCTATCGCCATCCGATTTTCATTTCAGTTTGAAAACTGAAGCCCCTCCCGTCAAGTATCAGAAAAAGATTTTAAGCGCCCAGAAAAAAACCACAATCGAACTAAACAAACAATAATTCAACCAGTTTTCTGGATACTTGAAAACATATGCCGCTTCGCAAACACAAGCAAGAAAACTAGCCATTAAAAAAAGCAGCTACTGATACCAATAAGTTGCCAATTATTTGTAGCAAAAATAGCCAAAAAAATGAACCATAGCCAACAGACAGCTGGAAAAGAGTCAATGAATGAAAGTAAAAAAAACCTGACTTATTTTTGGACATAATCTCAACTTTCCAATTTCAAAGAAAAAAAGCTGCCCATAATGCTTTTTGAATATCTAGTACAATTATGATTGACACATTTATGATAAAATTAACCTCATTGGAGAAAACTGGATCATTACCTAAAACTTTGCTTCGCTGGGAAATCTAATTAAAGTTCGATACTAGAATTCGATCACGTTTTTCATGACATTTACACTTCTTCTATTCGATAGTTGTTTGCCTTCCTCTTAACAAAGGAAACAAACTGAACTTAAAATTAAATCACCATTCAAACCGCGAATTTACGCCCTCAACTACTTTTCAGACATTTCCTGAAAAAAAAAAAACAATTAAAAAATCAACACGAACTAAATAAAACTCTGAGCTATGTTAATCGATTCTTAATAAAACTAGCTCTAAGTTTGACATTGAACCTCCCACCAGTTGATTAGGAATCTCCCACGTCCTTCCCTTTGTCCCATGGTCGCTCGACTAACGACAAACACATGCCACCAATAAGGCACAAAACAGATGCCATTAAATGTTCGATGCTGCTCGTGATCATAGCAAAAGTGTCACCAATTGAAGGCAATTGGTTTTTCATAGTAAATAATTCATAGCAGCGGCAACTTGTAAAATATTGCAACTATGTGGATGAAATACAAAAATTAAGAAACAGAATGATCAAACTGAAACCCGAAATAAACGCCATATTTAGACATGCTTGAGAAACCTGGATTAATTGATGAAACTTATATTCCGCTTTCAATTCTTTAAATTAAAAACCACTTATGAAACTAAAAGTAATCAATGTCTATTCTCGCCACTTGCATTTTCTTAATAAAGAGCGTAAATTGCTTTCAGCAAATGAATTTTAAGCTAACTTAAAAAAAATGAAAATTTAAATCGCTTAAATAAAAATTTGAGCGCCAAAATTTTTTTCGAGTTTTCCTTTAAAAAATAAAAACATGAAAACCACACGAATTAGATAAATAAAACTCCTTTCGATCAATGACACAAAAACTTAACCTGTACTTAAAGTCAACATGGTCAAGTACAAAGAAAAACATAATTCGAATTCGACTCTATAGATTTCCATGAATAGGGAAAACAACTCAAGCTCAATGTTGTATCTATCAAAAAATCCTCGCGATCAAAGTGAACGGAACTATTTAGCTAGTCTGCGATAATATACAGATTAGTTTTGCATCAGCAAAAACTTCGGAATAAAATATCGTATAAATACCTCAAAAAGTGAACAAAAATATACAAGTAGCTTCAGAAATAACTCTGTGCTCGGCTTGCACAGTGTTACAGTTACGGTTAATAGTGGTTAAGCTCAACATTTAAAGCCATGCTGCATTTGTGCAATTTGATTTAATATTGAAACTAGTTACTTCACTCACATCCAAATCGAGCAGTGCTTTACTTCCACAGCTAGAAACTGCCGTCCCTGCCCCCAAAACTGAAAGGTCAACTCTGGGTGGCAAGTTGCTCCCGTGACTGTGCTTCTTCCTCGGTTTCACAGACCACCCGGTCGACGATCTGAGCAACGACTTGTTGCCTTTTAGCTCCTTGCTCGTAACAATTGTTGCCTGGTGTTATAAAGCGACAGATTAGCGCTGTTATTACTTGTAATCAGTTAATCGATGATAAAGCGGCATACTCTCACTGGAAACATGCTGTGAATTGGGCCATGATTTTGTTCTTCAACTTCCAACTAGCTATCAAAATACGATGATACGCACCAAAACACTGAAATAACTACAAGCACCAATTACTTTCTAATCGTATCCCTTATAAGACTATTTAATATATTTCTCTATATTTCACTTTCACGAATTTGCTCAAACCGTTTGAGTCACTAATTGGCTCAAATTTGAAGTTTAAGATGCTCGCCAAGGCTATTCTCAAGGATGAGAGCTACGGTTTTACTGTTTCTAATTAATCTAACCTTAGCTTGTTGCATGAAGCTACTTTGCTCGTCTTGGTCTGCTGATTTGGCCTTACTTGGTTCATCATTGTTTGTCGCACTCTCATCTGAAGACTGTTTGTTCACTGTTTTCAAAGTGGCAGCTATAAAATCGCCGTTGTCGGCGCTGAGCAGCTCCGTTGAGCTGTTACTTCCGTCATGCTCTGATACCTAATAGAAGTTCGAAAAATCCATTTCCACCAGCCTTATTTCATTTCTCTAACTCATTAAGACATAACCTCACATGATAGTAATAAAATACAGTTAGTTAGAAAGAACATAGAAGCTCCAATTTGTTTCTTCCCTTCTGGATAGGGGTCTCTAACTTCTAATGAAAATATTTTCATTAAGAAAGTTAACCCACAAATTGAAAAACCAACATACATGTTGTTCAACTGATCACTGCGATCTGCTGTTGCGCCGCTGATTTAAAAAAAAAACTTTTTCCTTAACCATTACCTTAAAACTTGATGATTTTTTTAACCTTGATGGCAATCTTGCTGACAACTGGCCTCGGTGGCACCACATTGGCCTGTTGAAGAGAGTCCTTCTGGTGAGCTGAAGCAATAGCTGCGGAGTGGGTGGGACTGGACACTGACTGGAAGTGTATCTGGGGGAAAGAGGAGGACTTGTCCTCGGCCGTTGAGTCTGTCTCTGTGAGCGCACCAGTCACGTCTTCAGTCAAGTCATCTCCATCCAGCAAGTCTGGAAAAATAACTTAAAAATAGTGCTGACTCGAAATCCACCGTGCAGTTGTTTGTAGCGTGACTAAATGGGCGGATGCTACTCCCCTCCCTCAATTCTGGCAGCTACATTTTTTCGAAGGGTCACCTTTGATATTTTACCACAGCCATTTCTGACTCTCTACTCATAGACAAATTATAAAGGAGCCTTCGGCTCTATTATATACTAACTTTTCAGCAGCAGCGTGCGTCGAAAAAACACATTTTTTGGTTGAAAACTTCCAAAAAGAGCTCCAACGGCAATTGTTTAATTGCCGCAGCTCGAACGGCAATTGTTTAAGCACCGCAGAAAATTTTTGCAAATTTGGTCATTTTGGGTGTCAATAGAAATGACACAATTATTAAAAAAAAACACCCCATCCCCGACAAAAAAATCATGCGCATGCCACTGGCACTATGAATGATTTCTATGGTGACTAAGAAGCTCCAGAATATCAATTATTATAATATTAATATTACTTCAATTTAGATCAAGGATAGGAGCCTTGAAACATCTATTTATTTAACTTAAAAAAAATTGTTAATGCTATCTTTGTAACCGTCAACAAACTGGAAGATTCCATCAAACATGAAAAACAATCAGCACTCAAATTAGATGAAATTAAGCGTCAAGGAACCTTTCGAGTTCTTGCGTGAGATGCTTGGCGTGACAGTGTGGGAGACGACTGGACTGGGTGGCTTCTCCAGGCACTGGCACACATGGATCTGTCCGGCCACTGTGTTGATAGTGATGCGGATCAGATTCTTCACACTCTGGATCTGGGTCGACACGTCCAGACGGTACTGAAAAGCAAACAAAAATCTAAGAATCAAGCTATTGTTATCTGGAAGTTGAATACTAAGTTAAAAATTTGAAAGAAAAAAACGAGAAATCAAAAAGTATTTTATTTTTCTATCTTTTTAGTATCGTTACAGCTTATCAGAAATAAAATACATGGATTGCTTTTTGATCTTGATCTTCAAAACTACACAATCGAAAATTATTGCGTCGACTTGTACAAACTCACTACGCTAAAGCCAAGAGATCAACTTTTTGGGCCATTCAATGACTGCGATTAGAATAACAATTTAGACACCAACCTTGTAGAGAATAACCAGGAGCGACATTAACCACTGATGCCTCACATGTGGTTCCAGAAGCCAAAGAGAATAGTCCGGAATACTGCCCAGTAACGGTAGACCAATTCCGGAAGATGAGGCAATCCTTCTATTCGAGGGAAGATACTGCATGAGTAACACTATCAAATGCATCATTGAAGTTCCCATTTCGTGGTTGTAGTCCAACACTTCGGCCATGTGAGTCATAACTGCATTTAGCACTACTGAGACTCTCAGTTTGTGGGGAGGGTGGAAGAAGGATTTGTCCTGGGGGTTGTAGGAGAGAAGGTAGTTAAGGTGTCGCATTACACTGCTCATGGACTTACTACTCTCCATGTGTATGTGTGGGTTGCCCGGTCTCTCAGGGTCAGGACGAGCAATAAACTAGAAAAACCCAGTATTATTTTTTGACAATCTTAAACGATTCTGGGTTTTATTAGCCTTATCTTATCGTAAAATCAAACTCAGAAAGTGTTTTGCGGAGCAAGTAAAACTCAGTGACCTTTTTCTTAAAAATTAATAGAGCGTATCGAATTTTTGAGGCAATCAGATTTACATACCTTCATTAGCAAGGAAATTATCAAATGGACTGTCTGTTTGTCAGCCTCGTTGCATCCTTTATTGTACAAACTGTTCGCTGAACTCGATCTTCCGCCCACCACTCCAAAGCTCTCCTCAACTTTCTCCAGTACCGAGAAGTGTACGTTACACTGCTTCAGTGAATCTGACATTTGATACAAGGTTTCAAACGCAGCTCCCACCGGATTCGGTCGGTGTTCGAATCCCGCAGATGAAGGAGCTGTTGCAGGATTACTAGCCGATCGTGACAGGTCTACCTTTCCCATTTTTGGTTTCAGAAACTCAGTTATAGGTTGCAAGCCTGCGGGTCCTTGTCGTTCACGAACATGCTTCGCCTTCTCTAGTTTATTGTCACGCGAGACGTCTGCGTTGAGTGCTGCCGCTTCGCTTGCAGATGCTGAAGTGCATGGAAAGTAGGGGAAGCGACCCTGTGATGCCTCATACTGGGATTCCAACATGAGTGTGTTGAATCTTCGCGAGAAGAAGTCCCAAGAAAGAGCTGGAATGTCGCTAATTGTATTGTGGATTAGCTCAAATGTAGACAGAATCAGTGGCCGGTCTTCAATCACTCCGTCAAATTGCACTTCGAGACACTCGCACATAAACTACAGATAACAAATGAATGATAGAAAGCAAAACTAATCATGCCATTTTCATTTCAAACAAAAATATCTCTTTCTAATGCACAATTGTAGCCATTATACACTGGGAAAAATCAGTTTCGATCATGATGTCATAATTGCATCAAGTTAGGTTAATTTATTTCGCAAAAAAGTATCACTTTCTGATACATTTTTTGATGCGCGCATTCTCATGAATGTCATTAAAAAGAACATTGCCAACAGACAGTTTGACACAGGTGAGCCAAAAATTTTGTATGTCTCGATGAAGGACACCTAGGGTCCAGCTAAAGCTGGAGGTACAATTTTTGATATTTTTTGAATTTGTTATACTGATGCGGGACAAAATGCGTAATTTCAAAAATTGGATTTTGCCCAAAACCTTTGTTGTTTCTCAAATAAAATAAGTAAGAAGAAAAAAATTTTTTTTGAATTTGGAATTTTTCCAAAGACATAACTTTTCTCTTGCAAAAACTTAAGGAAAAGCCCCTTCTGCAAGAAAAACTCGCTCAAACTCTTCTTTCGATTGAAATTTCAAATTTGATAGGGTATTTAAGAAAAACCAAAAAGTTTTTAAATAAGGTCAAAATTCAAAAACTTGACTTTCCTAAAAGCAGGTCATAACTGGATAAGTAGAAAAGATTCCCAAGATCAGATTTCTCGATTGAAAACTTGACCTGAAAATTGGAAGCTTGACCGAAGGTAATTTTCTAGTAGAGTAAAAAAAAACTTCCAAAAAACGGTCAACTTTCAAAACTTTCACTTGTTTGAAGGCCATAACTTTTTTTAAAAGAAATTGGGCGTAGCATATAATAAAGGTAAGCTTCCAACAACCTTTTGTGTCGATTAAACCTATGATATCAGATTTGGCAGGATAGTTATCGAGAAAAGTCCAAAACGGTCTAGAAATCACCGAGAATCATAGCTTTTTGTTTTAAAAAATGGGCGTAGCCGCTTATGCAGAAGAGATTCGCCAAACCTGTATCTTCGATTGAAACCAAAAACCCAGGTTCGGCAGGATAATAATCGAGAAAACTCCAAAAAACAGTAAAAAAAACTTTTGACTTTTCCGAGGGCCATAATTTGGAATGTCAAAAAAATTTGGGGGCAGTCGCGTATGCAAAGAAGCTACCCACAACCCATTCATTGGATCGAACCCAGAATCTCAGATATCAGAGGGTATTTTTCAGTTAAATTTATTAAAGATAGATAAAACCCATATTATAAAAGTTAGATAAAATTGACTTTTTCGAGGGCGAGAATTTTTTTTGGTAAAAAATTGTGAGTGGCCGCTTATGCAGGGGAGCTTCTTACTACCCGTTATCTCCATTGAAACCACAACCTTAGGTTTACGAGGTTAGTTTTCAAGAACTTTACGGGCACTAATTTTATGTGGATAAAAAAAGCTTGGGCGTAGCCGCTTATAGATGGAGTTTTTCATATCCGATCTGATCATTGAAACCAAAATCTCAGAGAAAACTCATTTAATTTTTGAGAAAACTGAAAAAAAAATCATAAACATTCCCGTTCAAACAAAATTTTTGCAAAAAGTTCAAAATTTTCCAAAGCGTCAAAAAATAAATAAAATAAAAAACCCAATCCCATGCACTTTAATAACACTTGTTTTATTGCACAAGAATTCTAGGTAAATATATGCCAAGCAAGACATTTGAAATTAAAATTATCAACTGAAGAAAACTTACGAAGGGGAAACAAAGCCGAACGAAAATCTTTAAGCAGACACCAACTGTGCCGAAAAAAAAAACTGATTATATAAAAAAATTTATAAAGTTTCGAGTCCCCCTGAAACTACCCACTAGTTAAATTTGAATTTTCAGGAAACTGAGCATGTCAGCTGCATTTTATTTCAACTGATTTTGTTCAACTAATTGTTTCTCGAAAAAAAGTCTACATTCCGATGTGTTAACGCTTGCTAATCTTAAGCGTAAAAATAGTCAATGAACGCAAGTAAACAGAAAAATTATCGAAATGGTTTTTTATTGAAAAAATCTCAGCTTTCGAAGTTCGAAGACGAAAAATAGAAGACGAAAGGCCCTCAAGCACTTTGAATTTCTAGAACAACTTATGGTTGACACTTTTTGGTAAAATTAACTCAATTTGAGAAAACTTGATCAATAGAAAAGTGTTTTTGTATCTCTGGGAAACCTGATTAAATTCCACTTTTGAAACTAGAACTCGATCACGTTTTTCGTGAAATTTACTCTTTTGCTGCTCGATAATTGAAATTGCCTTTTTTGTAACAAAGGAATTGAACTGACCTTGAAAAGAAATCAAAAGCCAAGCCGCGCAAAAATAAATTTGAGCCTGAACAAATTTAACAACTTTTCCTGAAAAAAAGCGAAAAAAATTATCACGGCCTAATCTAAGAGTCTAAACTACGTTCATCACTCTTAATAATCTTAACCCTAGATAATTTTTTACAATGATGCTTGGACAATCTTACCAAAACCCAAAAATTGAGGTGAAATCACAAACAACTCACCTTCATAGCAGCTTTTCTCACACTCTTCAAGCCAATGAGAGCCCTCAGCGCCACATTCTCATTCGAATCATTCAGACTGTTGACTACATATGCAGAACAGAGAGCCAGTGAGGACTGGATGGCCAGCTGTTTGGCTATCTGTTTCGGATCCACAAACTGCAGAATGGTGCACACTTTCTCCACTGAAGAAGAAAAAGGTAACAGCGAAAGATCTCCTTAAGAATCACATGATACTAGGAGCCTACTTTGTGCTTAAGCTTCCACCATTTAACACTTTAACTTACTTTGCTCTTTTAACATTGCCAGATTGCCTTGATGTTGTTCAACAATGACCGAAATTAGGTATCAGTTCAAAATTCATAAACTACCGGCTCTTTTTACAATTTCAACGTTATAAAACAGCAAATTTGACGCTTAATTACATACCTCTATTTTCATGAATAATCAGTTTATGTTATGCAAAACACTACTAACCAGCTTCGAATCTCGTTTCCCACTCGCTACTTGTAAACCAGTTCTTGATAATATCCCAAAATTTATTCTGACCCAGCGGCTGACAGATCCCATAGAGTATCAGAGGGATACTCTGCTGCACTGCTTGAGACTCATGAGCATGGATCAGTTCCCAGAACGTTTCTAGTAGATACTTTTCCTGCAGGTGGACAAGGAATCCGAGGTGTTCCTGGTAGTCAGTTCCCGAAAAAGTGTCCGCATGCAGGAGCATAAGTCGAATGCACCTCACGACGCTGAACTGAGCTGAACGGTCACTGTACTCTCGCAGGAACTGAAATAGCCGATAGAACTGATGGTAATATTAAAGCCGATACAACAGATGCTATTCATTTCCAATGCTATGCAGCAAAAATGCCACCAAATGAGCACGTTTATTTCGAGTTTGATTCTTAAAAAATGTGAATCGCTAATATAACACTACGCTCACTTGCGCAATGGCAAGTAAAAATAATTATTACAAAGTATTGTCGAGCAAAAAGATCGTCTTTCTAAAATACTAACGGACTCTTTTTCATTAAAAATCAAAAACCCGAGTAAAACGCGCGAAAAATATTGAACACGCTGTAAACCCGTCAAAAAACTAACTCGTATGAATATGTAGAGCAACTTCAACTTTGACGGAAACTCTTCGGGGTTGAACTCAAATCTGCCCAGCGATGTCTCCCAGCAATGCATCGGCGGCCCCTTAGACACATGAACCTCTGTATTCTTCTCGTCTATAACTCGAATGTCCGAGACCATTTGATTCGCTTCCGATTCGTGGGTTTTACTCTCGGGCACTTTACACTTGAATGCCGATTGGGCTCTAGCTGGGTGAAACTCGACTAAGTTAGAAGATGAAGGTCCCGATTGGCTGGTCGAAGGACCATTAGGGTTACTCGAATTACTATCAGATCCGACCCATTTAGAGATTTGGGGAAGCGAATTGCCGACACTACTGCTATTACTGAAATAGTTCGGGAAATATAATAAATCTCCATTTTGAGCTTAATAAGTTAAAACTGACTTTAACTTACGGAATCGTTTCGGCATTTGTCTCGCTGAATGTCTGAAAACAATTCTAAGTTTAGATTGTATACAATCTTCTTCAAAGCGAAACATTTACTTCAATTTCAGGATAAAAAATAACTCAATCACAACTGAAATTATTGGCGTTGCAGCATTCATCAATCAACGCATGCTCAAAATTCGACAGTTTACCTACCACACTGCTTTTTCTTTGGCTTTAAAGGTAAGAGGTGGACTTAGATCAACGACTCGAGGATTAGTGCTTCTCGCAGTGCGTACCTTTAGTGACTAAACTTCCAGCTATAATTGAAACAACACTGCGCTTACAACTCCTATATCCATCCTCACTTACCACTTTCAGATCTGATTGACCATCAGCGCCTCCTTGGCCGCTATTCTTACTCTCATCCGAGTCCGAATTATTCGACCCACCGTCTCCCCCTCCTATCTTCCACGCAGGCGCCGACACTTTCTTTTCTCTCTTTCCTTTTCCATCCTTAGTAACTCCTCCACTTTCAATATTCTGAGATGACGTCATAGCTGTTATAGCTGCCGTGAAGTCTTCTGGTTCCATAACATACAATTGACTTAACTTCGTCTCCATAGGCGGGCATAAAAGCTGCATTAGACTGAAAACCAAATCGAAGAGAACTGCTTCTTCGTCACAGAAATCGCAATCGATGTCGGGTCCCATATCTGAGTCGTCGCTCGGGTTGTGCTTCGACGCCGCTCGGATTCGAGCTGTCCTGGTGTGTATTTCGACGTCGGCGGGCGAGGTGAAATCCAAGCAGGTGTGACGTCCTGGCAGAGGACATGTTAGCATAACGTTAAGCATGACTATAATTGATCTTGCATACGTTGTATCGAGGCCTTGGAACGCTTTGAACTCTTGTAGTTCCGACTAAAATGAGAAAATCAGATTATAAACGGAAAAGATCTTTTAAACAATCATCAAGAAAAACAAAAACGATCCGCTGTTATGGTCATTCAATTCAAACGAAATCTGTCAAAGTTTTTAAATGAAGCATGTGACATTAATCAGAACGTAAAAAGGTAATTAAATAATTAGATTGCGAGTTAATTTAGCGTCATTTCGTTAGTTAATGACCAACGTGGCATTGATTGTGATTAAAAATAAACAAACTGGGCGAGTTATGAGAAGCCCAGTTGAAAAAGATCCCATATCATGAGCACATAAACGCAAGACATCTTACCCATTGGTTCGAGCTACAAGCGTTCATCTGAAAACAACATAACACGCGAGTCTACACATTAATCACTACTAGAATATACAATAAATCTACTAGGATGTAACAGATTAGCCCAAAATCATACACACAATTTTAATGAATTATGTCATTCGAAATCATTATGCAACAACTGGAATTTCAGTCAATTTCTGCTATTTACATAATTGCGCGATATCGCTTATCAAGATTTTGTCTAGGAGCAAGTTTTTTCTTTCATTGTCGCATCATTCTCCGCGAAATATGTCCAGATTTTGAATTCTCATCGCTGACTTAGATTTTGGTGCGACCTAGTTAAACCTCTGTCACGACCAAGTTTAAACTTGAGTGCGTCTACGATTAGAAAAAAAATGGTAATTAAAAAAAACGGTTGAAAGAAGAAATAAATCTAATTTGTTGACACTAAGTTGATAAACACTTAACCAAAAAAAATATCTAATAACAGCCAGTGTAACTATATGAGTCAGATTTATTGAAGAGGGTGGGCATTTTTTAGTGATGTTGTCATTAAAATTACATCAAACTGTGGCTGATCAACACTTAAAGGTATCTAACAGCGCCAATGAATACAAAACTTGATGATGAGATTGCGCTTAACAAATAGCAAAAACAGGTAATTTCAGCGCATTAAAAAAAAATCCCTCGGCACAAATACTTAGGGTACCGATTTTGTCGACCCATTACTGTCAATTTTTTTTTTATTGTGGGCGATTAGCAGAGGATCTATGAAAGGCTGTTCAGCCTGTCTAAGCATAGTCCGTTTATCTTATTTCCCCACATTACAGAGTAATTTTGTTGAGCGAAGCTTTTTATCGCGACTCAAGCTCATTTTTTAATGTCTTGAATTTTCACGTGGTACCACTATAACAGCCAAAATTGGTATGTCTGTTGAAGACCTGAAGCTAGTGGTTAAATGAGCGCTCGTCCTCACTCACTATCATTGCCATGGCAGGGGATCGATTACACGATCTGACAATCACAAAGTGAATGCCGCCTTAACACTGTGCTAAATGCCTTTAAGCCAATGCACGAAAAGCCTATATCCGGCCATATTAGCTGTATAAGGCGTAAAATGCCGCTAGTATCGTCGGATATATGCTCATCGTGTTTGGTTTCAAAACACGAGTTCTTGGGGGCGACAAACATTGTTACCACCTTTAAACAAAAAAGCATCATCAAGTGATCATTATATAAAGCAACTTTTATTTGTCTACGCGCTTACAAAACTCAAAAAATTTTAATAGATTTGATTTTTTTTTGTGTTATTTAACTTTGAATAGGATTCTCCAATGCAGATTCACAAACCAGAATTCTACCTGTTTTAAAAGCGAGTCCAACATCAGAATAAAACACACTGAGATTCTTTCACAGTCATTTTCGATCTCCTTGTCTTTGGCCAACTGTTCCTCCTCAGCAGGTGTCATAGCGGGTGGCTCCTCCGCCGTGCCACCCGGCGCATCTGTTGAAGACTGTAGGCCGGTGGTGGTGTTTGCTGCTGCTGCAGCTGTTGTCGGAGAGAGGAATGAGCTGGCGTGGTATTTGCGTTGCAGCCATGACACCACACTCTGAGGTACTTGGCTCCTTAAATAAAAACAGATTGAATCAGAAAAAAAATGATTCGATATCATGAAGCTAATTACGAATTCAAAATTTAACTAGCTAACTAATTTCTCCAAAACCAGAAAACCAGTTAAAACAATTAGCACAACCAATAGACAGTTGAAAAAGTTTCAATGAGCTGAATGACAGCAAAAAAGTTTTATTTTAAACTAAATACATTACCTAAAAGCTCTTTTCAAGAACTTTTCATGATTGCCACAATTTTGACAAAACTTTCCCAATTAGAGACAAGTAGAGCCATTTTCTGCGCACAGAATGTTCTAATCAAAATAATTTGGGAAAACATTTTTTAAATAAATGTCTCTTGTTATTTTTTTTTATCTAGGAGGTCGATTGAATTGAGTGAAAAGTGCGAAAAGAGCGGTAAATATAGTTCAAAGAAACAGTAAAATTTTACTACAAAAACATGGGAGGTCTTCCTCTCAAACGTCGTCAAATTTAGTCTGGAAAACGAAAACAAAGCACACCAGTTTTTCTCGACATTTAGACAAATGTTTTGCCCTTTTGGAATCCATATCACAGACAACAGGACAATAATACAATGTCACATTTGATCCCCTATGAGATTTCTTTTAGATAGTCAAAATTGGTTGGTCTTTTTCAGTTACGTAGTCGGAACAAAAACTGGGTGATCAGGTAACTTTTTAACTAGCTGAGAAATCTTAAATTTCAAATCCACTTGCGAAATTCAAAGTCATGTAGATTTTTTTGCCTGATTTGGAGTTTTGTCATTGTTGAGGGTAATTTGCCCTACCTTTAGCAAATGAATGAGAATGAAACTCAAAAAAGTCAAACCGCAAAACAAGGATAGCCGGTTACTGTACAAATAGCACAGAAAGTTCCGACCAGACAAGTTTTTGATTCCCAAAATTACACTGAAAAAACTCCAAAAACTATCTTTACTTGATTAAAACTAAGTTTGCACGGCTTAAAATAAGCTTAAATAAGCTATTGTAAGCCTACACGGTCACCTTATTAGCTCGAAATTGGACTAAAAATCAAAAAAATTCAAACCGGTTTTTCACGAGACTGTGAAAACATTTTTCAAAAAGTTTAACGTCGTCGAATCACGACTGAACGGGCTTTAATATAAATTATCACTCGACCCATTCCGATGATTATTTGTGGTACTTGATTTTGCGTGGAAAACAAAAGAAAAAAAATAAACCAGACCAGTAAACCCAAACATAGCTAACAGATGTGTAGAAGAGTCCAGGAACCCAAGTAAACAAAAAATGCTAATTATTTTTGAAAAAATCTCAACTTTCTAATTTCAAAGAAAAAAGATGACCTTAGAGCTTTTTAAAATTGCTTGAAACTGCTTGTCTATAACAATTTATGACAAGCATTTTTCGATAAAATTAACCCATTTTGAGGAAACAGGGTCAAAATGTTAATTTTTTATTTCGCTGGGAAATCTGAAAAATAAATTTCACTTTCACAACTAGAAGTCTATCACGTTTTTCGTGAGCTTTTCCTGTTCGATAGTGGAGTTTGCCTTTCTTTTAACAAATGAATTGAACTAAAATTTAGAAAAATCAGAAGTCAAATTGCGAAAAAGTAAATTTGAACCTGAACAAATTTTATGACTTTTCTTGAAAAAAATTATCGCGACCTATATAAGAGTCTGAACTACGTTCACCGACTCTTAATAACTTAATAATAACATCAACTGCGGAAAAAAGCTTCATAGAAATGATTATTGCTTTGTTAGAAAATTATTTTAAAACTGCAAGACTCACCGCAGGAGTAGATCTATTTCAATAGTACAAATTTTTCGGTTTAATGATCTGGTCTCTCTGTTTTCCTTTTGCTGATACACCTATTTACTAATATAACATTTACTGTCCTAGCATTAACTTCATTTAGTTCGTTTCAATTAGTTTTACACAGCAAACAACCTAAACGATTCAAAATTAACTTCATTTAATGATATCTCATAATATTTTTTTTGACATAACAAGGATGAAATGACGATCTTACTTGTCCCTTGGAAACAGATGCGTCTCGCTCGTGTACCACACTGAAGCCACGTTCAAAGTAGTGTCTCCATGTTCCAACCTGTATATCACCTGGGCCCTTATAGCTTGGATTCCATCTGTCAACAGACTGCTCATGATTGACAGTGGGATTGTCACTCCCAGTTTGGAGAGGGTGTTGATCCAAATAAGGGCTCTCTCCTGGTCTGTCACTAGGGCACAGTGGAAGTAGGATGTGAAGAAGTTGAACAGTTCGCTGACTGAGAAGACAGCACACATTTGTTGGTCGAAGAGCTTACTAAAATATGTAAACTAAACTTGGTTTAACTCTCAACTTAAAGAGAGTTCGTCGCCATTAAAATTCACCATATCAAAAAAAAAACGTTTTAAAAGCACAGCGGCTACCTGAACACGAATTTGAGGTCGTCCAGTTCTGCTGGCTCCACCTGTGTACTGACAGTGTCCAGCCAGTGTGGGATTACGGAGCTCCAGACATTGGGGGTGATGACATTGTAGGGCATGAGGCAGTAGATGGTGTGCAGACCCTGTCTCACCTGATGAGTCCTGCTCTCCAAAGAGTCCCTACAGATAATCGACAAAAACATAAATTGTTTTCAAGCGAAAGACTTAACAAATAATCATCAATTTTGTATATTTATCAGCAATTTTTAAAAGCATCTTAGCAAAGGAATCGCTAAGTCCCTCGGTTTTCAGAGCCAATAAAGTTTTCAGGTAACACCATCGTAGTTAATGATTACTTTTATGAAGAACTTCAACTATAAACAGGGTTGCATGATTAAAATCAATGATTTAAATCGGATTTTAATCGTGGAATAAAAATGAAAAAATCAACCCTTGTGTTATTCTGCCGAGGGCTGCGGTAAACATACAAGCCAGCTTGCAGTATTTACATTGGTTACGTAATTCGTTCTTCATAGCATACTTTTAACTGGAAAAGTTTTTCAGCGCTTTCGGATTTATCCATTCCAGCCTCAGAAATTGACTGGGAATCGAAAAATATGGGTAACTTGTGTTCTTCTTTCGGATGCCGAATCAGTAATTTTGCGGAAACTAATTGATTCTTGAAACAAAAACGTTTCCAATAAAAATGGAAAAAATCAAGGTAAAATAATAAAAATCGGATTTAAATCAATCGAGAATATACATCAGATTTTTATGCAACCCTGACTATAAAGGACAAAAGCGTAGACTTGAAAACTATTTATCGATCTATTTTTTTTGAGGATCAGAAATTGACTGCGAATCGAAAAATATGGGTTACTTGTGTTCTTCTTTCGGATGCCGAATCAGTAATTTTGCGGAAACTAATTGATTCTTGAAACAAAAACGTTTGAAATACAAATGGAAAAAATCAAGGTAAAATAATAAAAATCGGATTTAAATCAATCGAGAAAATACACCAGATTTTTATGCAACCCTGACTATAAAGGACAAAACCGTATACTTGAAAATTATTTATGAATCTAACTTTTTTGAGGATCGACTTAAGAAAAATAATCAAACTCAAACGTAATTCAAATAAATTTCTAAAGACCGGAAATATCAGCGAGGCGGGGGATGTGCGTTTTATGTGCGCGATGATGTGAACTTTCAGTTAAGCAATATAGAGGTTAATTTCGAATGCATCAACATATCTATCGTATATTTCCGTTGTCTATAAACCCCCACAGAGCAAAAATGAGGTTTTTTTAATCACTTTGAGAATTACCTTCTGTACTTAAATGCTTTGAAAACTAATTTTCTTGTTTGTGGAGATTTTGATATCGATACTTTAGATTGCAAGCCAACTTCCAATTCTTATATTAATCTATATAAGAGCTGTGGTGCGCATATTTTGAATAGAGTTAACTCGCATTACTCCAACATCGAGTAAATGTATTGATCATTTATTTGCTAATTTTGACGCCAAAGTAAAAACACTGGATTCAACTATTTCTGATCATTTTCCCGTAATTGTATCTGGTTACGTGAATGTTGATCCGCAAGAAAATCAAGATTACTGCTATTGAAATCTTAAAAATCTTTACCGTGACGATAATATTTATAAATATTTATTCCTCTTAGAAAACAAATTGTCAAAGATTGATAAGCTTAGTGATCCCAATGAGAAATTATGTCTGTTAGTTGAATCAATAGTTTCATCAATTGATCGTTTTGCTCCCTTAGAAAAATCGAAATCCCAAAAACAGTCATGGGTTACCGATTCTACCAAAAAAAATCCTCAAAAACCGCAATCGGCTTTTCAGTAAGTGGGTACAAAATCCTACTGAATTGAATAAACTGAAATATTCTCAAGCTAGAAATTTAGCAACCAAGTTAATAAGAAATGAAAAAAGAGTTTATTACGACAAAAAAGTTGGAAATGGTAGAAATTCGAAAACGCTGTTCCAGGCCTTTAATGAATTTTGCAAAGGAAACTCCAAAAACACGAGTTTTTTGGCTGCTGATGTTTTTAATGAATTTTTTGCCTCAATTGGCGAGAAACTGAGAAATCCTGAATTCGATTACAAACAAGCGTTGGGTTATGTAGATCGCATCGAAAAATCAATGGTGTTTTATGAAATTACCCGCAAGTAAATTGAAAATGCCATACATATGTTGAAAAACAAAGGTTTAAATGGTCATGATGGCATAAATAACAAAATTATAAAATTATCGCTGCCTGTAATTTCTATAAGAATTTGCAGCCTTTTCAACCAATGCGTTAAGAGTGGTTATTTTCCTCAAGGCTTAAAAGTTGCAAAAGTTGTTCCCCTTTTTAAGGGAGGTTTAAAAGATTCTTTGGAAAATTATAGACCTATTAGTTTACTCAGTTCACTCAGCAAAATTTTCGAAAGGATAATATTCAATAGAATGTATAACTTTGCTAATAAGCAGAAGATTCTTTATGAAAAACAGTTTGGATTTCAAAAGAAAAAGTCATGCGTGGACGCATTAATCGAATTCACCGAATTTATTAGAGAGGGATGGGACAAAAAATTGGTTGGTCAATCATGCCTTGTTGATCTTAAAAAAGCATTTGATACAATAAATCATGATCTTCTTTTGGCAAAATTGGAAAAATACGGATTTAGAGGCCGGATTCTTTGTCTTCTAAACAATTTCTTTACAAACCGACTTCAATTTGTTCAAACTGATAATAAAATATCTTCTAGTCGCTCTATGTCATGTGGAGTACCGCAAGGGTCAGTTTTAGGTCCGTTTTTGTTTTTAATATATAAAAAGGATCTTCCGAAAATTGCTGAAGGATCTGAGGTTGTTCTATTCGCTGATGATACTACAATATGCAATGCAGAAAAAAATTGTTGCGATAGTTTTGATAGTTCTATAAGTAAAATGGATAGATGGTTCAAAACGAATGGACTTTGTGTCAATCCTGGTAAAACTCAAATAATAAAATTTGGTAATAACTTTTCAAAAGATTACTTTACTTTTGGTACTACAGTTCAAATTACAAATGTGTGTAAATATTTAGGCATTTTTGTTGATAAGAAACTTACTTTCAAACTTCACCTGTGTGCAAAAAATTAACTAAATTTTGTGGCATTGTCTGGAAAGCAAGGTATGTTTTTTCTAAACAGATGCTTCGCTTCTACAAAGCATATGTAAATCCTACAATCACTTATGGAATTTTAATATACGGCAATACATCCCAATCTCACCTTACCGAGATAATGAAACTACGAAAAAGAATCATGAGAGCAATTTTTTTCAAACGTAGATATGAATCAATAAAGGAAATTATGGACGAAAACAAATTGCTTACTGTTTTTGATTTATACTTTTTTGAGATGTTTAAGTACTTGTTTATGGAATTGCGATCGGACAAAAAAAATGGTTTTCTGTCTCAGATTTACTCCCAAAAAAAGTGGACCATGTAACAGGAGCAAAGCGAAAGGCGTAATTAAAGTGGCAAAATTTTCTACTACCGCTAAACAGAGATCGCTTCCAGTTAGAATTGTGCAGGCTTTTAACTATTTAAAACAAAATGACTTGATACCTGTTAATAGACATGAAATGTCAGAAGTTAGTTGTTTGAGACTCTATAAACAGTTTTTTCAAATTTACCTATAAGACAATCAGGACCTCTACAAACTGTTTTTTAATTTCAGCCCTTAATTTAATTTGTTTGTTGAGTTGATGCTGGCTGTCTTCTCTTTACTCTCCAGGATATCCTACTCGATGAGCAGTACTGCTCTTTAGGATCTCCCTCCAGGCATAAGATATTGCTTTTGGCGTTGTATATGTAGCTGGTAAAGTAATTCAAATTTCAAATTTTTGCAATGCTTTCATCATACTCAGATGCTCCAGTCGCTAGGAAAAGATCAGCTAAGCAATATTTTGAGACTAAATGGCGAAAATCTTTTCGTGCAAGGAATTTAATTGACTGTTTAACCTCTAAAATTAGGTAGGTGAACAGTTTAAAAAATATAATTATCAGTGATACCACCAACCATCTCCGGTTTAATTTTATTTTAAAATCAATTTCCACTCTTACCAATGACGTCCGATCCTTGCGTATTCCGGAGGACATGGCATCAAACACATTGTGAAGATCTCGAAACATGACTCAAGCATATCCGTCAGCCAACCATCGCTGATCTCAGTCTTCAAAACCTCCACAGAATTTCCGATCGAATCATTTTGCTGCACGAACACACATTGGAACCAATGCACAACTCCAGCTATAAGACGTCCCAAAAATTCAGGTTTCGGCTTCTGCGCGGCAAAGAAAGATGTCGACTGTCCTGATTCATTAGTACTTCCTAGTGACACACCCTTATTTCCCCCAGAACCACCATGCTTTGCATTAGCTGTACTTTTATAGGGACTTGCACAGACTGAATTGATGAGCCAAATAGCCGATCTAGGGAGAAGTCTTCGGTCCTTATAAGCTACAACCCCTCCTTCGTTTAGGTTAGAAGGAGATGCTGATCCGTCGTAGGAACTGGAAGCTAAAAGTTGGTCCGCATTGAGACTGAATTGGTTTGGGTTCGAGTGGTCCTTCTGTTTGTTAGTCTTGGAAGAGGCTTGAGTGAGACTATACTCTGCCTCTTCCAGCAACCTACAACAAAAAAAAATCATTTTTTTAGAAATCTGCTGGCCACAGCATGGTACCAACTTTTAGTAGGCTATCAAAAACTAAATTCGAGAAATGCAGCCGAATACGTCTTTTTTCCTGGCAACTCGTTTTCCGGTCAATGTACAAACGCATCCCGCATGTTATAAATGTTGTAAAAAACCTGCTCATTTGTTCACGCTGAGTTGTTTTTTTTTATAGTTTAGAATATCAGAAGTCAAGCGTTCGTAAAACGAAAAAATCGAGGAGGGAAATTGAATTCAGATACTAATAGCGGAACGACGGAATTTCCGTAGCAGCGATCCGTTACAGAGTGCAGACAAAATCAGATGCCTCGTAGATAACTCGTAATACGAGATACTATTTCGAAGACCTTCAGGTCAAAGAATAAATTTCAAATAAATTTTCTGTGTCGAGAAAACTTTGAATTTTGCGATCATAAATAAGAAGTGAATGAATGATTTTAGCTACCATAAGGCTCAAATCTGCTACATGTATGATTGTTCTGGTGATGAAGGGTTCGGTATGCATTCGCCATGATAACTATCAAAACAATTTGTATTTCTGTTGCTATTTCAACTGTTTTAAAAATCTTATCTTGAACCTCGTCATACGGACTTGGGGATTTGATTTTCATTTGATATTTTTTAAGGTTTGCTTAATTGCAACTGTCTTCTATCTGTATTTATGTACCGATTGACGAATCGTGGTAAATCATTTTCGAATTTACCTGGTATTAGTCTCGAAGGTAATTGTGACTGCGTATTTGATTACGTATAATTGTCTATCTAAACTTGTCAGTCAAAATTCCGAATGAAATTGTTTTAGTGTTTATGTTCCGGCCATTTGAAAAACGGGGAGGAACTTTGTGTTTCAGTTTTTTTCTTTTTGTTTTCCACTACAAACCAGGTACCACAAATATTGATCAGACTGGGTTAAGTGATATATCATATTAAAGCCCTTACACTCGCGATTTGAACCACATTTGAAAAGTTTTCCCAGTGTCGAGAAAAACCGGTTTGAAATTTTTGGTTTTTCGTCTTATTTCGAGCGAATAAAGCGAGTGAGCACCCATGTTTTTGCTTAAAAGCTTACAAAAGCTTAATTTGAAATGCATAAACTTAGTTTTACTTGGGTAACGTTTGCTTAATTTGAATATTTCAACGCCTTTTTGCAATCAAAAACTTCAAAAATGCAAAAAACTGCAAAACTTTTTAAAAAATTTTTTTTCGTTTTTCTGGTAATTTTTCTAAAAAAAATTGTTTTTCAATTTGCTTATTTCAGTATGGCTGTCGAATATACCTAATCCCCAAATTTTGTTCAGCTCATTTTATCAACGAAAATAATTTGAAAAAAAAAACTTTCTTTTCTAAGACTATGGTCGGAACATTGTGCTACTTGCACAGTAACCGACTATCCTTGTTCTAAATTTGTTATTTATTTGCAGAATTTTTCTAAGACTATGGTCGGAACATTCTGTGATATTTGCTCAGTAAACGGCTATCCTTGTTCTAAATTTGTGATTTACTTGCTGAATTTCTCTAAAACTATGGTCGGAACATTGAGCTACTTGCACAGTAACCAACTATCCTTGTTCTAAATTTGTGATTTACTTGTTGAATTTTACAACAAATGAATGCAAAAGTTTTACTTGAAACAACAAATGAATGCAAAAGTTTCAAAAAAAATGCTACAAAAAAAGATTCTGAATTGCCACAATGGAAAAATTTGAATTGCCACAAAAAAAAACTTGCAGAACATTTGAAAAAAAAGCTCTGAAAGCCTATAAAATAATTCAAGTTCTTGTAGTTTGTATCACGCCAAAAATATATAATAAAAAAGAAACAAACACGAAAATTCATTTTCAAAAATTTCAGCCAGAAAAAACTAAGCTCCCGAATGTCGTACGACACTCGCCACATTCCTTTTTTTGACAAAACAGTCAAAAGCAAATCACAAAAAAAAATTCCGGAAATGTATGAAATTTTTTTACATTTTACAACATACGCCATCACATCAACTTGAATCGACTTCAAATCGTATTGCTCGACCCTTAAGCAACAAAAAACTGATTCCACGCACTTTTAGATTTATTAAGTAACAAGAAGCCATGCATTCGCTACAATGAAAATTTAATGCATTTATTTTTATTTCAAAGTTTTTTTCATCTTCTCACAGAAAATTTTGTCGTGTAAAAAACCAGAAAAGCAAAAACTATAATTACCCTTTTAAAAATGAAGAAAGTGAGTACTTAAAGAATCTGCCGTAAAAATAAAGAAATAGAACGCCCGGCAAGTAAGACGACAAAAAAGAGGACGGAATCAATGAAGCCGACAAAAAAATCAATTAAACTTTGAAAATTGTTTTAAATATAGACCCAGTATCGCTCCAGTAGCTCTAGACCCGCTTAACAATGCAACTAGGCAAGCTGTTAACAATGCAACGGGCAACTTGGCGAGATTGGAAATGGATATCTTAAAATTGGAGATCCTATGAGCAAAGTGGTTTACGGTAGAAAAGAAGTCTAGTACCCGATTGCAATACCCTTGCTTATCGCAAGGGTAAATCTGAATGTTAGTTATGGAATATGATTGGTAAGTAATCAATACTTCACGATCATGTCCAGTACAAAAGATATTAAGAAGAAGTTAATATATAGGACAATCAAGCAAACAGGGATCCATCACAGAGCAATCAACTTCTGAGTCAACGCAAAATGACGTAATTACGTTAGCTTTGTTCTTGAAAAGGATTCGTCGCCGCTTTAATTGTCGAAAACCTCTTCAGCAATGAAGACGAAAACAAAACGAAACAAGAAGAGCCGGTTGCTGTGCAAGTAGCACCGAATGCGCCAAGCATATTCTTAAGAAACTACAAAAAGTGGGGTCTTATGCTCAAAACGACCTAAAATCAATATGCGCAAACGGCCTAAAGTCTTATGCGCAAAACGGCCTAAAATCAATAAAGTCACGCATTCCATCAAAACTTCCAGCTGATTAAAAAGTAGCAGAAATTACTACATTGTGAACTTGGTCTAAAAATAATAAAATTACTTTCAAGTCATTTGGGAAATTTTACCCAGACGAGTAAAATAGCTTCAGCAGAATAAAAATTTTATAACTTTGGTTATTTCGGCCAACAATCTTATCTACTGGAAATTATGATTGAAATCCCGGAGCATGTTATTTGATTTTGATTGTCTTATTAACCGATCAGATTCAACCCTAAAAATTTCAGCTCAAGAAACATGTAGAAATACTAATTTTGGGCGGTTTAAAGCATAAGACCCAAAAAGTTTTTTTTTTAAATGATTTTCAATTTTTTGTGCGTGCTGTGATGAAAAGATCCTAACGAAAGACTAGATTTTAAGCATTCCTCGTTAGTCATAGCAAAATAAGAAAAAGTTTAAAACAGTTTTCTACGAAATTAACTGATTAAATAAAAACAAAAAAAAATAAAAAAATTATTTTTTGCAGAATTCATTAAGTTTTTCATTCCTAATATGGCCTTAAAAAAAACTTGGAAAACTACTTTTACTAGATTTTTCAGGGCTGGAATAAAAATTCATGGCTTATTTACTCCTAATCTACAACTATCCTTTTATAATAAGCCTGCTCTGCTCGCTCGAAATTAGGCAAGAACTAAAATATTCAGCTGGTTTTTCTTGACACTGGGAAAGTATTTTGGAAATATTCATATCGTTCGAATCACCACTGAAAGCGCTTTAATATGATATAACATTCAACCGAGTTCGATGACTAGTTGTGGTACCTGATTTTGCTAGGAAAACGAAAAAAATACTGAAACACCCGAATACAAAGTTCCTCCCCACTTTCAGTGGTCGGAACAACAAGCAAGACGCAGCCTCTACGAAACCGACTTTTTTAGTAGCGATGATTACAGGTGAAAAATTTCCCCTGATGAAATAGACTCCTCAGGTAAAAACAGGAATAGTAGCCAACGGAAGGCTTACAGAAAAGCCTAAAAGCGTCGTCGGAAGCAATCACCAAAGACGAACAACACGGAACTAAATAGAAGAAAACTGTCGGGCAGAATCGAGCAGCTGCACGATCATACAGCCAACGAGAATACAGTTTCAGAAATTCGACAACTTGGCGAGGAGCAGATGAAAATTACATAAACTTAATAACGACAATATTGCCCACTTATCTATTTCAAAAGCATATTAAAATCTGCGGGTCAATTATTTAAACTCGCAATCCTTTGCAACGACAACTCTGTACGGAACATGTTGTGCAATATTGACGTCGAGCTTGGTCGTTCAATGTGTCGAAATTCAGTGATTGAGAACTTTAATTTCAGAGCTTTAGTTCCCCACATAGTCAGAATTAGTTAAAATCATAAGCACATCACGCATATCTAATAATTGGGACAATAATGTTACCTGGTTTAGTTAAAATTATGTTAAATATGGCGGCAGAAGTTGATCATCATCAACTTGCTCCTTACCAACCGAATGGCTACCATTGCTTCCTTTTTGCTTGTCAGAAGATCAATTTAACAGAAAATGGCTACAGGCTTCTGAATCATTGTCTGAACCAATTTAAGTGCTAACATACAGAGCAGTTAATATGAACAAAAACGTGTTAGATATAAACATGCATTTCATTTATGCTTCTACCATTCCAAAAATAAAGTCCCAAAATTCTGATTCAACTGAACTGATTCATAAAACTTACTTTATAACAGCTTCTGTAATCAGGTGCTGTCCCTCCATGTCAGAATTATTGTATGGTGATGGCAACTGGCCCAGCACACAGTGCATTACTCCTGTGTGGGAGTGTTGGTTGCTGTGACACTCCTGACACAGTCTCACTGGCTTCATTGAGTGACAGAGGAGGAGACAGTCGTGGGAGAAGCAGATAGACATTGGCTTCATTTTGGAAATGCAACCCTTTACAAATATCAAAAAATTATTATAAAATTACAAATATTCTAATTATCATAAAAACTTCAATATTTCGTGATATATCTTTGTCCGAAAAGCAATGTATACTTTTTTTCTCTTGCCGAAGCAGATTCACTGCAAGCTGGCAAAGTTTAGACCATTAAGTGATGTTCGTTTAAAAATGTTCAATGATTTTGTAATACAACAGAAGACAAGTTGCAATGTAGGGAGAAGCTAAAACGTCGCCTCAAATTCTACTTTCTACGCGGCAGTGAAACGCGTAATCCAAAATAAATGTTCGTCGAAAAGACTTTAAAACGCTTCGCATTTTAATCTCAACATACCGGATTCTCGCAATGCTTTGCCAGAGGATACTCTAAAGGTCCAGGAAGAATCCTGAGATTCTCCGTCGGCACAATTTCCAGTTCGAAGCAATTCCTGCATAGATACAACGGAGGCGGCACATCTGCGATAAGCGCTGCGTCTTTCGGGCACAAGGAAAAATAAGATGACCTCAGGATTGACGATTCTTCTGGAGAGCAATTCGGGTTCATACACATTGGACTTCGCCAGGGAGTGTAACTGAAATCCGACTCCACATTGTTAGGTTTACACTGAGGGTAATAATGAAACAACAGATTCGCAGCGACAGCACGAACTGCCGAGTTGGACGTGGCGATGATCTTCAGGAGGCATCGCGAGACATTGCTTTGGAATCGCATGCACGATTCAACTACTTGTGAGAACATCCACGGTGATGTTGAATACTGTAGAGAGATCGCCAGAATAGCCTCGATTGAACTGGTGGCATATGTTGGAGCTTCCAGACTTTGCGCACTTCCTGTTTAAAACAAGAAGTTGGCATCAAGACTGCCCAGGAACAATGTTTTTGTTTCAATCAGATAAAAAAGCAAGGTTGGCAGAAATTGGGCAAGTTTGATCGCTTGAAGAAAAACATGACAGCTATGATAATGTGATGACAGAAAATGGCATATTGAAAGTTACCTCAAGCTCGTGCACTAAAATAATAGCAAACTAAGTCTTCATTCCATGTGTATGAAACTGTTTTAAGGGCATTTACCATCGTAAATTGTTACCTAATAAAAATTAGACCTGAATAGTTCAGTTAGATTCAGATATGGTTGTAAATTCAATACCTAAAATCATTGGCAGAAGCGTGAAGCAAATCATATTCAGTAAATCCTTCTGCAGTGGAATGGGCCACATTGGCATAACACACGCTACAGTGTACGGTATACAATCCAGCAAATCTCGATTGAGAAAACAAATGAGACCATTTGTCAGACCAATCACAGCTCTTGCCATCTCTTTCTGTCCTGGTCCCACAAAGGGAACTATGTCGTATAGGCTCAGAATGGTGTGAAATATTTCCGAGTAGTTCAGTGTCGGCATCTTGCCCAGACGCTCTCTTTCTAATTGCTTGATGTAGCGATCGTCATTCGGGTTCTCGGAAGTGTCCTTCAGGATTCTATAAAATAAGTTTGTTGTTAAAACCAATTATTCGATTTAACAACAGCTATCGTCGAGAAGCAAAGAATGTACGATTCCCTCCAATCAGCAGTACTAATCAAAACTCGTTCACCTGATGGTACAAACAATTTCATCGTGGTCTAAACTCAAATGTGTCGACTATCTACGAAAGATGTAAACTCAAGAGCATGGAAACACTTACGAGACAAAAGTCTGCGAGAGATATCTCAGTGCAGGCAGAAAATCTAGTCCAGAAGGTGCTGCTGCCGATGAAGATGACTGTTGCATGACCTTGTGATGGTGGTCCTGCAATGTCCGCACCTTCATCGCTATCTGATCCAGCCTAGTAGTCGCCATACCTGATATTTTTCAGAATGCTTTATTGCACTAATAAATTGGCTACAATATTGCACACCCTATGTCATAACAAACCTGAAAAACCATCACTGTAATTTTCTGATTCAACATCAAATTGCAAACGTTTCCATTATTGTACCGGGTATGGAGTAGTTCAATCACGCCTGCAACCTACAAACCAGGTTTTCGTCGTTTTTCTGTTTTTCATGAGTAATTCTTACTATTATGGATTTACTTTTCAGTCTTTTTAATACTTAAGGAGTCCTCTTTCCTTCAAGCAACAGAAATTCAAATAGTCACAAAATTATAAAACTCAAACTTCTCAAGCCCCCTTACAATTACATGTAGATGGACAACCGATCAGCAGTGTATAAATAGCTTAAACAATATTGTATTCGTAATATGATCCAGCGAAAACCATAAACCCAATATTCACACCTAGAATCAAAATTTTCCATAATTCACAAGTACTAACAAAACTATAAATCATTTTTTGGTATGTCGCAGGTTAATTAAGAAAGGTATCGCAGCAAAAAAATTCTTTCAGCAGTTCAGATATCTAAGATTCTCTTTATTACTCATGTATTTTCTAAAACTAGCTTTTTCGCAGCTGATTTTTTCTTTGCTGGAAGTTTCAGTATTTTGGTGCCATATCTTTAAAGTAGTTTTTCAGTTGTCTTTAATGACATTGGTAGACGCTCTCGCACCATTCGCAGCACTGTTACCGCTGCTGAGCTGTAGAAGCAACTCTTTCAACTTGTGGCTGAACTGGACATTACTGGCAATTAGGGCCAGAGCACTGGGATAGATGTTCTGGGCTTTGCTGTTGTCGTGGAAGTAGACCTTCAGCTGCTCGCTGAAGTGTCTGGAGGCGCGGGAGAACTCCTGCCGACGATACTGCAAACTCTGAAAACAACGTAGACAAATTAATTGTCTCCACTTTTGATTAATCCTAAACTAAAACGCTGAAAGCGCGAACTTCATTTTTGAACCAAACATGAATAATCAAATTTGGAAACGATAAAAGTAGTATAACTTACTCGTTGAATTGAAGTACTCTGAGGATATTTTTGTTCAAGTTCCTTAGCAATGTGCACTAGTGCTGCTAAATAATTCTTCAGATGGAGTGCTATTTTCCTAAACAACACACAAGCATCTAACAAAAAGAGACAGTTGCCTTGCAAGCAGCATATTATGTTCCTTCATACCATAAAAATACAAAAAACAAGAAAATTTCTAAAAGATTTTTTAATCAATAAAAACTTTCAAAAATTGTTTACAATTTCTTTCCTAAATTTACTGTAATTTTTATAAAATGAAACTGAATTAGAATGGAAGAAAATGAAACTGAAGAATGTGAAGTATGAGAGGTAACAATCGCTAAGAAATGTTTCAATAATAATCGTCAAAAAATTGGTTGTAACATTAAAATTGTAATGGGCAGGTCAACCTCTCATCAATTTCCGTCTAACTTAGACTAGTTTTTCTCGACAGAGCTATTTTCTTGAATTTGTTTTGGAATCCGAAGGGCGGCCAATAGGGCTTTCATATGCTACACACTTGACCCCTACGAGTTTGCTTTGAGTTAGTCAAAATCGGGTGAAAAAAAAACAATCTAATCCATCGTTTATTCCCAATCCCTCATGAGTATGCTGTATAGGCAATGATCACAGACTCTTCCGACCCCGATGTATTGCATTGTATTGTCTTAATATTAAATGTCTGCTTTGATTCTACAGCGCCTGATTTGTTTACTCACTTGATATTATCCAGGAACCTCACTCTGTCCAGAACTATCTCCGGAAGTGAGCTTAAAATCTTCTTCACCTCATGTGCGTTCTGCTCCAGCTCAGCATAGTGTCCCCCTTGAGCTAATAGGTAGGAGTCAGGACTCGAACTAGATCCAGTCAGTTTCAGCAGGTGTTCGATCACGTTTAGTTTGGGGGACTGGGCCTCTAGAATTGAGGAGACTATTTGAAAGGCAATTCCAGGAACTTCAGTTTCGGCCTAAACCAAACGAGAGGCATCTTTTACACCTAGTCCACAAAAATAATAAATATATTGCAAAGCAGGAAACCAACGCTCATACTTCAGAGGTCAAAATATCTATAAAAAAAAACTTATTTTGAAGTCCTCATTAAATTTGAAAAGCTAAAATTCTACATTGCCAATGATTTTAAATGCATGCAACTTACTTTTCTGAGTGAGTCGGCAAAAGCTTGAGCGGGTCCAACATCTTGAGATTCCAGCTAGAAAAAAATGCGGTATTTTATTTCAAATGAACGCGAACTCCATAAAACTTTACATTCTTTGAGACGGCGCACAGACAATTCAGCCAAAGACAATTCAGCCGCTTTGCGGCGATAACCGGCTCTAAATTTCGTATAGAGTCCTACCCTCTGTTCGCAAGCTCGCAACACGTTTGCGCGACTGAGGCGGTCACTATTATTGGCTGAATTGTCTCTGGCTGAATTGTCTGCATACTTTTGGCTGAATTGTCTGAATTTCAAATTGTCTGAACTTCAAATTGGCTGAATTGTCTTTGGCCGAATTGTCTGGACGCGTTTGAGACAATACTAACATCTTTCACAACGCGGGGGATCACATAGTTTAGGACGATAGTTGAAAAAGCGATGACTTCTTGGGAGTTGCCCAGAGGTGTGTTCGTTGGGGGTCCTGATGGTTTCCTCTGACATGTATCTACACTATTGGTTCTCGATGCACTCGTCTTGGTCGCTGCTTCCATTTTATTCGCTCAGAATTCAATGCCCTTCTCTTCAATGAATCATATCGTCCTGAAAAAAACGTGCAATCAGTTATCCAAGATATTCTTTTAGTTCTTTGCATCGTTCAGTTGAAATTTTTCTCGTTTTAAGAAAACCAGTATCAATGTAGACTATTTTATTCGACATTTGTACATACTTTACAATATTTACGCTCAAAAACTAAATTATTGCAACTTATTGTGGTTCTAATCAGAAAGCCGAAGATGCCTCAGCTTCTAAATCAGCCTTCCTTTGTGCCTTCGCCTCCATGAGGGCTTCTTTCTGCATTTGTTCCAGTTTCTCCAAAGTGACACTTTTCATTGGAAGGATCTTTGGCTTACACAAAACATACTGTGCGATGTCTTCTACATGAGTGATGCCTACTGAAGGAGTAACTGGTTTTATGTCTAGTTTTGAAGTATGAGATTCAGACATTCTATCTAGAAAACAGGCTAAACACGTCGTTTGAGAGCTAAAAAGCTTTCGGGAATTCTTGCCTTAGCAGAGTTGAGGTTCCCTATGGTAATGAAAAGGTTAACTCTTAGAAGCTAAAAATATTTCACAATTTTTCGCACTTATGACACTTTCATTTTAACTTGCCACCCTACTAGCAAATGAATTTTAAATGAACTTAAAACAATCAAAAGTCGAAACGCGAAACATCAAACTTTAGTTTGAAACCAACTGTTTAGATTTTTCTTTAAGAAACGAAAGACAACACAAAACAATGATAGCCGGTTACTGTGCAAGTAGCACAGAATGTTCTGACCATAGTCTTGAAAATAATTTTTAATATCAAAATGAGGTCGTTTGTTTGGCGTGGTGTGATAAAAATAGATCTGAACGAAAAACGAGAGCTTAGACATATTCGACAGTCATAGTAGAATACGCAAATTGCAAAACATTTTTTGAACAAAAATTAGTAGAAAAAGAACCAAAACTAAAAAAAATTCAAAATATCACTTTTTTTGCAGTTTTTTTGAACTTTTTGGTTCCAAAAGGCGCTAAGGTACTCATGAAAACTAACTTTACTGTAGTGATGGTAGATTTGCGTGGAAAACAAAAAGAAAAAACTAAAACACACCCGAATACAACGTTTCTCCCCATTTTGCAAATGGTCGTAACAACAAAACAATCTGAATACTTTTGACACTTTCATTATTGGGGAGCTTAACTTGCCACCCTTCTAGCAAATGAATTTTAAATGAAATTAAAACAATCAAAAGTCGAAACGCGAAACATCAAACTTTAGTTTGAAACCAACTGTTTAGATTTTTCTTTAAGAAACGAAAGACAACACAAAACAAGGATAGCCGGTTACTGTGCAAGTAGCACAGAATGTTCTGACCATAGTCTTGAAAATAATTTTTAATATCAAAATGAAGTCGTTTGTTTGGCTTGGTGTGATAAAAAAAGATCTGAACGAAAAACTAGAGCTTAGACATATTCGACAGTCATAGTATAATACGCAAATTGCAAAACATTTTTTGAACAAAAATTAGTAGAAAAAAAACCATAACTGTAAAAAAATTCAAAATATCACTTTTTTTGCGGTTTTTTTGAATTTTTGAAATTTTTGGTTCCAAAAGCCGCTAAGGTACTCATGAAAACTAACTTTACTGTAGTGATGGTAGATTTGCGTGGAAAACAAAAAGAAAAAACTAAAACACACCCGAATACAAAGTTTCTCCCCATTTTGCAAATGGTCAGAACAACAAAACAATCTGATAGGGTTTTCCCGTCGCTTACTGACACTTAAAGACAGCCAAAAAAACGGCTGCAAAAATGTTACCGAACAAAATAGTATTCTTTTCAATCAATTTTTCGATTTTCGAATTTGTAGAGTAATTGTGTGATGTTAAAACCTTTTGATTTCCAGATTCTTTTATGATCGACAATTTTTTTTCAAACCAACTCCATTTGAGAAAACGAAAAAAAAACATACAAATACTTTACGCCGCTGAGAAATTTTCAACTTGAAATCCACTTTAAAAACAAAGCCAGTCAGGTTATTTCGCACTGCTAACATTTTTGTAATTTGCGACCATTTGGTAAATGACTTTATTCAGAACTTCAAAAAAAAATAAGGTCTAAATTGATTGCATTTTTTGAAAACTTTATAGAGCAAATTCATCAACCTAAGCATGCTTAGATTTCTGGAAACACTTTATGACTTGCGCGGTTGACCATACTTAGACCGAAGCGAAAATATCGAAACAGTCCCTTTCGTACTGGTGTGAATATTTCGTATCCTCTAAGTAGCTCAATTAGTGACTTAAAATTATAGCTTAACAAAGCTGTCGTAAACCTATTTGTAGTTTTGAGAGAAAAGTCATATCTGAACGTAATTTTGCTGGTTGTTGAGCCTAATTGTTGTGATAAACTTATAAAAAAAACTTCAGAGACTATTGATGATGGATAATCAATTGGAGGAGAGTCAAATTGACATACATCAAACCGAAGAAAAACCAACTGTCCCTGCACTAAGGTTCAAAGACCACACACCAACTACACCAATGAGAAAAGGTGAAAAGCGACCGGAAACATTTCAACCCAATAGATTCCATACTAGAGGTAGAATATTTTTTAACAGACCATCTCCGACCCCAAAAAAACTGACGATGATAATACCAGACGCTGTGACTTAAAATAATGAGAGATTTAAAAATACTTTGAAGAAATGCTAACCAAAGCCATGACAGAAACAAAACTCGATTAGGCAAAAAGGACAACTAAATTTGAAAACTATGTCTGAAAATAAAAATTTTTAAACTTATAATAGGCGAGAAAATAAACGCATAATTGGATTTTCTGAGTCAACTACGAAAAAAAACTAATTTGCGAAACGAGTGATACAACTATGGAAAGGGTGATTGATATTGCACAGAAAGTGGACCAGCTTAGATTCAAGCGCACTCTCGAAAACATATCGACTTCCCTGACATTTGCAAGGCCCGCGACCAATAATTGCAAGATTCACCTAAAGAACCTCAAAGATAGACCTTCTGAGAGTTTTTAAGATATAAAAAGAAGAATTTTTAACATAGATTTGAATTTAAAAGATATCGAAGTATTCGAAGATTTGAGGTTTAACAAAAGTGAAAAATTCCAACATGATGAAAGAGAATTCCAGAATTGCGAGTACATGGACAAAAGAGGCACCGTCTACTTCAAAATAGCGAGGAAGCCTTGAATAAAAATATCAAAGGACTAAACGAGGACGGACTTCAATTAAACTATCAACAGGCGGACCTGGAGTATTGTTTCGCAGCTATTTAACATCAGAAAAAGAAATGCCGGAGCCAAAATCGATTTACTGCCAATCAGTGTGCTTTATCATCTTAAAAAATACAGCGAAGAATTAAAAGCGCTTGTATACTGTCTGAAGTCACCACCAAAAATAATTGCAGTAAATGAAACATGGCTAGATAAGACGATGATGTAGACCTATATAATATAGACGGGTACATTGTAGCGTCTAAACATAGGTCAATTACAGGAGGCCGAACTTCGCTAACCGAAGTAGAAGAAACTAAAGGCTGAGAGTGTCTACTCGATTATATCTTGATATAAGAACTTTGATGTGAGCCAAGAAAATTGATATACAACACACCAAGAAACAACAATTGGAGTTCGTCGAAAAATTAGATCAAGAATTTGTGCGTCTAAAAAAAGTAAAATATAAAATCAATGTTTGTGGAGACATTTTTGTAGGCATACGAAAACAAAAGAAAACTACATTGAAATAAATTGCTGCATTTGAGTCAAATGAATTCAATCTGATAAAATCTGCTCCCACATCAGTTGAAAAAACTAGAACCCTGCTTGGATCATTTTATCACAAATGATCTGAACCACTAGACTTCGAGTGTATATCAACCCACCAGTATTTTACAGATCATTATCTTGTGCTTTTCAAGCTTAACAATTGCAGCTCTAGTCGTGGAAACGAAACGGTCTAAGTAAAATGTACATATTTTTTGCGAGTAGTCGAAAAGGTTCAGAACTTTAACTTCCGCTTCGTTTCTTTTTGCAGGAAATGGGCAAGTTAGCTATAAAAAGTAGGAGAGTTATAAGTACAAGGTTCTCTAATTTACACGATACCCTTATTAATGTTTCAAGTCAATTTGCTCCATTGATAAAAAAAGGATTTTAAAAAATCTAAAAATGCACACGATGGCCACCCAATGAAATAAAAAGTCACCACAGAGATAAATAAGCAACACTGCTTGATGGCTGACAACAAAAATCAAATCAATTGATGCAATAACAGTTAAAATTACTAAGAGTTAAGACGAGGGAAAAAACGGGTGCTAGAAGCGAACTTACTATACGACAAAATTTAAGAAGTGTATCGTTGACTCCATACAATGTTTGAAATTCCCAAGTTATATTAAGGGATGAAAAAAATAGCTTCTCAATATATCCTGAAAATGAAATAAAAACTATCATAAGTTCGCTGAAATTAAAAGCCTCAACAGGGCTTGATCATATAATAAATATTTTAAAAGCTACTGCTTACTCGATTGTACCAGGTGTAACAGTTCTGATCAATCAAGGCTTCCATCATGCGAGTTACATTTCCAAACAAACTTACCAGAGTAAAATTATTCCATTTCACAAGAACGGATCCACGCTACATTTAATTAATTACAGGTCAATAAATTTAATAATGACTTTAGGATGAAAAATATTCGAACGGGTAAGGCTTAACAGGGTTTTTGGAAAAATTCCATTTCAATTATTGTTACCAAATCAGATATAAAATGAAAAAAATCACAACTGACGCTATAGTCGATGTAAATGGAAAAATGCCACTTTCCAATCCAAAATTGGTGCCATAAGTTTTTTGATCGCAAAAGCGTTCGATACCCACAATCATGAAGTTTTAATAAAGAAGTTGCAAAATAACGGATTTGTTGGTAATTGTCACCAATGGATTTGAGTTCTTTCTCTAATCGCGGGCAATAGGTTGAAATATTTGATGAAAGGTCCAATTTGCGAAATGTAGACTGCGGTGTAGCCCAAGGACCCATTTTAGGTTGATTACTTTTTCTTTTATTTGTTAATTATATGCCGATCATGGTCAAAAATTCGAATGTGTATTTATTTGCTGATGAAACAAAATTGATAGCAATGTATCGATCCACCAACCAACCGAATGATCATTTAAATGCTGTTGCTCAGTGACTTGTTGCTAATAGACTTTCGCTATAAATGAAAAAAATACGATTCAAATTAAATTTACGAGGAAAAGCGCGTCTAAACAATTTCTTATAAAAAGCCTAATTAAAACCCGAAAAATATTGGAAAAAATTGATACAAAATCAGCATTCTCTCAACACATTGATTATATCAGCAACAAGTTACAAAAAATATGTTGAATCATTGCCAAGACAAGGCAATATATGCCTAGCTCTGCTATGTTTTTTTATTATGAATCAAATATTAGGTCTAATATCCATTCGGGGAACCTTTGTGTATGATTGCACAAATTTCTAAGTTTTAGAACCACTTGGTGTTCTACAAAAAAGGTTTATCTGGTTAATTTCTTGTCAGAAAAAAATGGGAAAGCGTTTCTGATATAATTTTAAAAAAAACGTTTTGACAGACAACGAATAGTTCATAAACGAGTTAATGAAATGATTACTGATATCGCTATCAAACCTTTCAACTTTTGAGCGATATCAGTAAAAATACCAAAAATTTTTCTTCACGACCTTCGATAATTTGGTCAAAAAACAAAATCCAAAAAAAATTAATAAAAAAAAGTATTCCCAATTATGAAAACACCCTTCAACTTATCCGGGAACAACTTTTCAATATTTTTCACGAAAATAGGAATAGGCCAATTGATTCTCAGTCATCTACCACAAAACATGTGCTCGGTTTCATACAATACTTTGATACATTTAAGAAAATCATGAGCTAACAAAATCAAATTTTGATTCAATTTCTCGAATCTACAACTTGATTGTATGATTTTCGTATATTCTTTTGATCAGAACCCGGAGTTAAATACTACCAGGCCATTTGGAGCTGCATATCTATGCGTAAAAATATGAAGAACCAAATCTTCGTAGTTCTCTAGAAATCAAGATACTTGAACTGAGCACGGTAATTTTAGCTGTAGTTGAGGAATAAAAAACAGCTAAATTGCTCAAACAACTAACGTTACTAGTGTAAAATTAAATTTCTATGTTTTCATTAAGGCTATTGTAAGCTTTTAAACCATTAGAATGCGCTATTGCAAGCCTTCAGGCTCACTTTATTCGCTTAAGTTAGGACGAAAAATCAAAAACTTCAAACCGGTTTTTCTCGACACTGTGAAAACATTAAAAAAACTTTTAATGTCGTTCCAATCTCAATTGCACGGGCTTTCATATGATATATCACTTAACTCTCTCCGATGATTATTTGTGATAGCTGATTTTGCGTGGAAAACAAATTAAAACACACCCGAATACAAAGTTCCTCTATATTAATCAAATAGTCGGAACAGTTATAAAGCCAAAAATTTAATATACTGAGTTCGAAAACATCTGAAAAATTTTTTTTATGATTTTTTATGTTGTATAAAATAAATAAATCTTAGTTCGGCTCGTGTCATGAATTCGACAGAGGGGAGCTGCGCTTCGCAAATTCAAGCAAAAACACGGCCCAAAACAGCTCTATAAAGTGCAATAAGCATTAAAATAAAAACGGCTTGACATAGTATAAATTCGGTTACGTCTCGGCTACGACCTAGAGCTTATGAGTCTCACGCACTAACCACTCAGCCACGGACGCTTAAGAAATCACAAACACTAGCCGCAAAAAAGCACAGAAAAGATGCTATGAAGTTCCAATGTTACAGATCGCAGGAGTGCCACCAAATAAGTGAATACTTTTGTTTGTGAGCTAGGTTAGAAAAAAGGAGGTTCGTACTAATACACTAACGCTCGCCAGCTCGCTAGTGAAAATATGCATCAACCGTGTTAACTTTTTACTAACCGACAGTTAACGCATATGCTAACAAAAAGCTAATTCAGTCTACAGCTTAATGGTGTCATCAAAAGTAGTGCATCATAAGTAGCACTTGTTGAGATTTACAAATTAAGTTGGAAAAAAGTAGCCTTGCAGTATCACACTACACTTTGCATGTGTAATACATATCTGAATAGACCAAAGCCCAGAAACCTAGTAGCGGAGGAAGCACAGTTTTCACTAATAGCTTATAAAACACATTAGGACAAAATCTCAAATTAAATCGCTTCAAGACTATTATTTTTCTGTTCTGAAGTAATAATAAACTTTAGCTTAAAACAATTTCAAAGAATAGAGCCTCAACAGGTAGTTTGAACAAATTAAGAGCTTTACAAAAATAAAGTAGCGTAAATAACTACATCATTTCAAAGGATATTTGTGGAGAGTTAGTTTCATTATATGAATTATTCGTTAGGAGAGGATTAATTGATATTAATTTATCTAATTCATCAAATGGGTGGAACGGCTTGCATACGAAGCGCATTTCTGGCAGCTTTGAGACGCCGTTTTACATAAACAGGAACCATTTTCTCCCAGAACACATAATCCATACTACTGTTGTTTTTATAACACAGCGCAGATACGGCAATCGATTGTTGATTGTTTGTTGCTCCGGTTGCATTCCTGATTTCGTCAGCTGTCGTCAGCGCGTTTGATGCATCTGACAGGCTTTTTATGTTAATTACCACAGCTTTTTTCATCATGTGACTGACAGTTTCATAGAAGTAGCACTAAAACAATTCCAACTTCGTCGACAAAACATTGGAAGGCTGCCCGACACTAGTTTATAAATAGTTTATGTTATCAAAAATATTCAACTAAAATTCTACTCGGCTAAATATGCAAGTTCTTCGGCGAAAATTTTGAAATTTTTCAAGTAAGTTACAGACGTTGTCGGAATCGCAGAGGGCGTCCCGTTTTTCAGTGGATGATTTGCTTTTTCCAGTTACCTTTTCTTTCGCAGGATGGTAGACGTTAGTGATGCTCTTCAGCACTTTCAGATCTCCTTTATAAGCCTCAAGCACCTTCGACAGTTGTTCGCCATCCTGGTCATTCAGATACAACATGGACTCCCACAGTTCCTTCCTCGTGGCCAAAAGAACGTCCCCACAAAACACCAGGGCCAGCTGAAATGGGATACCAAACATTATTGTTCCGACCACTACACGAAGTGTTAAGGAACTGTATGCTAGGCATGGTTTTTGCTCTCAATTTCGACCCAAAGAAACCCCACAGAGGATCAAAAGTGGTATCATATTTTCTGATAATTGACCGCTTACAGTTCTGAGTTTTGTATCGTTCAAGTATATAGATGGCTCCGATGTCTCCTTCACAGCTTCCGCGAGTAGAGCAGACGCCTTGTCACACATGGCAACAATTGAGTCGTGCGAGGACCCATCTCTGCTCTCTAGGAGAATCCTCCTCGCAATCACACTGGTCTGCACTGCCGCTGCCAACGAACTACTGGAACACAAAGACAGCAAAATTGGTAGACTTACACTTATAAATAGACACTGAAGAGCATTATGTAAACAATAACAATGTTCCAATTCTACCTGCTTTATGGAGAATTATCTATACTAGAATTCTTGTCAAACATTGCGCAACATCCCGTTTTTTAAATAAATATCAATAAATGCTATGAAAACGCTGACAAATGTTCATTTCAATTTCAGAAAGAACTCAAGATCTAAACTGCAACTTCAGCTCTACAATTTAAGTAGGAACATAATTAATTCAAAATTATTTGCTTCTAAATTCTAAAATCAAAATTGGAAGTTTTAGAAAATGAACAAATAATACTTACTCCAGTTTCTTGAGCTGTGATGGCATATCCTCCACCAAAACTCCCATTGTCTGGTTACTCGCCACATGGTCATCCCCCCCACACTGGAACCACTGTTGCGCCTGGACAGCATTCACAATGGATGCCCACCAGAAGGAGATGCAGTCGTTGAGAGGCTTGCCCGAAGAGGAGTTCTGAGACTCATACCTCTGCTTCTTCTTGTTGCCGAGGGATAGACTCGAATCCAGGATAGGCTCGCTATTCAAGCACAAACATTATATATCGCCATTATATCTCCCACTCCAATAAACTAAGATACCAAAGAAACTGAAACAACCAGCCACCACTTTCAAATGATAAGCACCTCAAAACAGTAAGAGAAAAAATTCGAAACACTTCAACTATAATCTACAATGAAATCGATCCTGTTTTTATCTGAAGAAATTGTTCGAAAGTTTAAAACCAAGTTACCAACCTGTTGCGACTTGGGAGCGATCCACCTTTTTGGGTCGAAGGAGATGACAAGCAGTTGGAATTCCTCTTGAAGCCACACACTGCCATTGTGTTGTGCAGGGCCACACTCCTGGACGGAACCTCTATACAACCACTAAAACAGTTGTATTCTTTTAACTAGAACACGATTACAAAATGACGAACAATATAGTTTAAGTGGGATACAAAATAGGATATTTGAGGTACAGCCTTATTCCTCGCCACTTTATAGAAACTTCCAGAAGCTATCAAATGTGATATTACAGAAGATCCGTCAAAACTGAGATATTTTCCAGATATTTTGGATGAAATGCAAATTCAGAAAGTTTTCGACATAAAAAAGATCGGCTTCATTGGAATGCTTCACAAAATGTTTTTCGCTTACGTCTGTAGAGGCAGTATGGTCGCATGCAGAGCGCCAGTCAATAAATGCTGTCTGTAATGTTGTGACAGGCATTCAAGAGGGTCATGTCTCAAATAGGAAGCACAAGAGGTGAATATACTCGGAAAACTCCTAGGAATACACCATTTATCCTGGGCAACACCATCGCTGCTTCCCGAATCAAATAAAAAGCCTTGGAATACATAGTCAGAGCTGTCTCCGTTGACGCCATGGAAGAAGTCGTTGCCAGAGGGACTAAGAAGCCAGTCCAATTTGGCGGGAAGGGAGACTCCGATCGAGTGCCGGCGGCCGTAATAACATAGACCACGCTGAAACGCAATGAAACAAAATATGCTATCGCTTTCTCATCTCCATAAAAAATGGCTCTTTCTCTTCCCCCTTGCACATTGTGAGCTTAAATTTCACAAATGAAATCTCGCAGGTGGGAAGGAAAAAGAGCACGAAGAATTCCATCAGGTGAGAAAATACTTTTGCCTTCACCGGCACTGTAGCCTTCACCTTCGCTTAAATGACTCTCGACATCCTCTTCAAGTCGGAAAGGAGCTATAAATGAACTTGAGCCCGTTTCGCCTTGCCTCAAAAGTGAAGGCTCAGTTGTTGAATAAATTGCATGAATCATGGCACAAAGCAAATTCAAGCAGCGATAAGTATAGAAATAGACGAGCGACATGATGCTATCGTTTAATCAGTATAGAGTTTTGTTTCATTCGGTATTTCTCAGCAGTGAAAATTAAAATTACAAGTACCATGATATGATAAATTTCTCATTTGTTGACAAAACATAAACGATCAGAATCGAGTAAATACTTCTGCTTATGTGTAGTTTCACTAGCAATTCTTCATATATCTTTGAATCTGGCTGCTATAAAACCAGCATTAAAGCAACCCAAGAGTTTAGTCGTCTGATATTGGTTTAAAAAATGGTTTGGCTAAACCAATTTGGCAAAATACAGGTCTTTTTTAACTAATGAAAACTGGGCCATATATTAGCTTTCCAGGGTGCATTTGAATCCAAGGAAAGGCCAAGGAATTAATCTTTTTTTCAAAGCTAATCCAAACCTTCAATCAGTCGTGTTTCATCGATTGATAATAATCAATTTTTTGGTAATTTAATACAATTTGAGGTTTAACCCAATAACTCCTATAAATAGCTCTCCCCCCAATCAATTTAAAAGAATACAACATGGATTTTTTATGAACTAAAACTGAGAATAGCCTATATTCATTCAAATTAAGCGTTTTACTGAAAAAAATGAATTGAAACGTCAATCTAAGCGATTACCGGTATAAAATTGCAAACTCGTACACAAAAACGTAGAAACCAATTTTATTTACGCGATTTCATGAAATGCATGTTTTATACAGCATCAATTTTCATATTTAATATATGCTTGGGAAGGGCATTCTAGGGTAGGTCATTAAAGGGGGGGGGGGGGGGGGAGAAAGATTGTACGGTTGATCCCAATTTGATAACGTCCGCCAAAATTCGCATTCCGAAAACTTTTGAAGGTTGCATCATTTACTATGAATTAGAAAAAGTTAAAAGCAAAACTGGTTAAACCGATTTGGTTAAAAATATTTTAATTAGTTAAGTTAAAAAATCAGTTTTACTTTTTTTGATTGAACATCACTGCTCTTCATGAAACAATTTATTAATTGTATTTTATGTCCTTTTTCGATCAGACATCTACAATTATTTCATTGACGCACGCACTTAGTCAAAACACATTAACTGATCCGCCAAAAAAAAATAAAAATTCGAGATTTTTATAAAATCCTGAGACTTCAAACACATATACAGATTTCAATCGCATTTACAAACAAGAAACATTACAATTAACCACTTGCAGCCAAGATTCCGATACTAAAAAAATATCTGTATTGAGAAGTGATAGAAATTTTTCCGTTTTTGGACTAAAATAAACGAAATTGGATGAGCAACTTAGCTCCTATCTTAATTCAGTTTCAATTCTTTGTTACTTTGGTGATTTCTAATACCCACTCTTGTCCACTAATTCAATTACTTCCGAACTACAAAAAAAAAGGATTTTGAGAGAACAAAAGTTTGCGATACAGCGTAAGAAATGATGCAGAATCCACTACGTGAAAAAATTCACACCAAAAAACATGTACTAAAGCTTCATGAGTTTTCCTCGAAAAGTGAGGTATAGACAGCGTCAAATATGAAAATCGTTAAAACGAAAAGAGAATTACAAAAAAATTGAGCTACCAATTTTTCACCCTTCTGAAGCATAAAAACCTGATTTCGAACGACGCAATTAAAAATTAAGCTGATATCACTTATTTATTAAGCTGAACAAAAGCACGCAAAATAAGGATATCAAGCCGATATCACAATTGCCGAAACGAAAAAAAAAACATTACAGAAAATCGGAGGTCGCAAATCACAGCAACGAATCAAAACTCCTTTAATTTCTGGCACAACTTGCTTCAACCAGAAAAAAGGAAATTGAGCCAACAAAAAACAAGCAGACGAACAGGAGTCCAATAACATAATTTCTCCCAAACCCTTTTTTATAGAAAAAAATCTTCTGGCTACAATGAAAACCATTACTTTTGCCATCTCAAGCATGGATGTTACATGTACACTGAACAGGTAACGTTCGTTTGTCAATCCTGATATACTTATGAAGTAAGCAGAGCCAAGTCTTTCAGTGGTTCAGTTAAAAATGTTCTAATCTAAAATATCTATACTCCGATTTGATATCACTTGCTAATCACCGACGTAATTATAGCCAACAGACAAATCAAACGTGTTAATAACTCAGAAAAACCAAGAAAAAAAATCCCTTATTTAACATTGACGAATGTAGAATGATTCGTGAATAGTCACTTTTCATGCTGATTTATTTTAGCTGAAGTTTGCATTAAACAAAATTTGATTCTTCATTGTAACACAGAGGCGAAACTTCGCTTCGCCAACACAAGCGAGAACAAGAAAAAAGCAACTCTATAAAGTGCAATAAGAAAAATTAGAATAAGCAATGAATTAGTAAAAATTAAATTAGCCTCGCGATTCGAACCTGCGACCTAGAGATTAACAGTCTCACACATTAACCACTTAGTCACGGACACTCAAAAGGTACCAAACACTAGCCACAAGAAATCAGAGAACAGATGCTACCGTGAAACTTCCAAATAAGTGAACAGTTGTAAAGAACACTTTTATGTGCGAGTTAGGTTAGAAAAAAAAGGTTGGTAACAATAATTTACGCTGATCGCCATTGAAAATAAAATTAAAGGCAGAAAAACTATTGTTAAATTGTACTAGACGAAATTTTAGTACCTCCCGCATTAACATAAAAAGCAGACTTAATTCAAGTTTTTTTTTTCTGGAAACAATCGTTTTTTTTTTTTCGTTTTTTTTTTCGGAAAACCGGCTATTTTGTTTATGAAACTGAAACAAGAAAAGTAACTAGTTAGAATACGTTGACTTACAGAAAGGAAGCTGACTGGCTTTCTGAACTTGAACCGGAGTCCGATGGCACAGTTGAACACTATCTCGACGAGCTGCACTTTACTCATTATGGGATATGCAAAGTCGCTCATCGTTAGAGCAGTCAGGCCATACAGTGTACCACACAGCTTATTATCAGGTACACAACCTTAAGCCAAGACATGTATAAGAAACGAGGTAATAATCATTATTCACGTTAAATCATTTGTCGACCAGGGTAAAAAATATTCCACAAAATGGTATTTTTTTCGATCATTCACAATTTTATTTCATGTAGATAATTCTATCTATGACTAGTTCTATGCTTATATTTTAATAAACATTAGACTGCATAGTTGAAATTTAGGACTAACGTCAATTAAGATAATTAGCAAACCGGTAAGATAGAGTTGGAAAAGTTTGTGGTAGACAACTGCCACTTCCTTCGCGTGCTTCATTGTTGCATTTTTCGGTCCATTAAAATCAGCAAGACGTCGTAGAACACACCTTCCGAAATCTGTCCGCTGGCAAATTAGCCGAAGCATTCTCCAAATTACGCTGAACAGAAGGTCCAGGTTCGAAACTGGCACCGGGCAGCCAATCAAGGTTAAGGACCGTTTCAGAGTTGCGGATCCCGACGCGTAGTCTCTCTGAAACGAAAAAAAAAACATCACTTAATTCTGACATAAAATCGTAGTCAATAATTTTTAAAACTATCAAAAAAATGAATGTCTCAAGCTCTTACCTGTGATAGTAAAACATCGGCTTCTGCAACCAGAGTCTTAAACGTCTGATATTCATCACTTTTCGAATGCAAACATGGCTCTCCGAATATGAAAACCTTCCCCACTATAACCATCACTACAATCGCATTCATAATCCACACTACAACTCCTTGCGACATGAGACCGTAAAAATCATCGTCGATATTCCCGTGCCACGAGGAGTTCTCGGGCTGCGGTTCGTCAACACTCTGAAGTACTCGGTTTCCGTTGTGCTCGGAAACAACATCCGAGTAGAGCACGACTGACGGCGAATCCGGCGATGCTGAGTCGAATACTCCGGACCGGGATACCATGACTCCGACTGGGTTGAAGAAGAAGACACACATCATAATCATGCAAAGAGTCACTTTAGATCTGTCCGTCAAACCGACCGTTATAGTTCTCTAAAATACACCATCAAAAATACAAAAATAAAATTTTTAAACAGGGGAAGCATCAAAGGAAAAGAAAAATTGAAAAAAAACTTCTTAAAATCATTTTCGTCAAAATTTTTTTAAATTAAAATCGCAAAAAAGCCGAAAATATCTGGAAAAGTACCCGCACCATTAGGAACTTTGCCAGGAGCTTTCGGAATGCTGGAAAAAGCCAAACTTTCAAAAAGAGACTTGCAGAGGCATCTAAGCCGGCAAAAATAAACAGACAGGCAAAAATCTAGAATAGCCGAAAATTTTCAATTTGCAAAAAAACCAGGTCTCGACTGGAATCGAAATCCCAGTCTTTGTCGTCTCAGGCATACACATTAGAGCAACTTGGACGAAATGAACATTCAAAAAAAATCCGCCTATAGGAATTAAACCGACAAAAATAAACAGACGTACTAAATTCCGAAAAATCACAAAAAAAAAACAGGTCCCGACCGGATTTAAACCACCAACCTTTGTCTCAGGTATGTTGCCTCTACGCAAGATGTTCGATTATAAGTTGATTTTATAACGAAGCAAGTACATGAATGAGAGCGGGATACAGGAGATAAGGCCTGTGAACAAAAGTTTTCACGGGAAAAACGTTTGTACCCGATTCAAAACCCTTGCTTATTGAAAGGGTAAAAGCATTAGTCGAAAAAAGGAAAGTTTATAATTATAATTAAGATTTTATAAACTACAGGAATACATCGAACAGACACTAGTTTCTACGACAAAAGTTGCTGACCGTACAAGAAAATTCCAATGTGGCAACTAAGCCGGCAAAACAAGCAAACAAACACAAGTCCGACAATTCAATTTTTCACGGAAACTTTGAATAGTTTCATACATACTGAAAAAACAAGGTCCTGCCGGGACTCGAAGCCTAGCCCTTAGTGGGCAAAGACCACCACGTTACCTCCAGGCCGAAAGGGAACGAGCCTAGAAGTTGTAAAGGTTCAACAATAAAGTAAGTAGAAAAAGTAAAGCAAGTACGATTTGAAAAAAAAGTTGTTAACGGGAAAAAAAGTCTAGTTCCCGATAACAAAATACTTGGTCTCGCGCAGGTGTAAAAACATCCCGAAAAAGGATGCCCCGATTAGAAATTGATAGAAATCAAAACTGTGCACGAGATTTCAAACTTACTGAGCATGCCATAGTGTTCTGGCGCTAAAATGTATATTTCTGCATTATGAGAAATATTAATTAAAACAAATTGAAAATGTACGAAAGTTTCATGTCAGAAAATTTGGATGTCCATTAGGGTTACTGAAGATTATTTGGCCGTATACCTTGGGCGCCTTCGAAGACGGCGCAGCAGAGTCTGAATCCGATGACGAGCAAAAGGGATCTGAGTGCACACTTCCGACGCCACTACTGCTTCCAGGTGACGCCCCACTCGACTCCTGTCTGGGCCTCGTGAGCTTGGGAGGCCTGGCAGGGATGATAGTTCTCTGAGGAACAATAATTCCTCCCGCAGCTGTGAACTGAGAGTTAAGTGGACTGTTCATTTGGTTCACAGTGACCATGGTCTGAAGAGCTGTTACACTGCTAGCCGCCAATGACACTTGTTCCATCGATGTGTTCAACTGGTCTTCTAAAAATATAATATAATAATCATAAATTGTTTCCAAACGATATCTAGTTACAAAATTATTTATAAAAATTTATAAATACAAATTAGAATCATTTGGGAGAACACCATTAAGCCAACAAGGCCCGTTTTCAGGTGTCTCATTAAGCAGAGAACAAAAAAAAGTACTTAAATTCTTTGATCCAATGCAATGGACCTTCTACCGGCAACCATTTATTAAACGTAAAACCTCTTTATTCACACCTTTAAATCATTCTATATAAAAAAAATTAATTTAGTTTTCTCAGGTAGTCTTTTCTACCCATAACTTAGAAACCAACAGAAACAAGTTCTACTTATTGATCAATAAAAGGTCTCAAAGCATGCCCAGTAAAATCGTATTTCCTAGAATGTAATTATCCAAAAATTTATGATTAAAACTATTTAATTGAAACCGAGAAGCCCCTTTCAAGAAATTGACCCAGGTGGGGAAAAATTTATTAGAAAGTTGAACATTTTTTTAATTTTAGGTGTAGTCGACCCTCTGCTGAGTTTATTTCTGTTTATAGCTAACTTTTGATTTGTTTTTCGCTTTGAAAATATCACGTTCAATTCTTGTTCAGTAATAGAATATCTCAAGGTTTCAACTTGGCACTCTTTTCGAATAATTTTTCCGGTTAATTTCAGAACTTCGTAAGCAAAAAAATTCTCTTACGGTATATATTTTATTATCATGCATTATTTCAGTGATTGAATCCATCCTGTGTTTATAAAAAAATTATTCTGATTAGCCTTCTGATTTTCATTTCCAGTTCTAACAGTTTGGTTTTGTCGGTATTTGCGTAAACTAAAACTCCATATTGGATGATTGGTTGCACGTAACTTTTATACGCAAATATTAATTGCCGTCCAGTTAGAAACTTTCTCAATTGAAAAAACACTCCACAGATATTTAAAACATTCTACATCTTCTATTTGGGTGTCATTTAAAAAATATTTTACTGGTCGTTCTTCAGTTTGCGTGCTCCGACAGTATCTCATGGCCAAAACCATTTTAAAAAACAGTGAATCAACTGGCTGATATCAACAGCAAACGATAAGCCGCAAAGATATTTCATGAACCGCTATAAGATTCAAAACTGATGATAGCATGTTCATTAAATTTAGTTGTCACCAGGGTACGCTCCAAATGGATTTCCATTCAACCCTTAGCGTATCCACACTCAACTTTCTGTAATGAATTACCATACGATTTCTCAATCGAAAAATTTCTTGTTAAATTTTGTTCTTTCTGAAAATGTTGAGTGAAATATATTTTTCTTCTTAACAAACGTTGAAAAAGTCCGACAGCCTACAAAAGCTATCTCGGGGATTTGCTTAATAAATCTGTAATGTTGATAACATTATTCGATACTCACTCAATTTAGCATTCTCTGCTCTCAGCTTGATGTTCTCCTTATTCAACTGACTGTTTCCATTTTCCAGACTCCTAATATAGTCAATCGCTCTTTGCAGGATGCCAGACTTGTTCATCTAAATGTTCAATAAATAATCAATTATCAGTCGTTTTGCCCAGAGCCACTGAATGACTCCGCAAAAAATCTTTAGAACAAAAACAACTTGTTTAGCTGAAAACACGTCAGAACGGAGGTTTTTAGCTATCGGCTACCCGGTACAGAAATCAACACAGTACAGATGTGATAGTGGGGTCCCATGGAACTATCAAGATCCCTTATATAAATTCAATGCCTAACAATTTTTCAAATTTTTGTATCAGTGGGCAGGATAAAAACTCGTAACAGGCGACAATTGGTAACCAGGCATATGCAAGTAGAATACGCTTGCTCCGCTGATCTTACATCCGGCACGAGAGGAATACTGCGCGTGAATCAGTGTTCTCCGCTTGAGCTACTGCTACGAATTGTCGCTTCAGTGATGTCAATTAAAGCATCAATAAGATAGCGCAAATGAAGAAGGTTGTTTGATAAAAACTTAGGAACGGCGTAAATTGATTAACTTAATTGCTGGTTTTGCTTATCATTAGTATGAGGTGGGATCTCCTCTATCACAGTTTACCTGTACCATCATCAAATAAAATCTAATTCTAAACATAAAAAAACTAGCTTACCTTCACGTCGGGTCCCAACACTACATCCTTGAGCTGTACAATCTTGTCATTTATACTCAGTCTATATCTCTTCTCAATCACATTATGGGTACTCCTCGGTTTTCCGAGCATCGAATTATTACCACCACTGCAATCTCCTACAACCACTGACTGCACACTTCCGGGGATGACCTGCATCACTTGTCCAGACTGGCTCCTCTGAACGAACAGAGACCTGAAATCGCGCATAAAATTGTAAATCGCAATTTTCAAAGAAGAGTTTTGTCAACAAGTTCAGCCTAAACACTTTGATGCCAATTGCGCTTCCCGTGTTAATTTTTCCAAATTTCACAGAAAGCAACGAAATGATAAGGCTTGGGTAATTTTTTTTGTTCGGCCATTTTTTATGATCGAAATAATAGTTTTTAAGAAATTTTATCTAAAGGTGTCAGATTAATTTGCACTATGCCAACTTGCTCTGTACTAGTTTGCATAAGCGAAAGCTTGCCCTATGCCAACTTGCCCCATATGACAACTTTTTCTATTGCTTGCCCGCCCCATCACTAATACTTTAAGTGAATTCTCCGATGTTCAAACCGATCCGACCAGTACACAAGATAAGTTTTGAGATACGAACATACAATGGTTGAGCAAAGCCATTAATTGAAAAAAATCGGATGGTGCCTAAAATATTCCAATTAGCAATTTTAGCAATTAGTGACTGAAACTAGAAAAAAAATACAATTAACACCACTAACAGAACTAAAGCTGTAATAATTGTATTCTACGTTGATTTATAGACTTTTTTCTTCAACAATCATCTAAATCAACATGAGTAAAAAACATGCGGAATATCCCAATACATAAACGAACGCTACTTATTACCGGGGCGCGTTTACGAAAAAGCAAACAACCAAAACAAGTTCACACAATAACCAATGCTTCGTCTCATGGAACTAATTGTTTCGAAATATGAGCACAGCCACGATATTCCGGGTTGGATTTCAAGAAAACGGGTTAGATGTCAAGAAAGTATATGGAAACTTTTGCGAGATGAACTTGGCTCTTCATTCGATACTCGCTTTGTTTCGCTTCAATTAGTACAAGTATTGTTTGAAAACATTAATGAGATTGAGCACGTGGTTGACCAAAATGACGAAATTGCTTTATACTTCCCGCGCTTAAAGGCTAAAACACCTGAGCGAGTCAGTGTGCAACCAATTCTTCCTAGGTGTCTGGAACAATTCACAAGAAGCAGCCGAAGATTTACTACGAACAACAAACAAATTGAACGAAATGTCAACTGTTGGAGTTTGGCAACTCAGTGCTACAGCCCTATTCTAAGAGGGCAATTCAAGTCTCTACACCTTCCTGTAGGAAATTCGATTGCACTCTGGGACTCAACGAGTCAAACATTTTTAAGGCTGTGGGAAGCAAAAACAAGATTTTTAAACAGAAGCGAAGCTTCGTTCGCAAATACTAGCGAGAACGCAACAAAAAGCAGCTCTACAAAGTGCACTAAGAAAAAGTAGAAATAAGCTTCATATTAGTAAAAATGCGGCTACGTCTCGGGTTCGATATCTAAAAAAATAGATACCCTTTAAGCTGTTTGGATTTCTAGAACAATTTATGATTGGCGCTTTTTTGATAACATTAATGCAACTTGAAAAAACTGGATCAACAGGTAAAGTTTTTAATCCACTGGAAATCTAAAAATTAAATTCCACTTTCGTAGCTAGAAATCGTTCACATTTTTGCGCCATTTCCACGTTCGTATTAGGAGAGTGCTATTTACGCAACTTTCAGCAGATGAGTTTCAATTGCACTTAAAAAGTGCATATATACCTAAGTGCATTCATAAATGCATCAATATGTATGAATGCACATCTGTAGTTCTTAGAGACTTTTATTGACATTCTAAGACTTTTTCCTGAAAAGCAAAAAAGATCAGCAAGACCTATATAAGTCTTCACTACGTTCATTACTCTTAAACAGACGCTACAGATTGATTATAGCTAAACTGCCACCAAATGAACACTTTTATTTGCGAGTTATCTTAGGAAAAAAAGGTTCGTACTAAAATACTAGCTTCTTGCTAGTGTAAACGAAGACCATGTGGTTGGTTATATTTTATGACTGGCTAACTTAAGTATTTCCATTGAGGATCCATATTCCGGTAACCGCTCAAGAGCTTCTATATTTCAGGAGATCAATTGTTGACTCCAAGTTTTGATCTTCTGATTTTACAAAAGATTGTGTACGCAATCATCCACACCATTGAAGCTTACACGCTCATAACTAATGCTGTGATATGTTAAACTCGGTGTAAAAAAATGATGAAACTGTGCTGATTTTAATTTGTTCAATCATACTTTGAAGTCTTTTGATTCCACCCGTGTTCCTTCAATTCATGGACACTTTTGTTTGAAGTTTACTTGTTCAGCGTCTTCATTTGAACGAAAACAAATGAAAACTTTGAAAGAAAGGGCATCGTATGGGGCAAGCTGGAGTAGAGCATCTTTTGGCCCAGGTCGATTCGACTTGAAAATACTGTTGCCTTTTCAGCTGTTTAAACATGACAGATTAGACTCATTTTTATACACGCTGTGTGCATACCATGAACGTAACCAGTTTTTCCACATTATTATCATTCAAAAATAAGGAAAGCAAACTGCCAAACCAGTTATACCTTTTCAAAGCCTAACTGCACAGAAGACGGACCAAATTTACCAAATTGACTGTGAATTAAGCATCAAACCAAAAAGGAGAACAAATTGCAACAGAGACAATGGTAAAGCCTTCGCGGGAGAATTATATAAAGAGCTGATGAAAGGTCCAAGATTCCTCAGGCGCATTCAACCACCTATCATCCTCAAACGAATGGCCTAGTGGAGAGGCAGAACCTCACATTGATAAACACATTGCCGAGTAGATTTCAAATAAACCTTCAGAAAAGAAAGAACGAATTGGAGTAAATAAGAACTGGATAATTTTGAGATTTTATTTGATATTATGGACAGAAGAAGCCCCCAAATTCGCAATCAGAGTAGCAAAATTATACAATCGTCGAGAAAAAATTTGTTTTTCGGACAATTTCGCATTTTTAGAGCCCCAATGATATGAATTCGACAATCACTTTCGGACATTTTTTGGACAGTTTTTTGGACAATTTCTCATTTTTAGAGCCCCAATGATATGAATTCGACAATCACTTTCGGACATTTTTTGGACAGTTTTTTGGACAATTTCTCATTTTTAGAGCCCCAATGATATGAATTCGACAATCACTTTCGGACAATTTTTGGACAGTTTTTTGGACAATTTCTCATTTTTAGAGCCCCAATGATATGAATTCGACAATCACTTTCGGACAATTTTTGGACAGTTTTTTGGACAATTTCTCATTTTTAGAGCCCCAATGATATGAATTCGACAATCACTTTCGGACATTTTTTGGACAGTTTTTTGGACAATTTCTCATTTTTAGAGCCCCAATGATATGAATTCGACAATCACTTTCGGACAATTTTTGGACAGTTTTTCGGACAATTTCGCAGTTTTAGCGCCCCAATGATAATAATTCGACAATCACTGTAAAATAGGCAAATCGGGCAACTGCTTTCGTCGAAAAATAATTTGAAACAAAAAATCAAGGATATTCTTTCTTTTATTTTTTTTTGCAGAAATTCTTTTGAAAATGGATCTAAACAAACTTCAAAAAATAGTTCTGCTAAAGTTTCATGGCTGATTCTTCTCTAATAACCCTGCTCGCTAGCTTTAATCGCTCAAAATTAAACAAACTCAAAAATTTCAAACCGGTTTTTCTCAAAACCTGGACAAATTTTCGAAAAAATTTTGATGTAGTTCGAATCAGGATTGAAAGGGCTTTAATATAATATACCACTCGACCCATTCCAATGATAATTCATGGTACCTGACTTTAAGTGAAAAAAAAAACACATGAATACAAAATTCTACCCATTTTTCAAATGGTCGGACCAACAAGAATTACCAGTTGCTGTTCCAGTGTCACATAAAGTTCCAGCTATAAATTTTATTATACCGGTCCTCTCACAACTTGAAGTGCTTCAATATGATACATCATTATTCGACCAATTTTGGCGGTATTCGATTTTGTGAGGAAAAGAAAAAATTAAGACACCTTCAGAGGTACGGACAAAAACAGCTTTCAACTGAATACGCAACCTCATAACGTTCTAACATAGATGCAAGACAAATTATTCATTTACAGGACGGTAGCAATTTCACAAAATTAGCAACTTTTTATAACTCGCTATTTTTAGCTCATATATTCGTATCTTCGATGCCCAATCAAATTAACGCTTGGCAAATACGCAATATTTTTTCTAAGTAGAAACAATCTTCTTCCAAATAAAATGACAAAACAGAAACATGCATGAAAGGAACAGAAAATTAAGTTTCAATACTACTTGAAACCACAATAATGTTGAATACCTGTTTTGACTGGAATAAGCATCTCTAGTTATTGTCTGGTCGGGAGGCGGCGAGAAATCACTGTCCGATCCGTGGTGGTAGGACACATTCTCTATTTCGCCAACATTCGCGAAGCTACTGACACTGAACCTAGACTGAGGCATCGATGAAACGTTCTGCCGGCCATTTGAACTTGTTCTTTGTCCTTGTCTATTGCTAACTTGGTTCGAGCTTGCGCTCGCCAATGCAATATTGGGTGGTCTCATCGCAATCTAAACGAGATTATTTAAATGATCTCACATCGGCATCTTGATGATGAATTTCCAATCTGCGCTGATTCAAATAATGATTCCAATTTTCACATTTGATCCAAACAAAAAACTTGGCGATAATTAACGCTCTCTTTGCTCTACGCAACCCAGTTGTTTTTCAGGATTGGTGTTTAATCAACAACTAAACATCATTCCTCGATAACTGAATCAGTTAACAGAGTGATACAGAGTATGGAAACTTCATCAGGCGCTATGAATGACGTCTATTATCAATGAATACCTCTGAATCCGGCATGTAATTTGCACTTCCTACTGCTACCCCTCCCCCTCCCCCTCCCATATACGGGGAATAGATGTGGGGGTTAGGAGGATAAATGGCATTAGGATGGTAGAAGCTTGACGTAGTAGTAGTAGTGTTATTGTTCAAGTAGGACGAGATCAATGGCGCATCCAGCGCAGCCTGTACAAATGGCCACCTTTCTCACAAATCCAAATTATGCATGTTAAAAAACTAACACCCCTATTCTTAAATAAAAGGTGTCTAATATTTGGGAACACCCCCTTTCGATAACGAAGAAAAACCTTAGCTAAAAAATGATCAATTGTCGTCCTCAGAACGTTCACAGATTTCAACTAAAAACTTAGACGTCCAATTAATTTATTTGAAAATCAATGCGATTTGCTCCAACTATTAAACAATTTTAATTTTAAACGTTTTATCTATAAGGCCAACATGTCTTGTAAATACAACTAAGTGCCTATTCGATCAACTTACCGGCCGATACTGTGTCATCTGCGGCATATTCTCCAAAGAGCTCGAACTCCTGTTGCTTCTCATCCCAACTCCTCCGCTACCTCCATTCCGACCACTCGCATGCAAGTCGTTCACCGGCGACGTCTGCTCACTACTTCCATTCGAGGAGTGTGAGATTCCCGAGTCATTATTCCCCCGCGTCAAAGTCTGTCGCAACACTGAGTCAGTCTGCAGAACTGGAGTTTGAAATGCGCCTAATTGAATATTCTGAGAATAAACTTGATCTTGGTTCTGGATATTATTCTGGTTATGGAGATTGACAGGTGCGTTGACCCCTATTCCGTTCTGGTTAGACTGGGTTACATTCTGGTTGAAGTGTTGAGGATGTTGGTACGATATCTGCTCCGAGTAATTGAGTGAAGTATTTTGAGCATCAATAGATCGGAATGTGGGCTGAACTCGGTTCATCGGTCTACCCTGAAGCCAAAACAAAACTTAGCTTTCAAAATAATTTACACCGTACAACTGGCAGGAATAATTATTTTGAAAGCTGTCAATTGAAATGAAGTTGATACCGGTAAATCTAACTCTCAGTAAATAGTGCTTCATTTATGCTTGGTTAATTTCGCCTTCACATTTTGACATTCCTGAAAACTAAAACACACCAGTATAAAGTCCAAATACAGCATAAAGCAACAATTAAACGAACCGTAACTGTAGTAATATTTTCACTGAGGTCACAGCCAGTGCTGGAATTCTGCGTGAATGTCTGGTTGCTCCTAGGCACAATCAGCAAGTATGTCTGTCCAGTTTTCGCATCAGTGGTCTGAATCAATTCACCTTGAATAGCCAGAGGGGCCGAGAGAACATTGCCCGCTCCGGATAAACACGTTTGCTGCTGAGTCTCCAGTTTCAGAGAAATTCCTTCAGATGATGTCTGTATGTTAGGATTGATCGATTGTCGGTCATCCAATAGAAGTTCGTTTTCGTTTGAAAACAAGACTTCACTGTTATTTAAGTACGACGACTGAATTTGCTGCTGATTGTTTGATTGATTTGGTTGCTGCTGTTCTTGTTGACCCATCAGTGGTGCGTTATTATCGTATGATTGTTGGTCTTGTAGAAAGGATTCAAGTTCAAGTGAGTCGATCGTTGGGGGCAAATCCATTGCCATTGTGAGGCCATTCTCGACGTCATCTTCCATTACTAAAAAAACACGACTGATATAGATGCTTCTAAGTCAAATATGGGCAATATACATCTGCAAACGTGCAACTCCACTCTCAACTCGAATATCAAATAGAAATTTTTCAAACAATCAATTTCAACCAACTTTGAATTAGGAGTCCAGCTAAAGCGGGAGGTACCTGTCGGATAATTTTAATGAAAACGACGTACTAACTGATGCCAAAGATAGTGCGTAACTTTCAAAATGTCAATTATTGGCCATTTATCAAGTCCATGACTGATTCCTTATCAAAACTACGACGCCGAAAACGCTTTTTCAAGAAAAACCAATAAAACATCTCCATTCGATTGATTTCCTAATCAGAATCATCAACGGCCATTTTTTTGAAACTGAACGAAGTCCAAAATATGGGTTAACGGTCGAATACTGGATATTTCTTAAGTCCATAGCGAATTCCCCGCCAAAACTGAGAGAATTTGAAAATGCGGGAGATATACCTACAATTTCTTTCGACTGAACCCTTAATAGCAGATTTGGTACTTTAGTTTTCGAGATTTCATTTTTGAAGTCCAACATAAATTTTCCACGAAAATCAGATTGCGTAGCCGCTACGCAATGAAAAATGCTAGCACATACTCTATTGATTTAACTATGTCAAATTTTGTAGGGACATTTTCGACACAGAGGCAAGGCAGCGCTTCGCACGCCTTGTGATAAACAAAAAACATAGCATGACAAAATAGCAGACAGAAATTGAGACAAAAGCCGCTAAGCAGAAAAAAGTTTTGAAAATGTCGAGAAAATCTAGATCGGCCTAAACTTTCATATTTGTCTCAGTTTGTCCAAAAAAAAGTCACTTGTTGAAAACATAGCCATAGCCATAGCCAACAGTCAGTTCGATAGAGTCCATGAACGCAAATTAACAGAAAAAAAATACTGAGCTGTTACTGATACTGAAAAATCTCAATTTTGGAATTTAGAAGAAAAAAATAGACGCCCTTCAAGCTTTTTGAGCTTCTTGATCAGTTAAGTATTGACAAGTTTTTGATTAAAAAAATAACCCAATTGGAGAAACTGGATAATGGGTAAAATTTTTATTCAGTTTGGAAATCTGAAAATTAAAATCCACATTCAAAACTAGTAATCGATCTCATTTTTGTGACCTTAGCACTCTTGCTGTTCGATAGTGGAGTGTGCCCTCCTTTACACAAAGCAAATGAACTCAACTTGAAAAGAAACTAAAAGTCAAGCCGCGAAAAAGTAAATTTGAGCCTGAACAAACTTAAAAACTTCTGAAAAAAAATCATATACAAGAGACTGAACTACGTTCAACAAATCTTAAAAAAGCCTAACAAGACAATTGAAGGCAAAATTGCATCAAAACATGAGCAACGAAGCGTTAACAAGGCCGACAATTTTTGAGCAGCCAACCTTTGAGCCAAAACAAAGGTTTTCATAAAAGATTTGAAAGTTTTAATAAATATTAAATTACCCCTTCAAAAATCTATCTCACACGCAAAAACTTGTTTCGCTCATATAACGACTCAATATGATGTCACTACGGCGATTACGTAAGACCCGGAAAAAATTTTTCAAGCCGAGTAAACAAAAAAAAGAAAAAAACTAAAAAACCAAAACCGTAGTTGGTAAATTTGAAATCAACATTTAGAAATTATAATGAAAAAAAAAACTGATATCTTAAGTGCCATCATGTTCAAAATATGTCTGTTACCTGACGAAAGTTCAGATTTGAGAAAGTTATATCTATTATCAATCAGTTATTTTGTGAGACAACTTGTTTACAGGACAAGTTATATTAAGAAAAGACTTTGTTTTGAATTGATTCCCTGCATTAGCCGAAGCAGCAAAAAATTCAATTTTTTTGGTTAACAATAAGCTTTTCATGATTATCGAGCTTCGAAAGTTAAGCAGCTTACCCCATTTTACAAAAATTAATGCGCAATTTTCAGGTCACTAGAAATTTTTATGGCAGCGCAATCTGAATGAATTTTGAAGTGAACTCAATAAAGCCAACAGACAAATGTCAAAAGTCATAATGAAATCATGCAGACAAAAAACTACCTTTTCAAATTTTTCAAACACCTGAACTCCAAAGAAAAATAAATTGTCCTGAACAATCGCGGATCTCGGACTGGCTGGCGGATTTTCAAAAATTGTTAGAAAATTTTGTCGACCTATTCTAGATCTTTTTTAGATCGACCAAACTGATTTCCCTCGCCCTTTCAAATCATTAAAAGACCCTATTTTTATCATTTTTTCCGCGCCGCAGGCCAATTTTAGAAGAAAAACAGCTTTGTTGAAGAGTTTTCACAACAAATCGCGATCTTTTGGCAAGCCCTCCCCCATGAAGTTAGTATATATTGGCGCCGAAAAAAAACTTAGAGTCGGTCAGCCAAAAATGATACTTAATGGAGTCCAGACTGGGCACTATTTTCTCAAAAAAAGACCTTCAAGAAACGGTATTTGTGTTTATCCAAACGGTATTTTTGAAGAAAAAAATGAGCGTCTTTCGGCACTTTTTTGGAAAAACTTAACCAAAAAATTGCATTTTTTCGGTGCGCGCTACCCCTCAAAATTAGTATATATTAATGCCAAAAGCGCCTTTAGAAAAATTTTAGGGTCAATCCGTAAAAAATGGATATCTCAAAGGGCAGGGGGTCGACTCCCTGAGAGGGGTCCTCTAGAAAATATAGACTTCAAAAAATTTTAGACCAAATAATGATTTTACAGACCAGTCTATTAATATAGACCAAGTGGCCAGCCTGATGGAGTCCTTAACAGAATCTGTCATGATAGGCATATGTTTGATAAAGCTCGCCAATTTCAATCTGGATCTATAGCTGCTTTTTTCATTTCACTAAAACCTCAAGATATTTAAATCCACTTTTGAATCTTAAAATTAATCACGTTTATTTTGTGCGAGATCTGTGCACCTATGCTTTTGTTGTGTAATCTAACATCTATATCAAATGAAGTTAAAAATGTAATTCAACTAGGATTCGAAAGTCAATCCCCAAAATTTCTTGAGCAAACAACTTTTCAGATTTTTTTCGGCAGAAGAAAAACTAAGAAAAGTACACGATTTTCTTTGTATTGAGTTGTGCGTGTGTACGTGAGGATCGGGAGTAAGGGTCAAACCCTTCTTCCTTAAATACGGTCATCAAATTGTTTCCTAACGGTCCGTCGGTTTTAAACAATTTTCGACTCAAAACAAATAAACCATCAGAGGTCAATTTTACTAAACAGTAACGGTAAATCACATAACATAAACATAACAGTAACATAAACTCACCGTTATTGAGGAAAAATCCGTCAAGAGAGGGTTCATCGCCAAACAGACTTGGCTGCAACTCTGAGTGTTCTGACATCCTTCTCACTGACGAATAGAAGTGTTAGTTGCTGTGAATTAATTGAATCCGACTGGCGTGTTAGTTTGTTCAGTTAACACCATTTCTTCAAATTGCTCCGAGCCAATAATAATCAGAGTCCGCCAAAAAAGAATTCACGTCGGCGTAATTTCGTCATAGTGACCTTTCAAATTGTCAATTAAACATCTGAAATTTATGCAAACATTGTGAATTCGTGAAAAGATAATGCTATTTGTAGAAAACAGCCTAGATTTCACTGTTTAGCAGATATTTCCAAAATTAACAAGATATGAAACAGGTCATCCAACGAATTAATGTAGTTTTATGCTGCTGGATAAAGCTCCTCAAAATTGAACGGGTTTAATTTATGGTTTAAATATAAAATCAGATAACAACTTAGAGTAAAACTGATACACCATTATTTGTGTTCTATCAAATGTCAACAAGAAAAAACTTCCACTCAATTGAAGGTTATGCCAATCGCTCAGTCAGATATTTGTGAAATTTAGGTTTCAATTTCAAAATATCAGGATAGCCATAGATCAAGGTCAGAACAATTTGTCACATATTACTGCGGGTTAAGATGATAACTTAGGCTCGTTTACTCATTTTTACTCAAATTTACTCATCGAGTTATCTAAGCCCTTTGTTCGTGAACCTCTTAATTTTTTCTTCAAAACAAGCTGTAAAGTGCTTCCGGACCTAAATCAGACAACGCGCTCATCATTCTACGCAAATAAAACACGTATAATTGGTAAACCATCGTTGTTTCCCATTCTTTTCGGTTGATAGTTGATTAATGGACCAACCAAATCAGATAAACCATCTTATCTTGAGTTCAAAATTTTCCCATATTATATAATTTATTCCGTTTTACTATAATGATTTCAGAAGAAGTATCCAGTAAATAAAGTAAAAGCATGGACAAAATATGTCAATCTATACTTCATTTTTTCCCACTCAAATTATCAGCTACGTCTTCAAGGAAATCCATCGTATTTCGGTAGTGTTCCGGCTTCACATTAGCCACGCCATGAATACAACCAGCTAAATCTTTAGTCATACTGCCCTGTTCGACTGTTTCAATGCATGAAGCTTCTAATGAGTCACAGAACCTATAAACAAAACGTAATTCTAAGCAAAAAAAATGGACTTCTGAGTTACTTTCTTTCCAATAAACAAAGCGGATATCAACGAAACTTCAACTCTAAGAGCCCTAATTTGTTATAAAAACTAAAAGAACCAAGTAGCGCACAAAGTTTCGACCCAGGTTTCTTAACACCGCTAAAAACCTGTTTCCCGAATTAGCGGCCGCAATACGTGGATTTAGCTATATATTTTGCGACAAGGATTATTGTTCCCAACATCGAAAAACTTCGGGTATATTTTCTCGCCAAATCAGGTACCACATCTAAGCATCAAAAAGTGTCACGTGCTAGCTCATATTAAACCCTTTCCGTCGTGATTTTAAAAATTTTCTTAAGGTCGAGAAAAAGCTGTTTTAAATTTTTGAGTTTTAGTCTAACTTCGAGGGAGTATGAGAAATAACGTCTTATAATAAGTGTAGTAGTCTAAATTTTATGATTCAAGTTAAACCTTGAACTTTTAAATTTGTTCTAGTAAAATTAGTAATGATAATTTTTTTTGCCACTTTCTTGAAAATGTTTTTTTTTTATTTTTTTTCAAATTTTCTTAAAAAAATCTCAATTTTCGAGAAAAACTGTCATCGAATACACCTGATTTACTGTTACTATCAAATCTATCTGGGCTTTCCGTCAGCAGAAGTTTAAAGCTTTCCTTCAAATAATTTCAGCATACCGCGAACAAAAAAAGACACAATTTGAAGACAAAGAAACTTTTATAAGACTTTTTATATTTGTGTTCGAAGCTTTCTGTGCTACCAGGAAATTTAAGTTTTCAACATCATTTTATGGAAAGCAGTATTAAAAAAAAGATACAAGGTATTGGAGAAAACTTTTTTTTTCATTGAGCGATTTAGCAGCATCCAAATAAGTAATTAATTAGAAACTAGCGTGTACCGCACCTCCGGTGCTTCGATTTTTTTTCGACAATTCATAAAAAAAGACCGCATATATTAGAAACAATGTCTGCAATCTTTTGTTGTACTCTGACTGCACCCAATTACAGGGTTGGTAATTTCAAATTTTATAAATTTTTCATTAATTCCAATTTTGGAAAACCATAAAAGCGTCATCTCGAAAACTTAATGGGCCTCTGGAGAAATTTTTAGGCCATATTTGCAACAACTGAGAGTCCCTGAGAGCACCCTACTAGAGGGTTGGGTATTTTAAATTTCTTGAGTTTTTTAAACCTAAGTTTCCCGAAAAAAATCATAAAAAACGTTATATCTCGGAAACTATAAGGATGTGAGCATTCCTTTTTAGAGACAAGATTCGCGATGCCCGGGTGTACGCTGGCAATAAGATTATCTCTTCATCAATTTAATAGTTTCAAACTTTGTGAATTTTTTTAGGTAAATTCATTAAATTTCGAAAAAATCAAAACGTCATATCTCTGAACTAAAAGCATTTGAGCAGTCGCATTTGGCAAGATTCGCAACTCCTGAGAGTACCCTGACAGCACTCAATCACAAAGTTAGGAATTTCAAACTTTGAAGAAAAAAATAATAATTTAGGTTATCAGAAAAATCACAAAAAAACGTCATATCTCGAAAACAACAAGGATTTGAACAATCGTATTTAGATGCAAGATTTGCAACCCCTTAGAGTACCCTGACAGCACCCAACTACAGTGTTGGGAATTTCGAATTTTGAAAAAAAAAGAATTAGTTTTTTACAATTTTTGAAAAAATCACAAAAAACATTTATCTCTAAAACTGCAATGATTCGAGCAGTCATATTTGGAGGCGAGGTTTGCAACCCTTGAGATTACTCTGCCAGTACCCAACTACAGGGTTTGGAACTTCAAGTTTTGTAAAATATTGTGTAATTTGAGTTTTCGAAAATGGATTGGAGGCGAAATTAGCAAGCTCCTGGGAAATCCGGATGGACAGCATCCCACTATTGGGCTGCTTATTCTAAACTCGTTGAAATAACCACTAAAATGAAACTCGAAATTCGAAAAAAACTTCATCATTCTTAACCATTGCATTATACGATATAGCTTAAACGTGAAAAAATTCTTTCGTTAAATATGCAAAAATAATACGTTGAAAAAGCTTAATCATAGCGAGATAGTGCAGCCCGCATTTAAATATACAATAGATTAATTAATTAATAATTGGCGTTTTTGCGATTCTCAGAGGATCTATTATGAAAGGCTTTGCAGCCTGTCTAAGCATAGTCAGCATCTCTTATTTCCCCATATTCAAGACAATTCATATGTTCACCGACGCCCTTTTTTAGCGACTCAAGATCGTTTTTGCGTCAAGAATTTGCACGTGGTACCACTAAATCGGTCAGGCTGTGTTACACCGGTAGCTGGAGGTCAAGTGAGAGTTCATCCTCACAAACTATCATTGCCATGGCAGGGGATCAGTTACATGATCTGACGATCACGAAGTGAACGCCTCACCACTATGCTAAATGCCTCTTAAGGCCTTTAAAACGTTTTAAAAAAAAATCGATAACGCAGATAACGTTACGAACAGAAAATTTTCGAAATTTTTCTTAGTGACGATTTAGTCCAACTTCGAGGGAGCATAGCAATAAATTACACCTGTTTATAAGCATGGTAGTTTAAGTTTTATAATTCGATTCAAGCCTTGCACGTTTAATTGTTCAAGTAAAATTAGTGGAAACTTCTTTTGCGGCCTTCTCCGGAACATTTTTTTGAATTTATTTTTTTTTTTAACTTTTCGCAAATTTTGAGAAAAAATGTCGAATATACCTGATTTACTGCTACTATCGAATCTATTTAAGTTTTCCTTCATAAAAAGTTCTAGGTTTTCCTTTCGATCTTTTCAGCATACCACGAACAAAAAGCGACACAATTTGAAGCAGTATTAAAAAATGGGACAAGGCCTCAAGATCTTGGAGAAAACCTTTAATTAAATTAGCGATGTCAAAAGTTTTTTCATACAACAATTTTTTTGTGACGCAAGTTGATAGTCATGCAAATGAAAGTTCTAACAAAAGTTTAAATTGGCGTCAATGAAATAGGATTCAAATAATCGTTTCATTAACTGCTCGTCTAATTCGATAAAAAGCTCATCGTCTTAAAAGCTCTTAAAAGCCAAAATACATTGCGTCTCGACACTATGGATTAACTTTTTTCGAAATATTATTCTGAAACCAAATTGAGACTGGAAGGGCTTTAACGACACACCTCTCAAGGTCTCTAGGAACTATTTCAGGGTGTCTGAAATCACTTGAAAAAATCCAAGTCATAGTTTCTTCCCATTCCTAGGGCGTGGAAGGAAAAAAATCTTTAAGACACTCTATTCCAATAAAATTTAATTTGGACCTACCTTCATCTGCAAAAATTAAATTGAAATTTTTTAAAACGTTATCCGCGTCATGGAAATTTTCAAATTAATGCTGATTTGTCATATAAAAAGAGTTCTTACTTGATCAGTTCTGGATTATCATCCAACCGGCCTCTATGCTGCAGCCCTCTAGTCCACGCAAATATAGACGCAATCGGATTCGTACTAGTTTCTTTACCCTGCTGATGCTGCCTATAGTGTCTAGTCACAGTTCCATGCGCAGCCTCTGTCTCTATAGTCTTGCCATCTGGACACATTAACACGCTAGTCATCAGACCCAAACTTCCGAAGCCTTGGGCTACAATATCACTTTGCACATCTCCGTCGTAATTCTTGCACGCCCATACAAACCCGCCTGAACTCTTAATGCACTGAGCGACCATGTCATCAATTAATCTATGCTCGTACCAAATGTTCTCCTTTTCAAAAGCAGATTTGTATTCTGAGTTGTATACTTCCTCGAATATGTCTTTAAAGAGGCCGTCGTATTTTTTCAGGATGGTGTTTTTGGTACTGAGATAGAGAGGGGATTTTCGCATCAAAGCATACTGCATTGAGCTGTGGGCAAATCCTCGTATCGACTAAACAATTAAATATGTTGTCATATAAAATTGTCGCAATATTATACGAAGTCTGCTTTTGGTTATCTTCAAATTGAACACACACCAGACGGGATTTCTCGAACTAAGACAGTTTCTCCCAAGCATGCATGAAAACTTTTCAATCGATATTTACAAAACAATTTTAAATCACGTATTTTTCACCTTCATCGAAATTATTTACATTCAAATCACAAAACCTCTTCTGTATTATACATTCCCATGAGACACCCCTTCCCTGTGAAGTTGAACACTTCAATTCGCTCCTCCCCTTTTCCCGATTTCGGCGTGAACACAAGTTCGAACTTTCCCGCCTCCTCCGGAATGAAATCTTTCGCTTTATACTGATCGCCATGTGCATGTCTGCCAATCACGATAGGCTGCGTCCATCCTGGAATTAATCTAAAGAAAGAAAGAGCTTATTTCTAGAATTATACAAAAGAAGACATTAATTTTGAAAAATAACAACCAAATTTTTCATGCACGTGCCTCAAACGAAACTCATTTTGATGAAAACTTGACACGAAACCCATTTGCCAGCTTTGAATTATCATTAACCAAAAAAATGTTGGGCGGCCTCCTTCACCTGATATTTGAGAAGTGATCTAATTCCTACCTTTTTTTTCTCCTCAACTTATTCTGTAAAAGTCTACCTTATTGGACGTCTCCTCGAGGGGCCTTAGGGCCCATGAGCTCGATCCTTGCGAGTATCTGTGCTTTTGATACTTTTCTTAAAGCATAAAAAAAATTTCTGACCTGAAAGCAACTTAGGCTTACTAAATTCGAGTCTATTGCTGAAACTGAGTCTCGTTCCAAAATTAAGGGTTAGAAAGACTTGGACCAATCAGAAAAATCAGTTTAAAAAAATGGGTTGAAAATTATACTATAAAATTGCGTTTAAATTACCTTCAAAGAAGAATATATTAAAACCAGCAGGCTGCTCAAAAGATATCGAGTGAAGTTTCGAAAAAAAACTTGGTAGAAAAGGGATAAAATAGACCAAAATTTGAAAAACAACTTTTTTCCATGTTTTTGTTACTTAGTTAAAAGAGGGTCGGTGCTTTTCATTTTAAGTTCTTAGAATTACATATAAATGTTGAATCCATATAAAAAACTATCGGAATTGAATAGAAAAAAAAACTAAACAAGCCAACAAAGTTATAGCCGACGCCTAATAAGGTGAAAATCATTCGAAGTTTTTCAGTAAAAAAAGCATACATCAAGATCTTGCAAACTTGCATACAACATTAGCCCTATAAAGGCAGATCTTGTAAGATTCATGGAAGAACATAAGTTTCAAAAAATTTACCATATCAAACTTCCTTCTAAATGTATTTTTTAAGAGCAAAGTACTTTACGGGAAAAATTCCGGGAAAAAAGTGCGGGAATAGAAAAATATCAAAGACATCTATCATAAGACAATTGAGACATCTGGAACTAGCCTTGGAATGTTTTTGATAAGAATCGGCTCTCTAAAAACAGTTCCTCCAAGAATGTTCCGAATGCTCCCGTTTGGAGACAGCCACATTTTCTTGAGATTGAACTCTTTAACTCGTTCTTCGTCAGGCGTTATTGTTGCACATTTAATTCCCACATTGTGCTTTTTAATAGTATTTGCAGCGTCTACTGTCACCTAAACAAGAATCTCATCAATATTTAACCCCATATACGTTCAAAAAATTTTCTGCATTAGTTTTTTTCGATAGATTGTGAAATTATAGAGAGCATTTTTGGCAGGTATTAAATTATAGTGATCACGGTCAAAAACATTGAAACAAAGTTTTGAAATTGAGCTAAGTTTTGAATGAGAAAAAAGCTATAACATAGAACTTACATCAAAACAAGTAAGAAAACATCAGCCGCGTTTGAGGTCAAATTAAAACAAGTGTTACTTTTACAGCTGTTTTGTTTTTTAAAGTTAACGACGAAATACCTCATTGCTACCCTGATTTTCGATTTCTATTAACTTGCGTTATTATCTTCGTAAAACTTCGACAAAAAAAAATGAAATTTATCACAAATGAAAAACCAAAACGCCGCTTGTTCACCAAAGTTGGAAATACCACCAGATCATGGCGGGATTGCATAATAGATTCCGCGCTGGTTTTTGTCGTCTTCTTGAAAGACGTCATTATGGTTTCATTTCCCGTGGCCAGATTTCAACTCTCTGCTCAGATCCAGTGGTCAATAAAACTGAGTCTTGGTGTACGGAGACTGCTCACAATGACCGGGACAAACATGTTCAATGAACAACAACAAACCATTATGTCGTCCCTTGAAACGGTCGAGTAAATGGAGTTCTTTATCAACAGATTTCTAGACGTTGGTGTGATGTTGCGATTATGGGCCTGATCAGTCGCGAAGGAAAATAAGACTGTATTCGCCGATTAAACAAAGCATATAGAAGACTTTCGCAGCGTTTTAGACTGCAATTTTCTTAAGCCAAAAAATTATACTTCCGAAAACACCAGAGGGACTACCAAAGCTCTAAAAAGATTTCTGGAACCGTTATTTGGATTCTTTTTAATTATTTTAAAATCTGATTTCACCTTAAGAGTCGAGAGTGCTTTCTTTCGATTGGAGAACCTGAACTCAACTTTAGTCAGGAAAAGTTTGCCTCGATTTAATTTACCAGAAAAAATCTAAGCTCGCTTTGAGAGCTAGTTCTGGCATTCACTCTTCAGTACTTGGACATAACAATTCATGTCCACTGTGAGGACTGAGTATGGTTATATAATACGCGGTGTTCGATGAGAATAATTTTCAAAATAATCTAAGCTCACTATAAGAGCTAGGGAGCATGATCCAATGATGTTTCTACTAAAGGAGGCGATGGAACTTTTCAGTTCTAGAGAGTGCACTTAAGAACATAGTGTTGATGATTATGAGTTTACAAACCATTATTGTGAACGTACTGTAAAGAAAAAAGAAAAATTATTTCGCCAAAACCAAATCAAATCTTACACAATTAGTATCAATAATTATTTTATTTGACAGTAAAAAGGATAAACGAAGGAATATTTTATGCCTTTGATTGTCTACCCTGGATAGTTTAAATGAAGATTGACAGTGAATATCATTCTAATTGCAGAAAAAATGCACAAAAACAATTCAGAATGCATTGTTTTGCCCTTTTTTCTTCAACCAACGTACAAGAAAAAGAAAACTGAAAAAATATGAGTTGATAGTACATATCATTTTCGGAAAACGAGAAATACAAAAATTTGAATGATCTGAAACACAAAAAAAATTAGTGTGTATGACAGCACTTCTATATGTTAGAGCATTTAAAAAGCGTTTATTAAGATCACTAGGTAGCACAGAAAATCTAACCATACTGAATCGATCAAACAAATCGAAAACACTTTCATTTCTAGTTAATTTTTTAGCAAGGGCGACAGAAAAGGAATGGGCAAAAATCGCTTAAAACCTTAGTTTGAAAAAACGTTCAAATCGTAGCGAGAAGGACAGCGTTTTAAGTTTTGTCAAACTTAATCTGAGCATCAAAAACATTCAGACTAAAATTTCTCAAAATTAGGACAATTTTTCATGCTTTTTGTAATCGAATCATGATTAATAAGGTTTTAAAGTACCATAGTTGACCGTTTTAATCAGCTGCCGGTCCATATCACAGCGGGGCTACCCGGGAGAATGGGATTGTCAAATGTTCTAATGTTACTTATGTTGTAGTAGCCCTCGCCAACTCTAGACACTGTGTTAATTTACTTCAGTATCGTTTGGTGACTTCGTCTCGTCCCCAGTCCAAATTTATTGGCCCCCTACGGGATAGGTAGGGCATGCCACATAAGTAGTTTATTTGACCGTCGTTTTAACAATGAACACGTCCGAATGGTTCTCGCTTTTTTTGTGTGCAGTTCTCGCGTTTTTTTCCAACATCCTCCGTCAGCTAATTAAATAATGAAGGGAGGTTAGCTCTCCCGCTCCTACGTGCTATGTGACCTGAAGGAATTCAGCTACACCAAGGGGTCAATCCACAAACTGAGTATGTTCAGATCTGTCGGTATGCCAGGACAGTTGAATAAAAGGTGTACATCATGGGCTTCAAGAATACACACGATCCATATATATATATATATGCGACTTGTGGGGTCACTCTGTTTAAGTAGCTTTTCAGTATAAGTGAATAGCCAGAACGGAGCTGGGCAAGCGTGCACCTAGCCTCAGGTGTGAGTTTCTTTTCTTCTTCGAAGTTTACTCCGGTACTAGTCATATGCAGACTTTACTGTGGTGGCTTTCAGTATTAACTCTCACAATTGTGGTATGCAGTTGTTTTAAACCCTTTTGGTATTGATTGACTAAGATTTTAGTCAGTTGTTAGGAGGCCGTCATCTTCTGTTTCATATTTAAATTTCAATCATGCTTTCAGGAAGCGTCTACTTTCTGCTTCTTAAGTTCAGTGGTCTACACGTTCCGTAAGATGGCTTCCGAGGTAGAACTGTTTGGCTAGCAGTTGATTGTAATCTCGAACGGGGAGAATTTCGGTATTTTCGTTAAACTGATCAATATTTCTCATTTTAAAAGAACCTGTTATGATTCTAAATGCATTGTTCTGTTTAACTTGGAGTTTCGACCAGTTGGTGTTGCTTAACTTGGGGACCAGATAGGTGCAGCGTGCTCTTCACGCTACGGCTGATTGCTTTGTAACTGATGGCTAATGTTTCCTTCTGACAACCCCATTTGAAACTAGCAATTTTTTTTTCAAGATGTTATTTCTGGCTTGAACTCGTGTGCAAATATTACTTGTGTTTGTTCCGAACATGAACATGTTGTCATTGGTAACGCCCAGGATTGTTGGATTATTTCATGTTTTGAGTCGATATCTTCGAAGATCATGTTTGGTTTCATAGTTTACTCCAGCCGACCAAGAAGTTAAAAAAAAAGTTGCCATTGATTTGTCATCAAGGGACAACTTTAGATGCATTTTTGAGCCATTGACTCAGTTGATTGAGGTAAAAGTTCAAAGATGTGAGAAGCGCAATCGGGTGTGGACCGGACGTTAAGATGGTTATATCATCAGCATAAGTGACTAGCTCAACATTCTCAAGTGGCTTTGGCAGAGCTCATATTTAAGTTGAAGAGAGTGGGGTGGGCTCGATTTTGCGCCTCAAAGTTCAACGTATGTGAAGCGGCCTTGTAGGAAGGATAAAAGCATTCGTTGTTAAGTTTCAATAAAATATGTCACCAAGGAGAACACAATGGTTCAGTGAAAAATGCCGCAGTGAGGTCCAGAGCTGCCATAAGGGTTCGTTGAAAGTTTTCTACGTTTTAATCATTCAGTTATCGTGATGATTTTAAAGATTTAAAGCAGTAACGGTAGAACTGGCGGCCCTGAAACCGTGTTCATGGTCTGATAACAGTATGCTGTAAATCAGGTAAAATATTCCTTTACACTAGTTTCGCAATTGGCAAAATAACGCGATAGGGCGGATGCTTTTCGATTGCTCTAGATAATTGCCTGGTTTGGGGAGTGGGATAATTCGTGCTATTTTCCACATATGTGGTATTACTGTTGTAATGATTGAGATGGTGATAATCTGTGAGAAAATTTATACCGTTTTGACCGAGATTATGTATATAGATTAGCCCAATTTGATCTGGGCCTAAGGCTTTGCTCTTTTTGGAAATTTTAATGGCTTCTTGTACCATCAGTGGTGAGATGGTGATTTGGCTAAAACCTAGTTTACTTAGATGGCGCATAGTTTTCCTTTTTTGTCAAGCTTTTCAGGGTGGGTGTGAACTGACCATTGAAACGATTTGCACATAGTTTAGCGTCACAAGTGGTGTTTCGATGAATATAATGGGACTGTTGGGTCTTTTGGGAGGGGTCTGTCTAGATGGAGATTTAATGGTGAACCAAAGTTCACCTTAGCTTGGGTGACCACGGTGTTCCTTCTTGAGATTGTCTGGTTCTTTCATTGTTTTTATAGCCTCAGCGAGCACGTTTGGTATAATTTTCGAAATGAGTGCTTGAGGAATATTATAAGAGGCAGCTCTGATTATGATGATTCTGTAAACTCTTTCATCCCTCAAAGCAAAGCTGGGTTCTTCAGTTTTTGAGAACAATTCCTCCGTTTCTTTTGAGTTTTGCCCAATCTGCTTGACGGAAGTTAATTGATTTCCTTTTGTGCTATTCTACTATATCTATATCGCAAGTTAAGGTAATTGGGATTGGAATGTGATCGAAGCCTACACAAGGCTCTGTGCTCCAGTTTGAGCTCATTGCTAGGTTTGGTGAAATGAGACTGATATCGGGCGAGCTACTGCATGAATCTGTAAAGCGAGTTGATTCATGCTCATTCAAAACAATTAAATTATACTAGCGTTTAACGCACCTTCGGTGCTTCGAAATTTTTCGACAACTCATGAAAAACCGCATATATTGGAAACAACATCTGTTAACTTTTAGTGTACTCTGACTGCACCCAATTACAAACTTTTAATTTTTTTTAATTCCCATTTTAAAAGTGTCATCTCGAAAACTTAATGGGCCTCTGGAGAAATTAAGACGCGAGATTTGCAACCACTGAGAGTCCCTGAGAGCACCCTACTATAGGGTTAGGAAACCAAAACCTAAGTTTCCCGAAAAAAAAAGTTTCGGAGACTAAAAGGATTTGAGCATTCATCTTAAGAGGCAAGAATTGAGACGCCTGGGCGTACGCTGACAATAAGGTTGTATCTTCATCAAGCTAGTAGTTTCAAATTTTTTGAATTTCTTTGTAGATAAGTTCTTTGAGAAATTTTGAAAAAATCAAAAAACGTCACATCTCGGAAACTAAAAGCATTTGAGCAGTCGCATTTAGCAGTCGCATGTGGCAAGATTTGCAACTCTTTTTAGTACCCTGATAACACCGAACTATAACGTTGGGAATTTCAAATTTTGAAAAACAATTAATTTTAACTTTCTGAAAATTTTGAAAAAATCACAAAAAACGTCACATCTCGAAAACTACAAAGAATTGAGCGGTCATATTTGGAGGCAAGATTTGCAATCCTTGAGATTACTCTGATAGGACCTAAATACAGGGTTGGCAATTTCAGATTTTGCAAAAAAAAGAAACATCAATCTCGAAAAATGCAAGGATTTGAACAGTCATATTTGGAGGCAAGATTTGTTACTCCTTAGAGTACTCCAGCAGCACCCAACTACAAGGTTGGGAATTTCAGATTTTGAGAAATAATTAAAATTTTCTGAAAATTTTTGAAAAAATCACAAAAAACATCACATCTCGAAAACTACAAGGATTTGAGCAGTCATATTTGGAGGCAAGATTCGCGATCCTTAATAGTACTCTGACAGTACCTAACTTCAGGGCTCGGAATTGCAGATTTTTAAAAAATAATTTTCATTTAAGTTTTCTGAAAATTTTTGAAAAGAATCACAAAAAACGTCATATCTCGAAAACTACAAAGAATTGAGCAGTCATATTTTTATGAGGCAAGATTCGCAATCTTTGAGATTACTCTGACAAGACCCAACAACAGGGTTGGGAATTCCAGATTTTGCGAAAAAAAAATAATATATGTTTTCTGAAAAAATCACAAAAAACGTCATATCTCGAAAACTACAAGGATTTGAACAGTCATATTTGGAGGCAAGATTTGTAAGTCCTTAGAGTACTCTGACAGCACCCATCTACAGGGTTGGGAACTTCAAGTTTTTTAAATTTTTTTGTTATTTGAAATTTCAGAAAATTTTTGAAAAAATCTCAAAAATCGTCTTATCTCGTTAACTAAAATGATTCGGGCATTCAAAATTGGAGGCCAAATTCGCAACCCCTAAATCGATATTGGGCTGCTTAATTTAAACTTGGTAAAATAACCACTAAAATCATACTCGAAAATTGAAACAAAATTCTTAACCATTGTAATTTACGATATAGCTTAAACATGAAAAAATAATACGTTGAAAAAGCTTTAAAATGGCGAGATAATGAAGCCCGCATTTAAATATATAATAAAAGATTCATCGATTTCATTAGCTAACTTTTCACAGCTAATGTCGTTAGTTAGCTTTGAATACCATAAAATGCTGTGTTGTTTACATCTCCCACTATTATGGAATCCTCTATTTCATCAAGACTCGGGTTCTGAAGGATGGGCGCCTTTCGGTGGCAGAATCATTTCCGATCTATTTGGGTCGGAAGCAAGATCCATCCAACAATTCCTTCAAGACTCAAACATTTACCAATCAGATAGTTCCCTCCTATTTCTTGAAAGGGTCGAAACAGAAAGAAAAAAAACAGCAAGCGGTAATCCAGAAGCCAGACACTTCAAACTAAATGATATTAACAATTATGTCAATTTCCAAATTCATCGAAAAATGTTTTAATCTCTAAGATAAAACTATATAAATACAGCACTTTTGAAGAAAAATTATATCAGGTTAATAAGGCTCTTGATTTTAAGAACTGTTTTTGGTGGTAATTTTTTACTAAAACTTACCCACGATAAGACAACTGGGTCGATACTTTCGAAACTAGAAATCGATAACACATTTTCGCGCCATTTTCTTTTTCGCAATTTGAGTGCGCAATTTGCCTGTCTTTTAGCAAATAAAATTGAAATGATATCAAAAATAGCATTCATAAATGCATTAACATGAACTACTGCACTTCTGTAATTATACGAGCATTTTCAGAATTTTTCTGAAAAAAAAACAACAAGACTTTTATAAGTGATAATCCAACGTTCTTTTATACTCTGATTCTACGATATTGGACCTCTATATACAGCGTACTTTACCGTAATTTTTCAACTATGACCACTCCATCTGTTATACTTTAAACCTTCTCTCTTCTAAAAAGTTAGGCTGCAAAAAGCGAATAGAGCTAGAACATGCAATTGCACGGTGACAAAAACAACAAAAACTAGAATATAAAACTAGCCTGATCATCAGTGTGATCTCTATGAGGCAGCCCCAGATCGTAGTATTTGATGTCCAATTTTAGGTAGGGAAATATTAATTTCACTTTGATCTTTTCCCAAATTATACGGGTCATCTCGTCTCCATCCAGCTCTACTACGGGATTGGCTACCTGAATTCTGCTAGATGAAGCTAAACCAACAACAATGAATTTCAAAACAAGAAAAGGCAGGTTCATATTTTGAAATATCTCATTTGATTCGAACCCAATTCTAGAAACTTTTAAGCGCCATATTGAACTGAGTGAATGAGTTGAAACATGTGTTATAAAAGAACAATGTTTCTTACCAAGAGATCTCTGGTAGCACCATTGGCATGATTGCCTCAAGTTATTCCAAGTTTTGAACATTTCTCCTAAAACTAACATAGATTCAAGTGAAAAATAGGAAAAACACCCATTGTCCATTAGTTGAGTCTACTCAAATAAAAAAAACAGGACAAACTTATCTTCGAAGTAGTTTCTTCTGCATATCAACTCATCGAAACATTTATCAAACTTTGAATTCGAAAAAAGAGAGCAATAGCAAATGTAACATTCGCCCGGAAGATACATATCGACGGAAAACAAAACTAAGTCTTAAGACGACTGGCTAACGTCTAAACAGAGCTTTGCATGCTTTTCACCGTCTCTACCAAGCCAGTACTTTTCGGTGGTCTTTTCCAACATCGGGTCGACAAAAACGTTACTGCTTTCGGCTTCGGTCAAAACACTCAAATTAACTAGATTACATGCAGAAATAGTGAGCTCATGGCTGGGTCTCAGTATCCCCAGACCACGAGGTCACTCCTAAAAACAGGGCTACTACTTATTATATTACTATTGTTTTTGTTCAGTAGACAAAAATCATCATCTCCATCGAAGATGGATCAACCCTTTCCCCCAACTCCTAGCTTCTCATCCCTATCAAAATGAATCCAGATATTAATTAAATTCAAGTCAGGACATGACAGGAAGCTAAAAGTTTATGCAACAGGATAAAAGTTTCAGTTCCTTTACCCTTCCGGATTGATGAATCCGCTGGATCAAGCTCGCTTATCCTGATTTTCTCTTAATCCGGAAGGCCGTCTCTCACCCTTCACCGTTGTTCGCAACGGCCTTGCAACTATTGTAGCAGCACAATAGTTGCAACTCGGAGTGTTCTTCTGTTACTCTGTAACTCGTTGTTGTTTTCCGATCTCAATTTCGTTGTTGTTGCTAGCGCAGCTAATGTTGTTCTCTTTTCCTTTCTCTTTTTTAGTCAAAATGGCCGTTTCTGACGTTTCTCAGAAATATGACGTCATAATTCGAATTTTTAAAATGTTAAAATACCAGAATATTCCAGCCCTCAACGTTTGGCCAATCGTTCCAATAACGTTCTTAGTTCTTAATAATCACCAATCCGGAACGCTCGCTGCTAAAAATTCGAATTCTGCAGAGATTGCATTTTTCACACTCTGGTCGAATGTCACATACTCCCTGGACAGTCCATTCAATGTCCTCATTGAATCGCACAATGTTCGTAAAATGGTTACAGTGTCATCGAACAGAATTTATAAAATGCACGAAATTACTCTTATCCACATCACATCGACTCACTGCAGAATATACATGGCATCATACTACATCACTATAGCCTTTAAATTCTTTCATTAATCTGCACATTGAGGATATGACCTAAGATAAAAATTATTTTCTGACTCCCAGTGTCAATGTCCCGATTAAAACTCATTCTCTCTGATTTAAAAAGTTGTTGGCTCGCAGGACAGTCCTGCCAACCAACAAGCTAAAATTATCCTACCACGCTTTTCCCTTCGGAAATCTTGCTTGTTATTGTCCTGAATATTAAAACTAAGAAACTTTGTGGTTAGAAAGAACAATGTAACAACCTCTCTCTTCAAGAGATTACTCAAGTCTTTCATGTCACCACAAAGTGATCAGTCTTCCTAAGTGATTAAAAACAATCATGCAGGCTGGAATATTTAAATATACTCTTCTCTTAAGCCTTTCTAAATAAATAATAAGTGTCTCTAAAGCCACTTCTGCTAATATCAAAATGCAAATTTATAAATGCATTAATTTCAAAACTCAACTAAATGTTTCAGTTTTCAATTACAACTTGGTTGCTTGGTTTCTCACTTGAGTTTTTCACACACATAAAACAATTCTGAGTTTTAACTCTTCTTCATCACTCCTTTGTTTTCTTCTTTTTTCGTCGTTTAGAAGTTCTAAAACTTCTAAATTCTTCTAATTTTCTTTCTTGTTGCCTCTTGTTTTCTCGACCATTCATCAATGTTCCATTTCTTCCTCCTGTGATACTGACTCCGCACTTTCGGTTTCCGTGTCTTGTAGCACATCGTTGGCTATCCTGACGCTGTTGGAAGCCGTCCTCCAACACTTCTGCTCTTCTACCCTCTGTTTACAGCAAGGTAGGGGATCCACGTTGGATTCTCTGTTTCTGCAGAAGCTGTTGTGGAGACACAACGTCACGTTTCTCTCCAAATCTTCTTTCAGCATCTCTGCCTTCTCATTTCCACTACGCTCACTCGTCCTGGAAATTCTTTTCACAGCGGTGGTCACTGCATTCCGATGAGTCACGAGAGATCGCTTGAAAGCTCCTGCTCCAATGTCCAGCTGATATTCACTGTACACCCTGCCGTGCTTCGACATATGCTTTTTCGCATACTCGTACAACCATGCAGTCATGTTAGCTCTGAACCATGGCATCAATCGTTTTCTCGCCCATATCTTCTTCACTTCCATCGGAATGTTTAGAACTTTGCACATTGTCTCAAAAAGATCTAAATCTTTTAGACAATCTAATTTCCGCAATTGTTCTCTCGTTGGTGCCTCCTGTCTATTATTTTCTCTCACATGAGCTTCCAGCCATCGTATCGCTATCATAACTCCAGTCAGAGTGCGGTCACTCCTTTTGGATTTATAACCGGTTGACTTTATCCCCGCCATGAGAATGGGTGGCACCATCGCTATATCAGTTAATATTCTATCTGTGCCAGACAATTGATAATCACCTTGCCCCAAATCCATGACCTCCTCGACTCGTTTTCTTTTCGCTGAGTTACCAGCTTTCATCGATATTTCTGAATCCACTTTCGTCTTCCCAATTCTCCTCGGCATCACTCTGCTGCCTAACTTCATTTTCATCGCATTGATTTTATCAATCACCATTTTCGATCGCATCGTCCCTCTCCTGGTTCTTGACAGGTACACCACCTCTCCTTCATCGTCCTGCGGTGTCATCTTGATGGGAGAATTCGCTTCACTCCCATCAGTGGCTGAGTCGATCAATAACTCACTCAGTCTCCCTTCACACTCATCAAGCTTGTCAAGTACTTCGCTCATCAAGGGTTGATTGAGACCTGTTTTGAGGATGGACTGGGTCCCATAGCTCTCAATCACGGTCCAGACTTCTTCCATAAACGCCACTCTGTCCAGCTTACATCCCGTCCTACTCTCGTGGTCTCGGTGATGTACTTCCCATTCCCCTTTGGGCAGCGTTCCCAAGAAAGGTACTCTGGCTGAGGCCTCTATTCTTCTCCTCCGAGATGATTCCATGAGGATTCTCTGGTCGTTATTTCTTGAATTGCCAGGAGAGCTGCTCTCCGGCAAATTCCGTTTCATTTCCTCAAAGGCTGACGGAGGCTCCAGTGTCGAGATGCCTTCATCCGCTGGCTCAGTCGTTTCCAACGTGTCTGCATTATTCTCAAGATCACTGAAGATATTGAAATCCAGGCTGGATGTTCCTCCTGTCGATGCCCTGTCGTCTTCCCCACCAGCTTGATCTTGTTGCATGGGTTCTTCAGTCTGACGGCTTCCACCCTGTCCGTCATCTCCTTCTGACTTATCCTTGTTCGAGCTCGATGGTCCTTGTTCGTCATTGTCGGCTTCTTCCTGGAATCTCGGTATGAGCAATGTACCGGCCGATTTATCTTCCTCTTCTCCATGGACCACTTTGATTTCTTCGCAGCCGAAGGGTGCTAGGAAGGTTCTCGTCTGCAATATTCCTCCAACTTTCATCTCCTTTTTCACACTGGTCAGGATTAATGAGGCTTCAGGCAATTCGGTCCTGCCTCTCATTCTCATCGGAGCTAAGCCTTATTCCTTCCATTCCTCATCAAATCTTCCAGGCTTGGGAGTCGCGGCGTTGCTTATTCGCCTTCTCGTCGCTTGATCCGTGTATGCAAATCGTGTGTACTGTAACACGGCGGCATTTCTCCCTACGAAGTATGGATCCATCGTTCCCACGAAATTCCCTACTCTCCTTTCATTGGTTTCGAATGCTCTCAACCTAGGAGTTTGTACCACGGAGACTGCTCCGAGCAACATCCTTCTTATTAGAGGGAATTCAGGAATTGCCTCCGGTAGCTTCTTGTAATCGCCCCAGTCCTTCGTCTCTTCTCTCACCTTGTGATATGCTGCAGTGAGACGAGGCACTCTGGTTATTTCACCATTCGTTTTGTCATAGGGTCTCAGATTCCAAAGCTTTAGAAACACCTCGATGTGTCCTCTTTCTACTTCTCCCATGCGGTCACGGAAGTGATCGTCAAAATTGATGACTGTCATCTCTGGCTCCGATATTTTCGCAAACAACAGATCTTCACTCATGAGCTGCCGCAATGTGTGCTGCTCACACCAGTTCAGAGTACTACCGTCCACTGCCGATATGAGGTTCAGGTGCAGCACCGACCTCCTATATGCTTCCACTTTAACGTCAGGGAACGCAAACGTGACTGCTGATCCATAGATCACTGTCACGAACTCCGTGACTCCTCTGATCAGCGCCAAGGGATCGGTCCTCATAGCCAAGCTCAGATCTGTTAATAGCGGCATGCCTCCAACATGTCGTCTAACATCTTCCTCTCTTTCAATTGTCTCGTCTTCTCCGGTTCCAAAGCGATTTTGCTGCAAGAGATATTGGATAAGAGTGTGTCTCAGGTCTCTTATTTTGTTCCACGAGTCCGTGGATTTCTTCATATCCAGGTTCCTCACTCTCTCTTTCATCTGCTCTGGACAACGTGCCAGTTTCATTAGTCCTCCCAAGTTTCCGTGGGTTATTGCGATCAATGTCAGAAGTCCATCTAGTCGCAGGTTCTGTATTCCATCCGTGAGCAGTATCGCCGGTCCTTTCACGAAACTCTCCGCTCCGAATGTCACGAACAAGGCTATTAACTCCACTATCGATACTCTCACTACTGCTTGGAGGAATTCCTTTATCAAATAGTGCGAGACATTCGGGTAAACTTTTGCCAAGAAGGACGCGGTCCATCTGGCTCCCAACCCTTCTAGCATGCTGTCTGTCCTTTCAAATCCCTCCTGCCCCTTCACTTCCTGGGTCCAGAAGGTTTCCAGAGTAATCTGACACATTCTGTTCACAAACTCAGCGGTCTTTTCTCCGGCATTTTCCGCCAGGTTCACCTCCTTCAACAAGTAGGCATGTATCTTCGTGATCATTACGGGGCCTTGCTGAAAAGCATCTGCACCCAATGCCGCTACTCTAGGGTTCAGGTGTAGCCACTGGTTGGCTTCCGGCTTGGTTCTCAGAACCATAGCCTCCAGATGAGCTCTCGTCTCTAGTGAATTTTTTCTTCTTGTGTCTTCACTTGCCACTTCCATTGCTCGGAACCATAAGTCGTTGGACATTGCCGTGATCACTCGATGGTCGTCGTCTATTCCCGGTTTCAGTTTGAGTTGCCGACTGAAGTTGGACAGTTCCAACCCCAGCACTTTGTCCAACACTAACATGTGTAGCGCGTGGTCCTTGAATCCTCTCATCGCGTTTGAGATATCTGACCATACTGCAGGCAGTTCAGCCTTAAGTGGCCTCAGGTTCTCCATCTCTATCATGCGATTCGGGGCCGATATGATCACATCATATTTTCCTTCCGAAAGTAAGGCTACCATTGCATACACAAACTTCAGTCCAACCGGGAGATGTGCATATCCCGGAGACAACGCGAATACTACTCTCAACGCCACTTTATTGAATGACCCCTCCTTCGTCGCATCCACCACTTCACCCATCGACTCCAGGATGTCTTTTATTGCTGGCCATACTGCGTTTTCTGCTGTTGCAGGATCTCTGAGCCTGCTCAGAAAACCTCTACTGTGTAGATGGTCATTGATGCCAGCAAACACAATCGTTATTGGGTTCATGTCTGTCTGCCTTTGTACCCCTATAGCCAAAGACACTGATTGTAATAGGTCTAGGTCAACCGCGGCCAACATTATGACGTCCGGCCAAAACAAAGACTTGGAGGTGTACACGAACTCTGAATTCGCTACTACCATGATTTTGGCCTTCCTCATCTCTGCTTTGTCATAGGCGGCGAAGATGGTCTCATCTTTCTTTATCGCTGTCAATCCGCCATATCTCTGGGCATCACCATCTTGGTTCACTAGTTTTGGGTACACTCTCTCCTTCACATGACCAGGTGGTGTCGTCAGCTGCCTAAATATCTTCACGTGTTGTCCAATCGGCGCTCTCGCCGTCAGGAATCTTCCTGGTCTCTCTTCACGATTCCCCTCATCATGGTTCAATCTCACATCTTGCAACGGTCTCGCATTCACTGGTCCCATCGTGTTGTTAGAGGGCAGTCCCTCCAAATCAGCAAATCTCAAGGCCGTCGTGGAGCTGAAATTTATGCTAGCGGCTATCAACCAGTCTACGCCGGTTATTGAGTATAATCTGCTGACGGATAGCATCGCTCCATTCAGCATCCTCCTTGCATCTTCGATGAAGCTTACTCTCTGCAGGTCCAGCTTCATTAGTTCGTCTTTGTATATATGCCAAGGAGACGGTATGGATCTCGACCACAACAATGAGCCTCTGCTCGGTCTTTCCTCTCGACTGGTACTCGTCGTCTCCGATCTAGTGTCCGATCTAGATGTGCCTGCTACTTCTTCGATTGGTTGGTTGACAGGTCCTATCCTTCTCCTAGGATGAATTGTTCTCCTCATCGGTGCTTCTCCCAACCGATCCTGCACGTCTGTTCTTCGACCTGGTTCGCTGGAGCTTTGTTGCCGGTAATTCGTGACGGCTGGGACCGTACCCAAGCGTGTTTCCAGGCTAGGAGGCACAAAGGTGGTAATCACCGCATCACTCACCGTTCCCTCTTCCTTCAGCACTCCTGTGTCAAAAAGATCTGCTTCCAGCTCGTCCAACCGCTCTTGAAAGACTCGATTCAACCAAGCTTGTCCTTCGATACTTGTCCTTCATTGGCACCGTGCAAACGGTCAGTACCACGCAACTGAACTTCTGCCAGAGAGTAGTAAACAAACACACCATCATTGACTCCCACAGGGCTTCCTGCTCGTCTGATCCTCTGGAGATATCATTCGTCCCAACTAAGATCATCACATTGGGAATCTTCCCTGGATTCATCAGTTCCACCATCCGATATAATTGGGCTATCGTCGCGCCTCCAAAGGCCATCACCGTGGTGACCCACGAGGTCCTCAAATTCGACAGCACTCTGACTAAGCTGTCTCCCAATATCAGGTGAGATGTCCCGAGTGGTGGTTGCTGCAGGTTCACAGCCGGGCTCCAGGTAGCTCGATTGAAGCAGGCCCTCGGATCTGTCTCCGGAACTCCCGTGAAATTATACTTCAATTGATTATTCTTCTGCACGTCTATTATACGAGACACTTTCTTCGCTGGCATTTTTCGTACTTTCCTCTCTGGGATTCTCGAGCTCCCCATGAGTGGTGTCACGTTACTTATCCCTTGTCTGATCACGGTCTGGGAGAGTTGTACTCTGCCCGTATCGTCAATCGTTCCATAGGGTGCAGTCACCCCGGAACCTGGCGCATTCTTGTTAGCGACCAGTCGTCCAGCTGTCTCTATCAGCCTCCTCACTGTCTGTTCTACAA